AATGAGCATTGCCTATAGACTGTCTAATGTATCAAATGCCTTGTTCCAGAATGCACAGAAAGACTGGGTGGTGATCCGAGCCACCAATGCATGAGAGCTCTAAACAGTTGCTATAAGAAAATTCTTGTGCAGATGGCATTAGAGTTCATAATTTAAAAAGATGAAAAAATCTTTAATAATCATGCCTACAATTAATTTTGAGTTTCAAGATATATTTTTAGTACCTCCTTTATCCTTGTAGGGATTGTATTATGCACCCTTGATGAACAGGCTCTCTTTTCTTGAGGTGCATCAGGCACTCTATGATGCCTTGTTCCTATACACTTTGGATTTGAATGCTAGAGTACATAGAAATCATGTCAAAGCATCCATTTGTCCTCCACCAACTGTTTATAAAAGCCTGTAGTATTATGCAGGAAAGTTACTGCAGTCATCAGAAAAGAGACAATCACTAGCGGATCCAGGATTTAATTTTGGGAGGCGGCTTCAGCCCGAAAGATTTTTTTTTTCATATACATATAATGATATTTAATTAGAAAAAAAAGTAAAGAAATTAACTACCTATATGAAATGGTGTTTAAGTGGTTCTTGAAGTCCTATTAAATGTAATTAAACGAACAAGAATACTTTAATTAAGAAATAGTTTTTAATATTTTTTCTGTAAAACATGGTTACATTTTACCATTGTGGGGGGAGGTCTGCCCAAAAGCCCCCTCCCTTCCCTCGTAGATCCGCCTGTGCTAAACATCATTGTAGCAAAATAGTTCACCAATCTTCGGGCATTTCCTGTTTTTAAGTATATTTTTTGAGATGAAGATCTGGGCTAGTTTGCTCCTTCCATTTCTGAATTTAGCTTGGTGGTCACTGATTATATTATTGTAATACAGATGTATTCCGTTTAGTAAGATATTGGTCATTATATTGTAGGAGACCGGAAGGATCGCTATGCCTCTGTGATTCCTACACTCATAAACAGAGCCTTTCTTCAGGTTGAGGCAGATCAGGTCTGTATTTCAAGCCTCTGGTATCCTTTCCTCTTCCCATATTTTCTGGATCAGAAACTTATCATTTATAAATAAAAAATAGAAATAGATGATTTGGATTTCCGGGACTTCAATGTAAATTGTCTTATCTAAGACACTCAATATATGATTTAGTATATTATACCTCTATAATTAATAGCTTCTCTTTCCTATTTACTTTCTCATCCAATATTTTACTTATAACTTTATTTTTCACGTTCACGAATTCTCTCCAAAAGGTATAAGTAAACTGAGCTACTCTCCTTCCTTTCACTTAACAGTATTCGAAATATGTAATAAAGGAAATTACTATAATGTTAAAAATTTTGAACCCAAACTTTCATCGGAAATACCTTTTTCAAGGTCTCTTGAAATTTACTTACCAGAAATGGTACTTTATATCATTGATTTATTTATCTTGTAATCGGCTCTAACAATTTTGATTAAACTCATTATATTGATGTAAAATTTAATGTCGTAGTTATTTACTATGTATTTTTTTTTTCTTTTTATCGTCATGCCAACACTTCCACTGAAGTCCTATACTACTATTACCCATATTAAAGTAGTCACATGAGGACTAAATATTTTTCATTTAAAGTACCTTCAATTTTGTTTTATAGAAATAATTAATCATCTCTCATTATTAGTAGTTACACAAAAAAAAAAAAAAAAAATGATGAACTATGAAGGATTTTAGTAATTAACAAAAGGAGATATATTTTCACTGGTTGAAAACAAATTTCCAGAAATGAGAGTAGTAATGGTATGTGTGATATACCACTAGCGGATCCAGGATTTAATTTTTTGGGGAGGGAGCTTCAGCCCGAAAGATTTTTTTTTCATATACATATAACAATAATTAATTAGAAAAAAAAGAAAGAAATTAACTACCTATATGAAATGGTGTTTAAGTGGTTCTTGAAGTCCTATTAAATGTAATTACAGGAACAAGAATACTTTAAGAGATAGTTTTTAATATTTTTTTCTGTAAAACATGGTTATATTTTACCATTTTGGGGAGAGGGCTGCAGCCCGAAAGCTCTCTCCCCCCCCCCTTAACACTTAAAACTATGAACAAAACACTTAAAAATATGAACAAAATATTTAAAAATATATGTAATGGTAGAACAGTATAAATATACACTAAGAAATGAAGAAAGAAAAAGAGCCAAAATAAAATAAGTTCTCATAAAAAAGCTCTAAGTTTTTACTTAGGAAAGTGCAATTTGCATCTGTCAATATAAACCTAATTATGTAAATGCTGAATAGAATGTATTTACATCATAAGAAGAGCGTTATGATCAATTATGGAAGAAACGTGTTGGCATTTGATTATATATAAGAAAAAAAATAATGAGAATTGAATAAAAAAAAAAAATAGATGTATTGAGTGGCGTCGAAGGTAGGAAATACATGTACTATCCCTAGCAAAGAACAGTTTTATTGTATCATGATATGATTGCTATGCAATACATACATATTGTCAATAGTTAGCAGGTATCTGACTGTTTTTGGAATAGGAGGTTTTTGAATGTGGATACGGAGGGGGCTTGTTGTATTTTGATAGAGAGGGAATTCCAGACAGATCTATAAGAAGGGATGAATAGGTCAGAAGGTCGAGATCTTGTGGTAAGGGAATGGATTGAGGACTTGAATTGGAGAAGGTTGTAGGCATAAGAAGGACAATGGTTGTTAATGATTTAATAAAAGAATGTGCTTAGCAAATATCGTCTTCTTGAGGAAAGGAAGAGCCACCCTAACTCAATATAGTGGTGGGAGATACCTGAGTGTCTCGAAGTGCCAATTACAAATCTTAGGAAGCTATTCATAAGTCTTTTCATTCTTTCACGGAGTTCCACCGAGAGGCCATCGTACACCACACAGCTTTAGTCAAAGTGGGGAAAGATGATAGAGGAAACTAGGAGTCTACGGGTATTTTTGGGTAGATGGCGGAAGCGATGGAATAGTTTGAGGGTAGAAATTGCATGACAGGAGATATTAGAAATATGGTGATTCCAGGAGAGAGTTTGATCTGTGAAAAAGCCTAAATTTTTAACAGAGGGGTAGAAGGTGATGGGGTGGTTATTTAGGTAAGTGAAGGAAAGTTTGTGTGGGATCTAAGAAGGGGCTTTGAACCAATGACAATGGTCTGAGTTTTAGCAGTATTTAGCCTTAATCCGTTTTAGTTTACCCAGGCACTGATTCGATCAAAATCTTGAATTTTAGCAAATGCTACTGATAACTCAGTGGGAGAAAAGGATAGATAGATTTGAGAATCATCAGCATAAATTTGGTGGGAACAATGGAGGATTGAGTCATTTAGGTTGTTAATATAAGAGCTGAAAAGGAGGGCAGATAGTGGTTGATTGAGTATGGAAACTGCTTGCGTTTGGTGTGAGAGGAAAGATTGGAACCAAGAGATGGAACTATTGGAGAAGGATAATGGAGTCAAAGGCTTCGGAGAAACCAAGAAGTATAAGTATAGTTACTTTTTTTTGTCATCTATTGCAGTCCAATAGATTACAGTCCAGAATATCACTGGTAATTTTAATCAGGGTAGATTGTTTAGAACAGCCACCATATATATATATATATATATATATATGTATGTATATTTTATTTATTAATTTTTTTTTTTATCATCACGGCGCTACAACTCAGTGACGAGTCTTGGCCTCCTCCACCAGCTTCCTCCAGTCATCTCTGTTCTGTGCGGCCATCATCCAGCTCCTGACTCCCAGGAGATCCCTTGAATCTCTTGACACACCGTCTGACCATCTTAGTTTTGGTCTCCCTCTTCTTCTTGTGCTGTAGAGATTCTGTCAGGATCATCCTAGGGATTGCTTTATTATCCATCCTTTCCACATGACCAGCCCATCTCAATCTTCCAAGCTTCATCCTCAGAACGACATTCTCATCATTAAAAGTTGAGCAAATCTTGGCATTTGTCCGTCTTCTCCAATTTCCATTAATCTGCACTCCTCCAAATATTCTTCGAAGAATTTTTCTCTCAAAGATTAGGAGATCTTGCTAAATTTTTTTAGTCGTCTGAAGCATAGAGCAAGACTGGGCGGATTAGTGTTTTGTAAAGATATAGCTTGTTATGCCGGGAGAAAAGGCGAGAGATGAATTCTTTGCGAAGTGCAAAGTAACATTGGTTAGCCATAAATATTCTTTTCTTGACCTCGACCTCAGGTGCATTATCTTGCGTTACCAGTGACCCCAAATACTTAAACTACTTTCTCAAAGTTAAAGGGGGCAATATTTATGGTCTCGCCTGGTCGAGGAACTTCTCCTGTGGCCATATATTTATTCCATGATTATATATATGTATAATCATTGAATGTTCCACGGAGTAGGGGGTAGGGAGAGCACGGGGTAGGGTCATCAGTCCTACTCCCAGTCAGTCTGAGTTGCCTCCAGTAGACTGACGGTTCTCACATACCTGGTGGAGGGAGACTCGGGAGGGGGATGGGAGCATGGCTTTCCCCTGGCCGAAAGGGGCCAAAAATAGCCCAAAATATATATATATATATATATATTGGGCTTGATAAACCAAAAATATATAGTGCACAAAATTGTTATATTTTAAATTAATTGTCTAAATTTGTATTTACAATTAAAGAAATATTCTTAAGGTTTATCGACTTTAAAAAAAATTAATTTATACTGGTAGTAGTGTGGTAAGTGAAAATTGTGCGATGCATCATACAATATTTTTTTAAAAATTATTATATCACTAAAACTTGTGGTTTGAACAATATTATCCAACCTGAAATCTGATTGTCAATTTTGCATTGTTCATTTAGTCTCCTGAATAAAAAAACTTAAAATAAAGGACTTAAAAATTAAATACTATAGAAAATGTTTTAATAAAAAAATTAGGCTCAGACTTTAATCAGATAGTATCATAATATACATTTAACTTTTTTAATCCATTTCATTGCTTGATTCATCTTCTCCGACTGTTTACAGTTCTGGTCTTAAAAAAGGAAGTAGTCGTTTGTTTTACAAACTATCTCCCGATTTTGATGTTGTAGCAGTTGTTGGTATTGGCAAAGAAGATGCTGGTTATAATCCAAGTGAAGACATCGATGAAAGAAAACAAAATATCAGAACTGCTGCAGCAGGTAAGTTTTCAATAAATAGGTAAAATAACTAAATAAGTTGTCTTTCAATTTATATTTTAGGATTTGATTACTATTATGGTTAAACATTTTATTATTCAACAGGTGAGATATCAACATTACTTACTCATTCTGCCCTTGTTTTGTCAGTTTAGTGTTTCTAAATAGTGTTCAGTAACATTTTATTTATTTGATGGTAATGAAAGTTCTAATACCAAAAAGTGGAAATTGAGCACCTTTTCTTGCTCACTGATTGTCTTCTTCATTATATGTAATTCCTAGCAGACTTTCATTACCAGGATTCATACTAGTGTTGAATTTTTAAAGCATGTAAGAGATTACAGTGTCTGATTGTACTCTCTAACCAGTAAAAAATTAATTTAAATTAATTATTTTTTATTTTGCAATGGAGGCCAAATATAGTGATTTTGCAGGTGTAATATTACGTTTTAAGCAATAAACATAATTGGGTAAATTTATATTGTATTAGTTTTGAAAGTCAATAGTTATAAAATGGTAAAGTTATTTTAAAAAATCTAGAATCGCTGCAGTTTTGAGATATTTGGACAAATGAGGTTCGTGGAAATGGTCTAGCCTTGCCTATTTAAGGCAGCAGACTATGTAAACCTCACCAGGTTGGCAGTTACACCTATAAATTGTTAGTAGTTTCAGTGTTAGTCAATTCTTCATGAAGAAGACTGATATCAGTGTTAAGGTTGTATTGTTTTTTCAAGTATCAATTATATTTGTATGTGTATTATATACCATGCTCCTCATTAGGATTGTGTTTTAAATACATAATTTAAATTGTATATCGTCAATTACAATAATAAAAAAAACCTGAATAATCAACTAAATTATTATTATTTATTGTTGCTTTTTAAACACAACTGTCTAAAAATATGATAAAATTCTAATATTTGGCGTGAACCTGAACAGAGATTTGAAAATTATTTATAACAAAACTGAGTATTAATTGAAACCTGGAAAAACATTTAGAATCCTTCAATGACGATTTGTTAAAATTTCATGATGAACTGAATTGAAAATCAACATTAAGGTTAATCAAAACTTCCTGAAAGAAAGTAAAAATCATTTAAGTATATATATTATTAATTATAGTATGTATGTACATATATATATTTCTATTTCTATTCTATAGTCTGAAGCACTATAACCCTTACAGGGTCTTGGGTTCAGTGGGAATGGGAAGTACTGCTTCAAAGCCAACGGTTGTGCAGGGAGGTGATTGGGCCGATATCATGCTCAACAGCTAGGCTTTCCCTCTTTTTTAATTAAGAGTACCCACTTTTTAGAGGCCAGATATGCCCCAGGAGGTTCTCCTGACCACAGGGTCGATCCATGGCTAATGAAAAATTACTAGTCATCAGCCGGATTCGAACCTGGGACCTAGAGTTCTGGAGGTCTGCTCACCCACTGAGCTTTCCCGCTCCCTATATATATATTATTCCTAATTACATTTTTCTGTTTTTATTCCATGTCTTTATAGCCTTTTGAAAAATATATAATGAATGGTTAAATCTCTGTAATGTCAACAATTTTTAAATGTACTTGGTTACTTTATTTATTCATAGTTACTTGAATCTTGATAAGAAAATAATATATACAGGAAGTTTGGTGAATTAGTTACAGAACCATAACATTTATTACTGGTATGTATTCTGATTATATTGCGTGATAAAAACCTTAAACTTTTTTAACCAAGTTTTCGCCTATTTAAAAATATGAATTCCTCTTTTTGTTTGATGAACTTACTCCAATTTTTTTCTATAAACTTTTGAAATATTTATTTATTAAAAAATATTTTCAATATTGTATTATGAAAATTAATTTATATATTGCTATCAGAATGTTATTATCATATTTTATTTTTGATTATTGTTCATTCAAAACTATATATGTATACTATTTTATAAATAGTTGGCTGTAAAAGTCTCCAGGAACTTGAAGTATCAACACTCTGTTTGGAAAGTTTAACTGATGCTGCTGCAGCTGCTGAAGGAGCAGCTTTAGGTCTTTGGCTTTATCAAGAATTTAAAAACACAAAAAAGAGGAAAAAGATACCTGAAATTAACGGATATGAAGTAGAAGACAAGTAACTATCATTATTTTTAATCTAGTATATGTCAAATCTCATTACTATCTTTAATTCCATTGCTTTTCACTTAGAGAAGACTGGGATTCTGCAATGATAACAGCTAACGCTCAAAATTTAGTTAGACATCTTGCAGAAACTCCTTCAAATCATTTGACTCCAACTGCCTTTGCAAATGTAAGTAATTTATATATTTTCATATTAAGAAAAATGTATTTAAAACGAAATATTCCAGTAGGTTATTTACTTGTTAGGTTGATGCATTACAGAGTTATCTGTCTGACTGCTTTGTTATCTTTTACATACATAAGTCATTGAATTTTCTTTGACTATCTGTTATATTGTGTTAAGGGGTTTTGTTCAGGAACTATGTGATATGGTTTCGATTCAATTTAGGTCTTTCAATTAGTATCTTATTTGGCCATCAGTATCAGAAATTTTTAAATGATATTTTAGGTTGCTGAAAAGGAGCTGACTGAACATGGAGTAGAAGTATGCTCATATGATCAAAGCTGGGCCAAAAATAAGAAAATGGGTGCATTTTTAGCTGTTTCTCAGGGATCAAAAGAACCCCTAAGATTTGTTGAAATGAAATATTTAAATGGAAATAAAGAAGATAAGCCATTTGTTCTTGTAGGTAAGTTGAGTTTTTGCTCTCCTTCAAAACTTACCTATTCTACCTACAGAAATAATAAAGTATTTTTGAAATCACTTTTGAATGAAAAATTATATCAAACTTATGTATCTTATTTATTTTGTTACATGTTTGTAATTGAATCTCAATACTTCATTTGATGTTGTTTTTTTACTTGCACAATGGTTAGGATTCTTAACTTAATTTCTTATCAGTGAAGTAGATCCCTGTGCCAATGTCGTTTAACCTATATTCTGGTCTACCAGGTAATAGGGAGTAGGAAAGGGACTGGAATAATTATGAGCTAAAGAAATAAATATTATGTACATAATATTTTATGTATGGTATGTTCACGTTATTGTGTGAAGTATTATTTAAAATAAACCAAAGTGAGTTAATGATTTTGTGAAGAAAAAATAAATTGGTTTGTTTTATCTACATTTTTACTTTCACTTACATATATATGTAATATTTAGTAAGGGTAATTATTGCGATCGTGAAAAATTTCGAATCTCAGTTTTCAACGGAAATACATGTTTTGAGGTCCCCTGAGTTCAAATAACCAAATGTCCCAAAATGGTCTGTGTGTGTTAACAGTCTAGCTCATAAACGAAAAGAATTACGAAACTGACATTAAGTATTTAAGGTTTGTATATGGGCTGGATGTGACAGCAACTTTTTCGTTAAAATCGGCTAACTGGAAGTGCCACTTTATATGAACGCTGAAACACATTTTTACAATTTTCTCAAAAATGGCTCTAACGTTTTTGATCAAACTCGGTGTATCATTGTATAATAAAGTGGTCTTTAATATCATTTAGGTCGTATCCCCGTTGATGTCACTTTACAGGGCTTAAATGCCCAATGTTCATATATGTCTTCCTCTAAAGTACCTTTAATATGGTTTATTTTAAAAAGTTAACCATTTCGCATTATTCACAGATACGAAAAAATGCTACATCTAACTTTTGAAAGAATTTGATAAGTTAATAAAGGAGAAAAAAAAATGCAGAAAAACCTGCGTTGCTATAGGCTGTAGCGCCTAAACGAATGTACCGATTTCAATGAAACTTCGCTAAAGTCATTTTCTCGATTCCCTTTAAATTTATCTATATAACATACTTCAACGAAAAGAAGCTGGAAAAAAAGTTACGAGAGATGTTAAAATTATATTCCGAATAACTCAAAAAATATACGCTTTTTTGGGGATATTGTGATAAAATGTTTCAAAGATATTTAAATTGCCTAAAAAATTAAAGAAGTTTCATCAAATCAAAGCACTGTTAGTGGAGATATCGCAATTTTAAAATATTTTTACTTTCACTTACGTATATATGTAATATATAGTAAGGTTAAGTATTGCGATCGTGAAAATTTTCGAATCTCAGTTTTCAACGGAAGTAAATGTTTTGAGATCCCCTGAGTTCAAATAACCAAGTATATTGCAAAATGGTCGTGTGTGTGTGTGTGTGTGTGGTGTGTGTGTGTGTGTGTGGTGTGTGTGTGGTGTGTGTCTGTCCGTGTGTGTGTTAACAGTCTAGCATGGTTTTTTTAGAAGTTTATGGAATTTCCTAAAAAAACAAAAAAAAATCGTTAAACTCGGACAATTAGGAGGAAAGATATGGTCTCTAGTTTTTTTCCCTGCAGAGGCGAAAATTTGAATAAATTTAAAATATATATTTTTAATTGTTGAGACTAAAAAAAACTTTTTTCTACAGATATTTAATAAAGTATCTTTCCTAAGAACATCTTTGGTGGTGCAAGGACACTCAGTGTTGTCATTTGTGTAAAGATAATTGATATAAGTATAATGATACAGAACATGGAACATGTCAAGTAATTTAATAAATAAAAATTTAATATTAAATATAGGTTTAAACATCAGCAGATTCTATTATAATATATAGAATTATATATTGACCATATATATATAAGATGGTACTAGTTCACATGAGCTCCGCACGGATTACGCATGGTTCATAAAAGATTTAGAAAAATAATTATTTTAGGTTATATAAATTTAGTCTAAAATATTTTTCTGTTCTATCATCAGGAAAAGGAGTTACATTTGACACAGGAGGGATCAGTATTAAACCAGCAGCAGGAATGGAGGAGATGAGGGCTGATATGAGTGGTGCAGCATGTGTTTTAGGTACCATGAAAGCAGTTTCCCAACTGGGCCTAAAAATAAATCTCATTGGTAATAATATTAATAACTCATTTATAAAATTATGTTGCAGAAATGGTGGTTGACTATGTAAATAGTGAATAAGTTTGTATAAGATAAGTTCATCTGACATAAATTCCATCTTTCATTTTCGCTATAAATATATATTTATACGTTATATATATACAAAATATAACATATATTATTACAAGTTCTTAGAAATAAGGAACATAATGCGTTTATAATAGTCTTGATAACTCTTCATGATTAGTGGTTTTTAAAAGATGAATTATTTACTAACATCTACTATCAAAGTGGTCCAATCAATCAATTCATAGATCTTGCTTCCACTCAAACAGTTCTCTTTATATTGCTGCTGCATTTGACGAATAATATCTGCTGGTTTCACATCTTCTGAATTGAGGAAAGGTATCACTGCTTGCATTTCTTCTTTAGTGCAATCTGACAAAGGATAACTTATTTCGAACAGACTTTTAAACAAAATCACAAAGAAGGTAACATGAAACAATATTTTCCATGAACAGCTGATAGAATTTATAAGTTATAAAACAACAATCAGTGCTGCCATACAGATAAACTCATTCAGAGAAAATTCGTATTTTCCTCTACTTTTTGACTTATCCTCGTATTTCGGACTAATGAGATTTTGTTGTATACCGATTTTTTCTCAGACAAAACCTTTGTCTTCTTCAGAAAAATCACATTATCTTTATATGTCTATAATCATATTATTTTTATTTGCAATATTTAAAAAAAACTGCGCTCTTCTCTTTTAATTGAAGTAATTATCTTCTAATACTCATTAAAAAAATATAATCATTTGTATTGAAATATTTAGACCTACTTCTTTTCTGATATAGGTTTAACACCACTATGTGAAAATATGCCTTCTGGAAGTGCAATAAAACCTGGAGATATTGTTCAAGCTATGAATGGAAAATATATTCAAATTGATAATACAGATGCAGAAGGTAGATTGATTTTAGCTGATGCTCTCTGTTATGCTTCTTCATTATCTCCAAAGTTAACAGTAGACATTGCTACATTAACAGGTGATGACATATTTTGAATTTTATCATTATTAATGTTCTTTGCTCTTAATTTTCATCGCAGCAACATCCTCCACCTAATACTCCCACATCCTGCCCTAAATTTTTTTATATCAAGGTTTGATGATCTTTCCTCATACTGTAGTTTCCTTATTCTAACCCTTTCAACATCCCAATCCCAAATCTCCTCCACCTTCATTTAACAGAAGGCAAATTAACTGGAACCTCTTCCATCAAATACTTATGGTTGATAATATAGACTAGACCTCAGAATTCCCTTTAAAAACCCAGAAGATCTAGACGATGCAGTGTACTCTTCACTATCTTGATTCAATTAGCAATTTTGACTGCATCCTCACCTTATCATTCCCAAAAATACCCTAAGACTTATTGGACCTTATCCAATCCAAAGGGTGCTCTAGGATCCTCTGGTAAATAATCAGGCTTCCTGATGATCAGAAATTATATAACTATTATTCCAAACAGGTAAAAAAAAAAATGGCTCCCTTTAGATCCCAATCATACAATTTCTAACTTACCTCACCATCTGCAAGTGATAACTCTCTCTGGAATGTAACTTAAAAAAATCATTAAATTCCACTTCATCTCTCATTCTCTCCGCCGTAATGATGGTTCCTGGGCTTCGTCAATTGAAAATAAAGCAGAAGAATTCACCAAACATCTATTCAACACATTCACTTCCCATCCCGAATTCCATCCCACCCACACTGCTTAAGTTGAAGAATTCCTTTCTTCACTGATTCCTCTCTCCTTGTCTCCTAAAGCTGTCAACCCCTCTGGGTTTAAATTTCTTATAAACAACCTAAAACCTCGAAAATTCCCTGGACTTGATCTTACTTCCCAGATCCTTAGACAACCTCCCAAAAAAAAAATTATATTCATTACATATCTTTACAATTGTATCCTCCACACAACCCACTGTCCTCTGATGTGGAAACACTCCATAATTATTCTCTGTCCTAAACCAGGTAAACCTGTTAATAATACCTCATCCTATATAGACCATAGGTAAGGAACTGCTGCCACAGAGGCCACAAGTAGCCTTCCAGTCTCAGTGCCAGTGGGGGGAGGGGCTTTTAACTCTGGCATAATTCTCTAGTCTTACCCCAGGCCTGCGAAAACCCCATGTAGTCAAAAAATGAGGAAAGGCACCCAAAAAAAAATACCACTATCCTATCATCTCACTCAAACTCTGATGCAAATATGTTACTTTTATCCTCCAATTGTTTTTAATTTAATATCTCTTCCCTATTCAGACACCTTGGCTTCCTTCTAGACAAAAGACTAAGTTAGAACCCACATATCAGACTTAAAAGACCAGAGCTTAAGCAACTATTAGCCAATTATGTAGAATACTAAATAGATCATCTCATCAATCAACTGAAAGCGAACTATTAGTTTACAAGACTGTACTGAAAGCTATTTAAGCCTATGGACTTGAACTGGGACAGCTAAACATTCGAGTATCAAATGTATCTAATCCTTCCAGTCGAAAGTACTTAGAACAATAGTCAATCCTCTTTATTATGTCACAAACAAGACCTTACACTATAATCTTAACATATATATCCTTGACATCAACACATCAAGATTTACAACTTTCACCAGAATCTTATTATCATCCTAATCCTCTAGTTCAATCCCTATTCAGTTTTGACCATTCCTATAATCTTCCTCGAAGGTTAACACGGCAATGTTCCCGAAACCTTTTGTTAATATGCTTTTGGATTCCTGGCAATGGCCAGCTCTCCAATCAAGTCTTAAGCGTCTGCTGCTCCATGCCATCTTTCAGTTTCCAATGGCTTTTAATAACAGTGAGGTGGCTGGAAGAGAAGCACTGGAATCTCTTAAATCTTGCTTTGTTTGCTACATTTAGAGGACAAAACTAGGCTTGGAGTTCCATGGACGAATGTAAATATCATACACAGGTATGAACAAGGAGATAATTTTTTTTCTTAGATCATTTTCATTTACTTTCCTCTTGTTTGCATATATTGTATGATTGAACACTTGAGCCTTGCCCTTAAATGTGCCAGATTGTATTATCATCTTTTTTTAGTTTATTGAAAGTAAATTTTAAAAAACTAATGTTCTTTATACAATAATTCAACTATTGAATCCAGGTGCGATGAGGATTGCCCTTGGTGGAGTTTTTAGTGGTGTTTTTTCAACTTCAACACCCATGTGGGAGGAATTAAGAAAAGCCGGATCAGTCACAGGTGATCGTGTTTGGCGTTTTCCATTGGCAAATGCTTATTCCACAAGTCTTGTAGGTTAGAAAAAAAAAATATTGTGAAAATAATCAGAAGCAAAGATAAACTGTTTATGTATAATTTATGTTATAATTTAATTGTATTTTTAGAACACACTGGTGTAGATTTAATAAATATAGGAAAAGGAGGTGGAGGTGCATGTACTGCTGCCGCATTTTTGAAGGTATTAATATTGTTTTATTAATGTTTTAATAACAAGTTTAGATACATCGTTTATTTTTTCTACCATTCCACCATACACTTCTGCTAAAAGAGATCTAGCGTCACATTATTTGTATTACATTAGTTTTTCTAGCTGGAAGTTTAAATAAACTTCTTTCTCAGTTTAAGAAATTATTGGAAACAATATGGCTCTCTTTTTCCGGTTAGTTCACATGTTCATGTGCAAAAGTAATCTCATTTATTTGTATTCATATTTTTTTAACATTCTTTGATTAGGTAAACGTGTTTATCAAACAAATTTCGAAGGATATTTTAATATAAGTTATTTAATTGACAAAAACTAACAATACTGATAGTTTTGATGTACAGAAAATTTCTAATAACTCAGAAATTAATATTTGAAATATAATATTTTATCCAATCTTACAGTACTGTTTTACTAATTAATGAAATTGTGTAGGAATTCGCTCCAAAAGGTGACTGGATGCATTTAGATATTGCTGGTGTAATGGGTTCTGATCAAAAGTTGATGGGCATCCCATACTTATCTGGAGGTATGTCTGGAAGACCTACAAGGACTTTAGTACAGTTCTTGACTCAAATTGCTTGTAAATAATTATATGAAGTAAAATAATTTGTAATTATATTAAACCTTTTATTTAAACCTGTATAGAACTTTTTTTTTTTATTTAAGTCAAAGTTGTAGGTAGGAAAATTAGTTACTGATTAGTTAATTGCATTGATGTTGCCAATAAAATATGATTTATGTCATATTTTTGTTTTCCTGACATTCGAATAGATAAGTTCAATTAATACAACTGCCACTAATTTTGTTTTGTTCAAGCAAGTTATGCTTGATTCCCAATAGTTAATTTTTATTAGGGAAGCATTGTATTTATATATGCAGAAGTCTTTTATTTTCGTAACCTATTATTAAAAAAAACGTGTACCTTTATCATATAAAACAATTTCAATTTTCATTGCTTCTGTATATTAAAAGAAAATTCCTACTACAGGATAGTGGTTTAGAATCCTTATGAGGAATAATGTTCTTCTAGCACTAACAAAGTAGAGCTAGAAAATCACCAGAAGCAATTACAATCATATTCAGTGATAATAAAGATTGCTTTACTTATGTATTATAACTTATGAGCTATATCCGAACAGAAATGAACAAAATTTAATTTGAGTACGGAGTACATTACTCAAATATAACCTCTCATTCATTAATGATTATATTATATTTTTCAGTTCTCAAAAGTAATTTTTTTTTTTCATTTTTATATCAAAAGAAACAAGATAGAATATAACAACTTTTGTTGTATAATATAAACACTTTCCATCAATAGACAATAATGTTTAAAATCATTAACAGTTAATTGTTCTTATAAAGTGTGTCCCGTAGCTAGAGGAAAATATTTAAAGGGATGATAACAGGCCCCAAGAGCTACAAAAAAGTTCCGATTTTCCACAAAAAAAGAAGTGAGAAATATAAGCTTTTTTTTTTAGTGTCACATTTTTTTATGAAAAGGAAGTGATAACTTTAACAATATTTAATTTAAGTAATTGGCAATTGCTTCATAACAAACTAGATAAAACTTACTTAAAACAAAAGTAGAGTTTGTTATGTTTAAAACCACTTAAAGAGGACTTAAGAGAAGATAAACTAAGCTAATTTCTGTTTAAAAAAAATCATGAATTGTTCACGATTTTTTCCTATCACTCTCTAACTATACTACAGATACCACACTTTTGGAAAAACTTCATTTTTTAATAAGCTTGAGGTCCATATTAATTAAGTTGAGGTTTATTACAAAATAGGTTGTGTAAAAAAATGAGGTGATTTTGAGAGGTGATAACATACCACCTAAAAATATCCTTGTTTTCAGCAAAAATTACCAAAATAAATTATTGCAAGATCTAATTTTTTTTTCATTACCCTGGGATGTATTATAATAAAGATAAATTTATAAATACACTTTAATTTATTACAAAAATTAAAATAAGGATTTTTTAATATTTATGATCTAAAGTGATGATGTAACTGTGCTTTCTATTAAGATCTGTATTATAGAAATTGATTCGCATTTATAAGAGACCTGCTAAATGTTTCCAATCCTTCTATCTATGTTTTCATAAAAATAATTCAAGCATTGATCTGGTTTCTTTAGTTTAAACATAAATATAAGGATTGGATAGAGATCTAAACAAATATCCTCATAAATGTTCAATTTACTGCTTTAGCAGGAGTGAGAATTTCCTTCAAAACTGTATGCTTGATTTGGCCAATTTTTGGGGAAAAAACGTCCTCTTAATGGCATAATTATTCAGTATGGTCAGTCTTTAAATTCTCAGTTCTTTTTTTTACAATAGCACAATTTACTCTAAGAAAACATGTTAAATAGGTCAATAGAACTGCCACTGGTTAAGGCTATCAAAAATTAAGTAAAGCACATTCCACACTAATTCCTATTAATATACAAAGAACATAAAAAATAATTATTTGTTTCGTAATACAAGTGACTGCAGAAAAATAAATGAATTCGTAAACAAAGATTTGCAACAATTATAAAATTTAATCCTGTAGTTTCTCACCATTTTCAGGTTAGATAATTTATTAGAGATTTTTATGAAATTATATACAGATAGTCATGTTTAAAAGTCAAGTGTACAAAACTTCATCAAAATTAAATAATTACTGTATCTCTTTACTCCAAATCATCGACATTGGAAATTGCATAGAAACTAAATACATATATATGTCTACTAAATCCATACAGACATATACCTCTCAGACTAATGGATCAGCAAAAAATATGCACTTAAAAATTGTAAGTCTAATAATAGCTGCTTCTCGTATACGTAGATAATAAAACTCTATGTACCAATCTGCAACAACCAACACACTAAGTCTATTCCCATTTTCTTGAATTCTATTCTTGGGTTCCAAGCCTAGCATGTCGTTATCATTATTTGCTGAGTCATTTACATATTTAAGGTGGAAATAAAGAGATGAAGTTAAAATGTATGTTTTAACTACATATATACAGAAATGGTCACCAAACCAACTTAATGATGTATGATTTGCGGTCAAATAAATTCAGTCTACTGATTGCTTCCTGCAGTGCCTGATACAACGCCCTGATGAAGACCTACAAAGTGGGTCGAAACATAGTAAACAATAAAATACTATTTTAATATGTAGTATATATTTTACCGCACCCCCTGACCAACTCCTTCTCATCAATATTGAACTAAATTTTGAGGAACTGGTCCTTCTCTAGTTCAGTTCAAAATATTTAATGAATTCTATTGGGAATTCATAAAAATGAAAATAATTGCAAGAAAATCCAAAAATATTTAAAAGAAAAAGTTCATATGCTGTACATCCTTCAATAAGGACAAGATCAACTGAGCTGACAAGTTTTGCTGAGCTTAATTATTAGCTCAAAAAATTAAGTTTAAATTACAAAGTTACATTTCATTTTGAAAAACATGAGAGGAAACATAGGTAAGTGTAAATTTCTGTTTCTTTATCTTTATAAAACTGACAGGACCATCAGTAGTGCAATATAGATAAAATAAAAAATTTGGTACACATTTATGCTAACCATAAACTTAACAATTAATTACATAATTAAAATTGATAGGGAATATCAAAGGATTCCAGGTCCAATTGGTAAAATTTGAGGATAAACAATAATTTACAAGGCATGATTTATTATGTGTAGAACATTTGTTCTATTCATTTAGTTACGTTCAGTCTAAGATACTAAATAATACCTGATATTTGGCATTGACAATACAATTGAAAAAAATAGTAAATTGTTTTATTTCCTTTTATTTGAAAATTCTATTTATAAACATCAAATTGCTAATACATAGTTCACAGAAATATATTTTTCATTCAAACAATTAAAAGAAATTAACAATTAAGTTCAATAAACCATTTCAGAATAATTTATTTTTGAACTAAAATGTATATATCAATATATAGTGTATATATATATGTATATATATTTTTTTCTTTTAGATAAGAATAGAAACTATTTCAAAATGAAGCCAATAAAATAAATTTGAAGAGATATTTTACTTAATAAACTTATTCAAAAATTAAAAGCTTATGTGTTAATCAGACCATGAAAAGGGTTATAAAATATACTTTTAAACTAAAACATTTTATATAACATACATACATATTAATTTAATGCCATTATTTACATGACTATTTCAAAACATTTAATCAAGTAGCAAAAATCAAAGTGTTTAGTCTCTATACAAAATAAAACTTAAAGATGACATCAATAAAAGCAAGAAAACATAGTGATGACCTCAAAGTGGATTTATTTACACAATGAAGCTAAATTATGAGAACCTACTTAATAACTTTTTTATGGGAAATAAAGATAATTTAGGTGGGATTTGTCATAAAATTGCTAATAACAGATGTGAAATTATCTTTGTGTGTATAAATTAAAGAATATACAAGATCAAAAATTATGAAAAGCACTAATGCAATACAACTAGTTCAAATATTAATATGAAATTGTTAGCCCTTTTAATTAAGGCAATTAAAATCCACAATAAAGTATGTCTCTATGATATGCAAAAGAAGTCACACTAATCTTAAATAAGACACATTCATTAACAAAAAGGGAAAATTAATAAACTTATTTATTACCTCAAATTAACTGAATTTAGTTCAACTAGAGTACACTCTGTGGATGAGAAAACCTGAAAGAGATTGAAGAGCATAACTGCTGCTGATTTCTTAGATATAGATGAAAACAACAGATCAATAGAAAAACAATCATTTCACTTATTGTCCTAACCATTGTTCTGTGTTAAGTACATCTTGTCACAGCCTTCCATTGCAGCACTAGTCTGTGACCAACCAAGAAGTAGTACCCAACTCAATATGAAAATCATATTGATTTCATTATTATCAGGTTCTTGGTATCTTGCAACAATTCAAACATCATTCAAAGGGCTTGGAGGAGTGTGTAAACAGTATATCTTCTTTACTCCCTTTTTTCAGCATACTTTTTTGTATGTTCTTCTGCTGATTTCATGAATTTTTTCTTGTTCTTATCAAATTCTTCAGCTATGTCAGCTCTCAATGGGTGTGCAGGTTCTGGATCATTAATTAATTTCACCAAACCTGCGATTACAGCTTCTACCCTAGTAGCAGGTTTCCAGTTTTCAGTCGAAATAATACCAAGGCAAACTTGGCCATTTTCATCTATGTTGGGATGGTAGATCTTCGTTTTAAATAAAACAGTAGGAGGTTTGAATGGGTAATCTCTTGGAAATGTGATTTGTATGCGAAAGGCACCTTTATTATAAGGAGGTTTTTCTGGAGTAATCAACCCTTCCCATACATAAAAATTACTTTCATCCACTTTTAGTCCTTCAAATGACTTCACTCCATTGGTCTGCATTTCTTGAAATTCTCTTTGAAGCCTTTTATTCATTGCCATAATGCCTGGAAACAATAATGAATTATGAACACTCAATTGTGTTGGTTCTTTTTTACATTTTAATCTTCTATGAATATATTACATTTTACTTACGATTTTTGTATTTTTCAATTATATTTTGTAAACTGAGAATTAACAAAGATGATAAGATGATCAACCCAACAGGTTGGTTATCAGACTATGGGGTTATATATTTGTGCATATATCGACATATCAATCGGTATCGATAAAAAAAATTGTAATTTTACTCTAGAATTTTCTCAGTAATCTTAAAGATGGGATGTCGGATTATATCTTATTGATGTAATTTTTTAAATTAAAGATGAGAAAGCATTTTTCTTGATATAATAATTTTCAAGATAATAGATTACTGCAAGGAAATCATAAATATATACTCAAGCACGTCAAATTTAACGAATTGATGTCGAATAGCTTCCGGTAATTATATTCATTCTGATTTCAGATCAATTGGATGCTTACTTGTGGAGGAGGGGGGGGGGGGGTAGAAAATAGGACAACGGTCCCGAATGCGACTTATTGATGGGTGCAAAAACACCAGAATCGCTTATAATTTTTAATATATATTTGATTGCGGGATTGCCTGGAATTGTAGAGAATGTAAATTTACAAAATCTTTAAGTTTGCCCTGCCTCCATTTGGCTTAACAAGAGCACTACTATGTAATGGATTTACAATACTACGTATGTCATAGTTATTCGAACATTATTGAAACGAGAAGCGAAAATAGCAGGTGGCAAAAGACATGGTATTCCGCAAAACTCAAAACTGTGGAATACGAAATAAAAGATACTTTTCGTAGATTTTTTTATTTAAATTTATCTTCTGACAAATGAGAATAAACTTAAATAATCGTAAGACCTACATAAAGAATATATATATAATAAAAGATTTTATACCTGTATGTTAATGAAAAACAACGCCTGTTAATGGAAACAGAGTGGGATTGCTTATTGTTAAGATGCTGACTACCAATACTCCAAGTCACCAGTTGGAATCGGGCTGATGGTAGATAAACTCTTTGTTCTGTTTTGTCAGCTGTGGTTCGAACCTGAAGTTGGTAGATCCTCCTGGGGCACACCCAGCCTCTTTTAAGTGAGAACCCTTGATTAAATAATTAATTAGGGGGAAAAATCTGGCAGTCGATTGAGTATAATCTCCATTAAATTACCTCCTTGCACAACCATTGACCAAGAGATGGCACTTCCTTATACAGACTTGAACCCAAAGACCCTTATCTTTATTCTACAAAAATAGTTATTTATAAAGATAATAACTTCATGAATTGTATTGGCACAGGATCTTGTTAATGAAAAAAATTACATAACCTCTTATACTGATGGCTCAATCCACAGTCTAGAAAATACAGCATATTAACAATAATTTTATGTGAGAAGGAGCTGATTGGGGGGTGCGGTCAAATAAATAATAAATTAAACAAATAGTATTATTTAATTTTTGCCAACGTTTCGACAAACTTTGCAGGACTTCATCAGGGCATAGGGTGTAGCACTGCGGGAGGCAGTTGAAACACTGGCCCTTGTTTCATGTGTAGCCAGTGTTTCAACTGCCTCCCGCAGTGCTACACCCTACGCCCTGATGAAGTCCTGCAAAGTGGGTTGAAACGTCGGCAAAAATTAAATAATACTATTTGTTTAATTTAGTATTTATTTGACCGCACCCCCCAATCAACTCCTTCTCATATTATATCAACGGTCAACCATCTCTACATTAATAATTTTATATGTTATCAATCCATTCAGTTATTAGTATAAAGAGCTCTGAGACAGAACATAGAACAAATATGTATGTGTTGAGAGAGAGGAAATTATCGAAAAAGTTAGTAGAAGCAGGACTGTGGAGAGAAACCAAGGGACCCAGGAATAATTTTTCGATATCCCTAGCCAATTTTCCCAGGCCCCATTAAATACTAAAACTCTACCTAAGCCTTTTAGAAATTATCCAAAAAAACATTGTGCAAAGTTATTATATAATATATGTAACATTATGATTATTTATTAAAAGGAATTTATAAGTTAAAAAATGAAAACCTATAGGCCTAGCCAAGCTACCTTTCGAGTCTGGAACTGCAACCCCCTCCCTCTAGTAGAGCTAGAGTGGAAGAAAGCTTTTTCTGAATTAGAAGTGGCAAGAAATAAAACTAGATCAACACTTCCCAATATTGTTGCCTAGTGTAATATAAAAGTGGAAAAATTTAATTATGAGACCATGAAAAAAAAGCCCGTTGTCTTGCATGGGAGGGAGTACTTGACCACCCTAAATAAAGGAACTTAAACAATAAAAAAGGTTTGCTGAAAGCCCAAGGAAAATATTGTTTCACATAAAATTAAATTCAAGCAGAATTTCTAACCTACTTGATATTCAAAGCTTCTGGACTCCCTGTAGATACCATTGTAAACAAATATTTTATTCTATATTATAGTGAAAATTTCATGTTTAGTTTTCCAACAAATGGGCATTTACAAAAGCAAATACATTATCACAGTACTACTACTTCTGTGCCCAAAAAACGGGCCTGAATATATTTGTATAGCACCCTTAGTTGGACTAAAAAGATTTCTAGCTTAGTTATTCCTAAAGCAATGTTATAGAATCATTGCCCATTTTTGGTTCAATACATATGAACAAATAAAATTTTGACCAGATATGACCTTAAATTTGGTTGATTTAAATTTTGTAATTAAAAAATGTCAATTTAAAGAATTGTTAAAGTATCTGTTCACCAAATTTACTTAAATATTAAAATTATTATCACAACAGCACCCCTACTCATGGTGTATGCTGCTGTATTTAGTTTGAGAAACCTTTGTAGGGGCATTTATTCATTTGTGATATCTATAACCACAAAATATTTTTTACTAAAGATAATTCATATAAGTGTAAAAAGCCAATAGAAAATTATTAGATCAATTAATAAACCATTATTATATATATTGATACTTGTCAAGTCAATCATTCTCAAACAGAATTTCATGTAACAACACAAGCATATCAATGCAACATGTGCTTAGGAATATTAAATATTTTTAAAACAAAGTATCAATTATCTAATTTTATAAGAAACCTATTTGCAACACTTACCTTTATTCTAAAAAAAAAAAAAAAAACAAAAAAAAAACAGTTATTTATAAAGATAGTAACTTTCATATCACTTTAAATGGCTAAATTAAATTAACATTTTGCAACAAGATACAAGGATTATTCAATACATTGCAGGATGGAATCAATTTAAATATTACTTTTATTTCTTATAACTACAGTATCCTTAATTAAAACAACAAGATTTTGGTTGAATTAACTGTAACACTTAGACATTGAAATAAAAAAAGACATGTACATTTAAAATAAATAATAGAATATTATTAGAGAAAAAGAGGAGCTGAGAATATGGGGAAGGTTACACACATTTGTTTTCCCAAACAAGGAATGATTACATGTAAATCACAATATCTACACAAGAATATTAAAATTCAAAACTTTCATTACAAAGCATTTCTTTCAAATATCAAATCTCAAACATAATTTAATATGATTCAATACATTAGCATTTCCAAGTATGGTGTTTGATTTTGGTTTATAATAATGTAAAAGAATAATCTAATACGAAAATTTTAAACCTACAACCAAGTTAAATCATTTGTATTATAGTGCACAATAGACTTTGATGAAATGAAAACATACCTGTATTATAACCAAACATTTTAACATAATATTTGGATTATCAATAACTCACTTGGCTAAGTTTTTGGTAGAATATATCATTAATAAACATATTAATATCACTGAAAAAGGATGGTTTGGAAAACGTCAAACTAGGCATCTACCGTTTATTTTTGTAGGACCAGCTGATTTAAATGTTAACTTAATTTAAACTACTTACTTTGTATGGTTATAAAAAAGAAATTAAGGTTCACAAGTGAATAGTACAGTAATTTTGGATAAGGGGATAAAGTTGGGCATTTATGAGATACAGTTATAATAATATAACTAATAATAAAGTAATGAACAACTTACCAAAACTATTTAAATGATTTGTTACATACACTTTGGGTCTCAGCATATCAACAAATTAGTGGATGAGATTTGACATTAGAATGCAACATCATTTCATTTAAGATCTACTTAACACAAATATGATAAAAGAAATTTTGAAGGCTGACCTCAGTAAAATCCAATCCATTAGCTTTCAAAATTCATTTGCAAATACTAACACACAGAAGAAGAGTCAAAAATGCAAATTGTAACAATTGTACATGCAAAGACAATTTTTTCCAACTTATTTAAAAGGTCTTATTAACTAGTCTCTTAAAGTAGAAAAGAAATGATTGTTTTGGGAATAAAAATTATTTCCATATGAGTTTTAATTTCAATAAAACTATTCGTATACATTAACAATTCCTGAGGAGTTTGTATTTAAAATTGCATGATATTTTACAATATTTACATATAATTCTGTATTATCTGTACAACAAAAAAATTATTTGTACCAAAAGAAGTGAAATTTTCATATTTGACTTCAGATAAAATTATTTTTAAAACAGCATACAATTTAAAACTAAAAATATACATTTCAGGAAACTGGTATTACAAAGGATCATGGCTGGAAATTAAGATTAAAAATCAACTTTCACCAACTTACTATTTTTTTTAAACTAAAAAAAAAAGGAATTCGGCGAAATATAATTTATTCATAGTCAAAATAGAGAACCAACCCAAGCAACTAGATTCAATACTGCCATTCATTTGATTTTTTTAAAACTAAAAATTACAGTTTACCATCTAGTAATGTAATATATCCTTCCCGCAGTAAGAAATGAAACCTGCTAAATAAAGAAAATATTTTTACAAGTGGTTAAAATGATTTTTCATTACAATGAAAAGCTGATATACAAATGATCAAACTAAACACATAACCGTAACCGTCCTTGTGGCCTTGCCGTAGTTGGGTAATAAGACCCTAAATATAACAAAATCATGAATTTTGAGTAATTTTATTATTATGAACAGAACTACAAACAATAAATTAAATTTATGATTGAATGTATTATTAAGCCAAATTATTTATCATTATTCAGGAAAATTAACATTGATTTTTATTTTCTTATCTTTTTATTTAACGAACGCTTCATATCTAGGTTTAGCCTTATGCTCAATTAGATTTGAAAGTACCATAAGACTAAACATTGCATTGAAAAAACAAATTAAAAAGAGAGATTTCTTTGCTTAACATCAAAATAAAATTTTTAACTTCTTTTTGGTTCAATTTGCTTGAAAATTTCAAATCAATTTAAAAAGTCTAATTTTTTACTGATTTCAGACATGCAACCTTTTTACTCAATCAGTATAAAATTAACATAGTGAATTAACCTTCACTGGTGAATAAATTTGTTTTTAAGAAGCAATCTGTTAGATAAACGACATAAAAAGTATGATATCCATAATTTCAGAGTCCATGAAACCTAATATACTGTCTGTATGATAAGAAATGTTTAAAAAAATAATAGCCTGACAGGGATGGAAAGATGGAACCTGCTACAATTAAAATTTGTTATTGATTCTTTTGAAACAGTTATATTCATTCACCTCCACACAAACTGTTTGATTTAGTGAACAATTATTAAGACTTTACCAAATCAAATGTGCACTGAAAAATTGAACATAAAACATGGAAGGATGGAAGATCAATTAAGATCCATAAATATAAAATATAATAGAATACACTTATTTAAAAAATATTAAATATAAAGAAAAAACTCACTTTAAAAGTTAACTTCTGATGCAAAATTTGGGAGCAAAAATGAGAGAGTAACTGCATTTTTCACACTTTTATATTTTAATGAATAAAGACTTTATAAGGGCATATGGAAAACAGATTAGATATATTTTCATCAATTAAGTGAAGATTAATTCATATGCAATATCATTATAGCAAAATTTTCTTCATTTCAATATAACAAAAACTAGCTTTAATATAAAATTTTGAGACATACTTGATTAATTTTTTTTATTTTTTAAAAATAGATGATTTTAAAAATAATTTTCCATTTTTCTTTTTGTTTTAATGCAATATACTGATTTGAAACAAATTGTTTTTAAAAAGGCATTATTTAAAAATAATATATTAATTAGAAAAAGTAATAAAGAGTAATCCAACAATACAAGCAAGCATCCTTTATCTGTCACGACTTGATCTTTAAATAATATATAATCTTGACAAGTTAGAGATAAACAGGAAGCACATAAGAAATCAGAATTTAAAAAATAAAAATAGAGTAAAATTATATATTCAGTTAAAAAAAAATTAACAAAATGAAGATAATTAAGAGTAGTGTGATAGACATTAAAAGTCTTAGAAATATGAATTAAATACAATATTTTTGAAAACAAAATTTTTTTTTACAATAAATTCAAAAAGAGTTGAATTGCACAAAAAGATAGGTGGATACCACAAAGCCTTCTTTTTTTAAAAAAAGGTGAGAAAATAAAAACAATGTAAACAAATAAATAATTAATCTACGAGAGGATATGGACAGATAACTCAACCAACAGGGGAGTAGGGGCGAGAGGGGGTGGTTACGAAGGGTAGTGGCCGCGTGCACGGCCTCTGCCCCGCCCCCTCCCCCTCCCCCTCCCCCGTCACCTCCTCCCTCCTTCACCAACGCCAATATTCGAAGTAGTCTTTTCTAAATAAGCCAAAGGTCCATGAAGCATACCAGGCCCCATCATCATGCTAGGATTCATACCTCCTTGAACCTGCAAAGAACCAAAAGAAAATATTAACTGAATTTATGACTTATTAGATAAAGCTCTCAAAGCATGTCCTCGATCTGACATCATGATAATTGCAGGCGATTTTAATACAAAGGTTAGCAAGGAAGCAGTCTATCTCCCAACCATAGGGAAACATAGCTTGCACGATGTCTGTAATGACAATGGTCAGAGGCTTGTTAATTTCTGTGCTTCACAAAACCTTACGACAGACACCACTCTGTTCCCGCACAAGATAATTCTTCTTGGCACGTGGACATCACCTGATGGGAACACTATAAATCAGATTGACCACTTCCTAGTAAGTGCCAGGCATAGGTCAAACCTCCTTGATACCAGAACTTTCTGGGGTGCTAATATGGATTCAAACAGTTTTCTGACTATGGCCAGAGTGAGAGCTAGGATATCACTAGTCAAAACAATACGAGGATAAAAAAGTAAGTTCAACATACTAAAGTTTAAGGAACCTGATGTCTGTGAGTCATATATAAATAAAATTAATGAGAAGCTTGATGATGCACCACTTACAAATGATAAAGACGTTAATGACATGTGGTTGGCCATTGAGAAAGTTATTATGAATTCAGCAGAGGAAATTATTGGTACCAACCAGATAGAGAGAAAATCACACTGGTTCGACAATGAATGTAGCCTGACCAGATATCAGAAGAATGTGGTCTACAAAGTATGTTTCAGAAGAGACACACCCGACCTTTAGCTGACATTTATAGGCAGAATTCACAGAAGAGAAGAAAAGCGCATTCATCAACACAAAAAAGAATATGGGAAAATAAAGAGCTTGAGAAATTAGAAAGATTAAGGAGTAACAATGAGTGCCGAATATTTTACCAAAAGGTGAACAATGGCCAAAAACCTTCCAAGCGCCGCATCTCAGCCTGTAAGGACATGGATGGATCATTGTTGAACGAGAAGACTAAGATACTAAGAAGATGTAATGACCATTTTAATCACCTACTTAGCTACAATCGGACTCAGGAGACTTGAAAAGAAGAAACTGACCAAAGTCGAACTCCTGAAGATGAACTCGAGCTCCCAGACGAAGATGAGTTGTGCGAAGCCACTGAGAAGCTAAAAAACAACAAGGCACCTGGCTATGATTAACTGTCAGCCGAATTATTCAAGAAAGGAAGAGATCGACTATTCCAAGCACTACACAATCTACTTATGATTCCGAGTAGAGGAAATGATTCCGAAAGCTTGGAATAAGACAGTTTTGTGTCCTATTCACAAGAAGGGAGACCTTCTTGACTGCAATAATTATTGGGTTATCTCCCTCCTACCACGTGCCTATAAAATATTCTCAAATATTCTATATCAACGATTGCTGCCTCATGTTGAAAACATCCAGGGGAAATATCAGGGTGGCTTGTAAAAGTAAGTCTGCCACCAATCAGATATTCGCCTTACAAACCATTCTAGAGTGTGGAAGAGAATACCAGATCCAAATGCACCATCTATTTGTGGATTTTGAGTCTGCATACGATAGTGTCCAATGTGAGCTGCTGTATCAGGCAATGAAAGACCTCCGAATACCTGTTAAGCTTATCCGCCTGGTAAAACTGACGATGACTGAGATATTAAATATGGGCTGTGTATCCAAGGAGATTTATCTAAATGATTCAACTCTCATAATGGTGTTCAACAAGGAGACTCCCTTGCCTGTTTGCTTTCCAATATTGGTTTAGAAAAAGCGGTAAGAAATTCGAAGATCCAGACCAGTGGAATAATCTTTAATCGTACAGTACAGCTTTTTGGTTATGCTGACGACATCGAAATTGTTGGAAGATTAAAAGTTGCAGTATAAGAAGCCTTCCTTGCCCTTGAAAATGCTGCTAAGAAGCTAGGACTTTCTGTTAATAGCCATGAAATCAAATATATTACTGCTGGCCAGCCCAGACGTCCTGATGAAGATTCTGTCTAGATTGGCCCTCAGCATGGAAAAGGCGCACTAATCAAGAAGAATACTCCTTGCTTAGTCAGCCTGATTTAGCAAGAGTGATCAGGCTGAGTAGACTTGGATGGGCCATGTTATCAGGATGGGATCCCACGAGATTCCAAGAAAACTCCTTGGAGAAGAAATCTATGGCACTCGATCGACAGATCGCCCAAAACTTCGATGGGTGGATAGTGTTGAAGAGGACTTGAGGAGCCTGCTCAGAGTTTGAAGAAGAAGCCAGGCACAGAACATAAGCCTTTTTAAAACTCTTTAGTATCATCCATTATCTGTATCAACAGTATTTTTATTAAAATATTAGATAATGGTTACAGTAGCTCAGATAGCCAATGGTCCTCCAGGTTGGGGGAGCAGTACACTGATAGCAGACTACACTAATTACAGCACACTACAGACAAAGGTCAAACAGTACTCACCCTAGAGGTAGCCGCCCCGGACGGGGAGGGTAGTCAGGGAGTTCTGAGGAGGCAGCCCCTTCACCAGACTAGATGGCTATGGGCTAATAATCCACACTTCTAAGATAAAGTATACTAAAGAAACAAATACAAGTGAAAACAAAAGAGCAGAATGGAATTTGTAGATTTAGGTCCACCAGGAGTCAATGGTGGTCATAATTAGGTGATGACTTCTACTTAGTTTTAAACGTTTTATTTATTTTGCTGTTGTATTTACTATTTGCTTATTACATGTGATATCATATAAAAACATATAACAATATCTTTATAGTATATATTTATAACTATAACTTTAGTATATAATTTATATTTATAACTGTATTTTTATTATGCTACAACAAATTTTATTAGTCAATTTTATTGTAAGTACACTATACCAGTACATTTTCACTATATTTATAAATTTTTTATCTGTCAATTTAATATATCTATAAAAAAATATTGGTGGAAGTTTAAATATGCTGATCCATAATATTCTAATGTTATGCTTCAAAAACATGGATTCTAACGAGGAGCAGGGAGGATGAAATCTTCATTTTTTTTTTTTTTTAAATATCCTTTAAAAAATAAATGGTCAAGATTGAGGAAAAATGGAGAAGAAGAATGTCGAAGTATATACACTATTTAGGGAAGTGAATGTTATCATCTCATACAGCTAGGACATGTTCCTCGAATGATAATGATGACACTCCAAAAAGTATCCGAATAGAAATCTAAACCAGGCAAGAGAAAGAGGACAACATAGACCTGATCGGCGGACTGTGGATCCAGGATAGAATCTAACTAAACATCAAATATTGGAGAACAGCAGCACAAGACTGAATCATCTCACAAAAGCTTAACGAGCCCCTATTGGACTGTAGTCCCAAGGAAGTAGATAAGTAAGTACTTATATGATAATCTTCTGACCTGCTGTTGTTGAAGTTGCTGCTGCATCTGCTGTTGCATTTGCATTTGCTGAATTTGTTGTTGCTGTTGTATTTGTTGTTGCATCATCGCCACCTAAATGTTAAAATACAATTTTAGTTTGTAATCTCAAAATATCATAGTAGTTAATAAACTACTAAAAAAAAAATTGTCATGATTAATAGTGAGAAATGTCATGTAGAGAAATATTCTAGAGAAATTTTAAATGTAGGCATACAGAATTCAGCATACAGAAAATAAGGTAAGATAATGTGGGGAAGGTGCAGACTTAATTTTACAAAGTTTGACTTCAAAGAACTGTAATATCTTTATTTTAGAATCTAAATTTGACTTTTTCTTTTTTGCTTCCTGCTGTATTCGTGCTACAGGCAAAAAAATATTTGTGCTCAGAATTGAAAATTTTCACTCATGTTTTATGTTTTAGACATCAAGGATCAAATTTGGTCTGTCTGTAGTCAAATCGATGTGAAGGGCATATAACCTAGTACTGTTCATCTGATTTTCATGAAATTTTCAGGGATTGTGCGCGTTGGTGCCTAGATGGTCCCATATCAGTTCTATGAAATTCCATTCAGCACTTCTGTTTGTGCACACATAAATGTATTTTTAAAGATATGTCAATATTTTAGAAGTGACTAGTTTGATTTGGCTCAAATTTGAAAAAAACGGTGGATTTTGAAAAAATAATGATTCTTTATTGATTTTATTGCGTTCTGTCCTCTCCTTTCTATTATATATGAGGAAACACGTTTCCCTATGTCTATATCTCTAGAACTGCTAATTCGATTAGGCTCAAATTTGGAATGAAATTAGGAATTGGTTAATAGATAATTTTTAAAGTTTCTGAGACAATTGTTTTAAATATTACACTCAAGCCCATGTTTATATCCTCATATTTATGATAATAATAGTTCAACTTAGTTTTACTTACAAGAGGGGTTACACTCTGCAGGTCACCAATTTAAGCTGAGCTCAAGGTCCCGGGTTCGAATCTGGCTGATTTCTAGTACTTTTTCATCGACCCTAGGGTAGGGAGACCCTTCTGGGGTACATCCAGCCTCTATTAAGTGGGTACTCTGAATTAAATGATTAATTAAGGGAGAAAACATGGTGGTTGAATGTGATCACCTCCATGCACAACCGTTGGCCATGAACCAGTACTCCTAAGAAAGTACTAAGCCCCAGACCACCCACAGGTTGTAATGGTACTGGTTTTATTTTTCCTTCAAGAAATATTTGTGAGGATTCTTAGGGTCATCTTGATGTTATCACAATTTTTATGGCTTTTGACCAAAATTTCTTGCATAAAATTTGAATTTTTCAACTGCAATAAAAATTTGAAATTCAAGGTTTTTTGGGATGCAAACAAGGAATACCAGTTTTGTTTTGCTCGAAAAGAAACTTTATCACCCACCTTCACACTATTACATCAGATTGTCCAAATTGTTACCGTAATAAGGCTACCTGACAAATGTAATAGTTTTACTAAACTGGCATGATGTCTACAGTAAAGATTTTTTTGAAATTTCACCTAGACAAGATCCTCCGAAATTTTGTTAAAAACCACAAAAATTGTGATAATTCAGGACAACACTAATCCAGACGAAAGTTATAAGGGACATGTGTCTAATATTTTTCAATCAAGTATCAACGAAAAAAATTTGTTTGAAATCAATGACCCACTATTATATTAATAAGGAGAATTATATATATATATTTTTTTTCCTGTTCTTCCCTACCTCGCCTTTTAGGCTACACGGGATTTCCCCGGACCAGAGGGTGAGAGCAAGGAATTTAAAATCCCCTCTGGCACCGGGACGCGAACTCGTGATTATTTTCATATCATAGAATCATATGTCCGGTTGCCGGGCAACGGCGGTGCAGTGCACACGCGTTAGCCCATTCGGCCACCTCGCCCTCAAGGAGAATTATATAACATCCCCCTTTTGATACATACTTGCATCTAATTCTTAATACTTGCCCCTAAGCCTTAGCAGAGTAGTACATTTCAAGTATCTGAAATTCATTATTCAAACAGAAGAGGTTATGATTAAAGTGCAAAATATTTTGCTTCCGAAGTAATACCTTAATGAAGTTATCATCAAAAAAAGTTAAAACTAGTTTAAAATTCAGATTTAACAATCTTCAAAATTGGCCAAAGTCAAGAAAGTGATATGTGGAACATAAGTGAATAAATTTTTAGAAAAAAAATAGAACTTTTATTTTAATGTGCTGGTCCACAGGAGTCTGGACAAACCATGATGATAGGGCAGGTAGAAATTATATGTGCTTTTTCAATAACAGAGATCTCTATTCATTCCTTCTATAATGTTTTACTGGGACAACAGCCACTGATTTCTATACAATTTGCTTCCTTCACATATTATGGGAAGCAGAGTCAGAGTAATTGTGTTCAATATTCCAGATTTATGTTTACAGTCAAGGTTCCATTCGGGTATTTCCAAGTGAGATACTATAAAGCCTAAAATCTTTCTCAAAAAATGGTTTATTTAACAGAAAATGAATTCATAATTAGTTAAATGGGCTATTCGAACAAAAAATTGTTCAGTTTTATTTATTAGTATAGAAAAATTAGTTTAGTTGACTAAAATATTCATGTTACTATCAGGAGTAACTTTATCTATAAATAAGTATACCTGCCTGAAATAATACTTCATTATTAAAATGGAAGGTACTTATCTAATAGCGGGTAGCGTCAAAACCTCCTTCTTATTTAATCTCATTTCAGATAACCTCCCTTATCTCATCTAACCTAAGTTATTCTGTTGTTTAGTTTTCGTTTCTTGTGCCAGGTGTGAGTTTATTTAATTATGGATCTTGTCACATTGTGGGAATTGCCGTCTTCAGAAGAAGAGGCTATCAAATATTTTCAAGACGCCGGTATATTTGATAAGGTGAAATATTGTGATGAGGGTCATAAAATGAAGTTTGACGGGAAGATTAAATGGAGATGCTTTCGTAGGTGTAACAAAACCGTTTCTATAAGGAAAGGAACGTGGTTAGAGGGGTCAAGGATTTCTTTTTTAACGGCTTTAAAATTCATTTATGGGTGGTCCCATAATTTAACTACAATACAGTGGGAGAAAGAGCAGGTCAAACTATCCATCGGAACTGTCGAAGCATGGAACAAATTTTTAAGAGAATTTGTGTCCATGACATGTTATACAGGTCGAATAAAAAAATTGGAGGGCCTGGCAAAGTTGTCGAAGTAGACGAGTCTTTTTTCGAAAAGAAAAAATCATGTGGGGAGAGTCCTACCTGAGCAATGGATGTTTAGCAGAGTTTGCCGAGAAACAGACGAGTGTTTTATCGTTAAAATAAACGATAGAAAAGCAACAACTTTATTAGAAGCCATTACAAACAATGTAGAAGAGGGAAGCACCATTTATTTCGACTGTTGGAAAGGATACAACGCCAAACAACTCAATGAAGCAAACTACAATCATTTTCAGGTGAATCACAGGTATAATTTTGTTGATCCATCAAGTGGAGTCCATACTCAACACATTGAACGATTATGGGACTCAGCTAAGTGGAGAAATAAAAACCACAGAGGAACTGCCAGACAACACCTGGATTCATATTTATGTGAGTTTTTGTGGCGGCGGGCGCATAGAGATTAGGATCCCTTCCTCGGTATTTTAAATACCATAAAATTATTTTCCCTACCAAACTAAAATTTTTCACATTTTGTTTCTATCGTTTCTTCATAATGTTTGTTTTATATGTACATATGCTGTTTAAGTAGTTTTTTATTATTTCATCTTTTTTTGTCTATTTTTTGCCTATTTTTATAATTTCATTTATTTTTATATATATGCTGCAATGTTTTCATAATGTTTTTTAAATAAATATTTATAATATTTTGGTATATTTTAATATATACGTTGTAAAATAAAAGCATTTTGTTATTATTACATTTGTTTCTGTTTTTGTTCACAATTTCAATAATATCAATACAATACAATAAATATAAATACAAACATATAATAATATGAATATAATACAATAAATATGAATACGAAGAGCTTATCAGTGTTAAGGTTACAAACATTGGCAGATAGCAGTCGGACGCTACCCGCTATTAGATAAGTACCAAATGAAATTTCAATCTTGAAAACCTTGTTTTTTTTTAAATATGAATTTTCAAAAACAGATAATTTTTTATGAGTTTTGAATTTGAATATTTGAATATCACAACTTATCAAACTGTGTGATTTCAAATCGACTGTCCTATAATCCATGTCTGGTACAAAAAATTTGTATTTAATTACTTCTGAGATTTTTATTAATAAATTATAATGAAATAAATGAAATCTATTCATGAAAATAAATTTCACTTATAGAGGTAAAAATATTCCAGTAAAGACATTTTTTTTTTAATAAGACGAACAGTCATAAATATCAAACAATTATAATAATATAATACAATAAGTCTGAATTCAAGAATTTATACATTTACTTGTGGTGGTGTCCCAGGAGGTGCAGATGGTGTAGCAGGTCCCTGAGCAGGAGACTTCGCCCATGTTTGAAGGTCTGCTGGTGGACCTAGAAGGTTCTGCCAAATAGCTATTTTCTCATGATGGCGCTTTATCAGCTCTTCTTTTCTTGATAGCTCATTCCTAAGATCACTAGTATCCTGAAAATAACAACTGTATATACTTTGGTTACATAATATCCATAACAAGAAATAAAATATATAAAATAAAAAATAAAAGAAGCCTACTAATAGTAATATAAATGTTTAATAAAGCAACTTTTCATCACTTTTGTTGATAGAATACAGTTTATAAAAAAATGTGAAGAGCTGTAAAAAAAAATAACATAAGATTAAAATAACATTGTATCTGAAAATGGTGTCGAAAATTATTGCAAAAAGATATATTTATATTTTTCTATAAGAAATTGTATGAAACACAATGTTTCACATATAAATTTTGAGATTAGAGATCCTTACTATTTTAACAGGTTAAAACCAATCAGTTTTTCAAGGGTGCTGAAAACTGGGGGTTTTTATTCGAAACTACAAACAGTTCATATTTATACATACCTAAAGAATTTAAAACAAAATTCTTACCTCTCTTACAACAAGCTCTGGTTTCAATGCAGAAAGTAAGAACCTTTTCTGTAGAAAGAATGCTTCCATTTGTCTAGCAAGATCAATGAAACGTAAAACTGAATGATCTACCTCCATTCTAATTTCATCTTTTTCCATTGTTGCTAAAGCTTCCTCCTTAGTTAAAACACTAAGGCAGGACTGCAAAAGAAAGAAAAAACTCATCAGAATGAAGAAATGTTTAAGATTTCAGGAGCATTCATCCAGTTTATGATAAATGCTTATTATGTTGTCTCATATTGTTTATCATATAATGGTATTCCTGTACACTACAGTAAAAACCCTAACATTCGATAGCTATGCCTTTCCCTGATAAATTTTATGTATAAGCAACACTTACGAATAATGTTTATTCAATATTATATTATGAAGATAATCTATAAAACAAACAAAGCTTAAAGTAACAATTTAATTAATAAATAATTAACTTGTCCCATAGGAAAATATCCATTCGGTTTAATCGTTAATCAATAAGAAACAGCTGTACCTGAACTTACACTAATCCATAATTGTACTCACTCAAGACCTATTTGTTTGGTGCATTAGACTCTTGGTTTGATTGTAAGTAATCTATTACTTAGAGTACAGAAGTCATGCATGGATAATTATTTTATTTGTTAAATATAATAACACGTTAGCTGCAGTTATGTTCATGGGGTTCCGATATTCGTCATGATTTCGACCGGGATTGTTTCGAATTTTCGTTATCTTACGAAGTCTATAAAATGGTAATTTTTAAAACTATTTTAATGGGAGTTTTTTTAGATGTAAAGATAGATACAAACTTAATAATCATTATATGTTATATAAAGATATCGGACAACGGAGACCGTGACCACAGCTAACCTATTACAAAGTTTCTTTCAATTTTATCAGAAGCGGTCAAGGGCTCACAGGGCTATTCTTCTCCATTTACATTTTCAATAGGTTATTAGTTGGTCATATACTAAATAAAAAGCCTTATTTTAATTTTCAAAACCAAACACAGATAAGTATCCTGTGGCAATCATAGTATAAGAGGCATTTGTCAAGTATTGGAATTTCTCTTGAACTTTAAAACACAGGTCCCTATAGTGTCTTTGGAACTCTACTGGGTCTTAAATGTACATAACAAATTCTTTAATGAAAACTTATCTCGTCTTGATTTATTGAATTTGAAATCATCTTCTATTTTCAATTTTTCCAATAACTTTTATTAAAGATATTGAAGAAACTTCAGGATCGATATTAGGATCCATCACATCTCTATTAAATTACCTTTCATTTGATACCTAAAAGTCTATTGCTCCTGAGAGCCGGAAAAGGGATCCATAATGGTGTATTACATATGTAGTGTAAATTGCTGTAGGGGTTAGCTAAAGTGCATAACCAGGAGGGATCAACAATCCTTCAGTTTCCTGAATTCAGTACACTGCACAAACATACAGAACGGTACACTATTCACTTACACAGAGAAAAGGTCACCAACATTAAACATCCTACAGTCATATACCATGGGAAGCTGCCCCAGTTAGGGAAAACCATCACAGTGTTCTGAGGCGGAAGCCCCTCCACCTTGATCAGGAGCAAGGTGCTGATTGGCCCCCTGTCCTTATAAGATAATAGTTGTTTCTAATGCAAAGTGAAATTTTTGTACATTTATTTCTCACTTAAATAAGTAAATTATGGTATAAATGAGATAAATTCATAAATGGAAAGACATATAACAACCTGGAAAGCTTCTTCAAATTCATCAACCAAATTGCCATTTCCATTTGTAGCGGTGGACATTTTTCCTTAAACTTTAAACAGACTTAAGAAAGTTCTCAATCATAAAATAGCTTTAGTTTAGCAGATAAAATCCATTCGTTAAAATTGACACCTAAGATACCTCAATACAACAGAAGAGAATATATTAGGTTATAAAACAAAGCAAAGAGAATAGTGAAATGAGATATCAAGGACCTGCAAAGATTAAACTCAATTTGTGTTAAAATAATTATTTAAGGAGAGATCAAAAATAGTCAAACCCTAGATATTTTTAATTATTAAATAAAAATTGACAACAGAGGCATTCAGTAAATGAAATTAATCAAACTCGAATGACGAAATATACATGTCAGGCAAGTGTAATCAGCAAGATGATACTTATATCTCCCCTCTCTCTCCTTGTCTTTTAACGATATGAGATTCTAATTTTATTATATAAAACGATAACATTTTTAAATTCGTCCTTACATTTCTATCCAGGAGTCATTCCAGTTTAAAATGCGAGAGTTACTGTCTTCTTCGTCTTACTTTCATATGGAAGTGGGCTACGTCGACAATTTCCTTCCATTAGAACCAGTTCAAGACTGAGTCACTTCACGCAAAAACCCTTGTGGGTGAAATACAGCAGACTGATCGGTTTTATATATCGTCGGCACCATGCTAAAGTAACGAATCTGTATCTGCCTAATGTTGCACATTCGTTACTTCAGCATGGTGCCGACGATATGTAATCTAAAAATTTCAAATGCTACTAGCCAAACGCAATGAACTACCGTGAGTATAAAATCCTGTGCAGATTTTCAAGCGTAACGTGTAGATTTTTGGAACTCCATTGGTCCTAAACTTTATTAGGCCACGGCGAAATTCAATCCCTCTAACCAATCATAAGGCTGGAAAACAGAGTGGAAAGATGCACAGCACAATTTTCTTCCACTTGATCGTTTTTCCACTATCTAACATCCCTCTAACTTTAAGCCGTTTTTGAGATATAGGCGTATCTAGGAAAATACGATCCATATGTAGGCGTCAAAGGGAGTAGTGAATGGAATTGATACAGCGCCATTTTTCACCAATCCCACAACTTGTCTCAAACATAGAGAAAAAACGTCTACCAAGTAAAGTCAGTATACCTTAGCTTCCTTGCTGTTTTCATCGACTCCATAATTTTTCGTATGTGGATAAAATCTCCGGGAGAAGCCGTTTTCGGAAAAATAGTAGTCCTTCAATATTCGCGGGTTTGATATTCACGAGTTTTGTTCAACAGAGAATAATAAAATGCGAAAGAGTTCCATATTTTCAGATTGCCTATTTGATGATACATGGTTTAAAAAAAATCCCAGTACATACAAAACAAGCTTATAGCTATTATTAGTACAAAAGGTCGTATGTAAATATTTAATGTTTTATAGGAGAGCATAAAAACTAATTATTCCTTAATGATTTATTAGTATAATTTCATATTTTATTGCCCTCTTCTATTTTTCATCATAGCAGACTACCGATATCAGTTGCAGACTACAAAATGTCATCTTTAGCACAAATAGAATAAAAATTTTACATACAAGTTTTTCAGTGTTTTATATACAGTAGCGATAAATACTTGGTGGGCATGTTTTCACTCTAAAATGGATGTATAAAAAAATCCAGAAACTCTAGATTAAAAATTAATTTAAATTTACTGAAAATTACACAAAATCTTGGTAACGGCAGTACGTGTCATGCCGGTAACGTTTAGAATAGACCAAATAATACAGTATAAATTAACTTAATGAATAAAAACTAAAATTATATAACCTCATAAAAATATTGTATAATCCAAGATTTATAAAGCTGCAAGACGGCGGTTTAAATGTACCCAGCTCCCGGAAGATTATATCGCCTTCAAGCTGCTTCGAAACAGCACTAAGTTTCGAATATGCCTTGCCAAATCCCTATATTTCCACCAATCTTTATCCAACAATTCAAATTCCAAGGCCAGGTGGGCTATCCTCAGAAAACTGATTATTGTTAGCACACCTCAAACCCAGCCCATTTCCTTTTCTGCTGATGACATTAACGCTCACATTATCTCCTATCCCTTCTCATCCTCATCTCCTGCGTCCATTTCGGCTCCTATGTATTCTTCTTTTAATTCTGATCACTTTTTTTTTTATCACATTACCGCTGATCAGTTCCTCAACTCCATTCAGAAATCCTATACCAATGATTATGGACCCGATAACATCCCAGTCAGACTAATCAAAGGCTCTATACCATCCATCCTTCCAATCCCTACCATCACTACAATTAATCAACGCAAAACACTACCTTCCCTAGATCCTGGAAAAACTTACTAGTTCGCCTCTTTAAGACTTCCAAACAACCCATCAACTCTTAATGATTTCCGTCCAATTTCTCTCTTCTCAAACCTTTCCAAACCGTTAGAGCGGCTAGTTCAAACCCGTTATCCCACTTTTTAGAACAGAATAACCTCCTAAATCTCTATCAGTCCAGTTTCCGGCCTGGCTAATCCACTCAGTCTGCCCTTATCAAAATTTCCCAAGACTTTCATAGAGCCATAGACCAGCAGAAACTCATCATCCTTATTCTCCTTGACCAAAGATGGACCAATGCTATTCTGAGTACTGAGTACCAAGTATTTTACTCAAAAACTGATCTTTTTTGAGTACCAAAGAATTTAATTAATACTTCAGTTGATGTCAAACGATTAACTGAAGTAGTGATTGAATTTCCAATCGTGATTCAATTTGAGTAAAATACTTGTTACTTGGTACTCAGAGTAGTATTTGCCCATCTCTGTCCTTGACTTCTCCAAAACCTTTTTCTTTGTAGACCACAAAATCTTCCTTACCAAGCTTAAAAATATCTTTTCTACTAGTGCCCTTAAGTGGTTCCAATCCTTTCTTACAGGTCACTCTCAGTATGTGGTAGTCCCTAATAACTCCCCATCAGAATCTTTACCCCTGTCCAGAGGTGTTCTTCAAGGCTCCTCCTTATCTCCCACCGTTTTTTGTTAAGGGAGCCTTAAGGTCCAGAAAAGCTAAGGAACTGTTCTGTCTCCTACTTTTTCTTTGGTGTTTCCTGAGATAATGATATTATCCTGGGTCCGTATTCTATGGTGGAAACCTGGATGTTTCTCCTCCAGTTGCTTCTCTACAATCTGTCCTTAGCCTTTCCTCCAGAATAGATGAGAATATGTAATAGAAAACAGACAATAGCGATTATCAGACTCTGTCTGGCTATCTTCTTTGTGGATTGGTATTATAAAATTATTCCCAATTTTTAAGAATTACCAAGGTGTCCCAGAAATTCTGCTTCGAAACGTGTGTTTCTGTCAAAAACTCAGATTTGAACTTTTTCAGGAATACCTTCCCATCATATAATTTCATTTACAGATAAGTGAAAGAAGTTTTGATTTTATCTACCAAAGTGATGATCTCTATAAATTTTAGAAGAAAAAGTTCTTACCACTCAACAGAGAGATCACATCGCCCAAACTTTGTTGACTAATTAATAATTAAGTAGGGGGTGATTAAAAAGTTGAGAGCTTGTCTGAAGAGTTGAGTATCAAGTAATGTTCAATAACCCTCCTAAGGATTTGATACAATGAAGATGTAACAAAAACAATTATTGAATACATATATCATAAAGATATCCACTCTTTAATTAAATTTGTTACAATGGAAGAAAAAAAAATAACAATAATAATATTATAAATACATGAGCTCTACATGATTGTTTATGAATTTTTGAGTTGGTTTGGTGAATATGTATGCCTACATTAGTTTAAAGTAATAATGCCTTCACAATTTTTTCTTATTATGATTCATCCAAACAGGAGATAACAAATAACAAAGATAGTTCATAAGGTAAATATTTTATACTTCAATATGTATTCCATTGTAACCTTAACATATTACTAAGTTCTTTCCTTATTTCAAAGTATATTTTATCCTCTGAAAGATTCAAATTTTCCATTGGATCCAAATAGTGATCATACAGTTCACAAGCTTTTGTATCTCTCCAATTTATTGAAAAATTTTGAAAACCACACCATTCAGTATACCGAAACCTCTCTGTTCTAATGCTGCAACCCATTATTTTTATTTCTTTGAGTTTTGGTTTATCACTGTTGGGTTTTAAAGTAGGGTATTCTCCTGGTCTAGGATATTGACTTAATGCAAAATATCTTTCCTCCTATTTAAAGAAATTGAAAACAACAATTAGATTTGACACATGATCAATTTTAATAGATGATATAAAATGCCAATGTATGAAATGAAAATAACCTTTTTTGTTCCATTATTCAATGCATTCATTATTAAAGGTAACAAACTCTTGCCTTCAGTGCAAAGTTTTGTTGTTTTAGATTTACTACCACATTGTCTAATCGACTGTAAACCTGTTGCATCTACTAAAGTTGGAAATAAATCTACTAGTTCAACTGGCACATCAACGGTGTTATAATCATTTATCTTCAAATTTCTATCAGATAGTCCAGGTATTTTTAGGATCAAAGGTACCCTAGTAGCAATATCAAAATTACTATATTTAGACCATTCTCCATGCTCACCTAAGGACCAACCTGGAATTCAAATTTTTTTTCTCTAAATAACATTGTAAAATTTTCAAAACCTTTTTATTAGGAACAAGCTTTCTAAAAAAAATAATAATAATAAAAGAAAGTATTCAGAATAACAACTAATTTTACTTTTTTATTTTTTCATTTTCTATTATTCTTTGCCTTATGGCCAAAAAGGATGTTGCTGAAATGGTATGTTACACATGACTGCAAAAAAACCCACCACAGCAAGTTTAACTGGTTACATCATGCAGGCTATGTTTTCTCTCCGATTAGCTGTGACTTATTCAAAAGGAGAGTTTCCAAAATATGGCGGTTTTCACGGCACTGAGCCTCTTCATCTTTGGACATCAATTTTGAAGTGGGCTGGATCCACTGCTGTCTTCCAACCATAAATGACTTCTTTGAAACACGGAAAGTTCTCCTCACTCATCAACTGAGGAAACTCCTCCTCAATAAGGACATAAATCCCCAATGATTCTCATCATTGTGCAGTGCAGGTCGTGATTACATTGTAGCTTATACCTCGTAATAGCTTTCCCTAATTTTAACTTGTCTGTCCTGGAGGAAGCTTTTTATAAGGGTATATAAGTTACTGAGAGCATTGTACCTTTGCAGCACATTTGCTACTGGAGCACATTTAGCCACATCATACTTTCTTAGGTGGAGGATTTATAAAAAATTAGAAGTATCACGTACCACTCCGCTCTGGTCTCAACATATCCGCGCACACCCGACAGGGCATCAGCGGTTCCTCTGTCTCTTGTTGAACCATATTCCCATGGATGAGGTTCTCTAGGACCTTGTTCATCACAGAGAAGAGGCATATAATAAAGCTTATAAGTTAAGAAATTGTTTATCACATATCCCCAACAATGGTTGAAGAATCTCCAAAGATGCTCTTCAATGGAAGGGATAATATAACTCAAAATCTCTATATCAATAACATCAAGTCCTGGAGCATGATTTGGTTACCACAGCAACAAAAAGGTAATAGTCTAGTCCCATGGTGAGCATAAATCTGATCCAGGAAGGTATTCTGTGACATGTCACAAGAAATCGTCATCATCACTGTCCTTATTAGGGGGTAGATCCCTACATTGGATAATAGCCATCTCTTTCAAAGTGGACGCCTAGATATCTTGATATTTCAAGATTGCAGTTATTTAGTGAGGTCAGTTTGCTCAATACCATCCTTTATGCCATACTCCGGGGATTTTTCAAAAAGTCTTCAACAATAAAATCATTTCTGGACTTCCGCTTTTGTGAGCATATATCTTGGCTTTAAATCTGAGAATTTAACTAAAGGAATTTCAAGTTGAAAATATTTATATATAATATATAAATCATCAAAGTTATCAAAAAGATGAAAGAGTTATAATTATTTATTCACCATGATCTCCTATTAAACCAATAACTGTAGTTTTATCTAGTTGCAAATGTATAATTTCCTTCAATATTAGTCCAATTAAATCATCAACATAGGACACAGCTGCATAATAACTTTGAATGATTAATCTTGCTTGTTTATCTGGAACATTAAGTAATCTTTAGTTTATTACTATCCATTACCTTGTAGCACTAGGATACTATAATTTTAGTCTACTATTATTAAAGCAATTTTGCATGGTTTAAAAATATACCTATATTCACTCTGGATTCTTTCACCAATCAATGGTAGGTGATTAAGAATTTAAAAGGATTAAGAATTTACGAGTTATAAAAAGAAACAATTGTAATAAACTGAAACTTCAAGTCTGAAAGACATTTAACTCCAAAACTATTCTTCCGATTATTTAAAAAATCTGAAATCATTGTAAGAGAAAGTTAAATTTCAATGGAGTTGATTAACCAATAGATTTTTTCTATTTATTGACAACAGGATACATGAAGCTCACTTACTACATATTTAGTTTTTTTAAATAAATGTATTCATGAAGTATTGAAAAAAAAAAATGATTTGAAAGTGTACCAATAACTAAAATAAGCACCTTAAAAGGCCATCTGTGCTTATAAACATTAACATAGCTACTGTATACTCATCAAAAGCGAAAAGGAAACAAATGTCTTATATGTCTAATACCTTTTATTACCCCAAATGGAAATGATATATTGAGCTCTTTTACATCTTCTCTTTCTCTTAAATCTGTCCATGGATTCCAAGCAACAATTGGAAGACCAGGTGGTTTTCTTCTTTGGTTTGGCAGGAGTACTTTGTCGAGGGGATGAAATTCTGGAAAAAAAAAAAAAATTGTTACACCATTAGGCAACTGATTTAAAATGAAATAATAAAATATGAGTCTAGTAGGAAGTATAAGCTTAAGTTAAAAGAAGAATAAACCTTCATAAACTTTGATCGTAGCAATCAAAGATGTTTAATTAATAATGCAAAGATTAAAATATTATTTTGACATTACCTTACTTACTTTTAAAATGTTTTGGATATTTTAATGGTATATGAGGCTTATGAAAACCAACAGCCAGAAAGAATGGAATTCCTGATAACCGCGTTCTTTGCAAAAATTGTATAGCTTCATAAGTTGACTCAATGTCAGGTAATGTTCCATCAGGCTGCAACTTAGTTTCAACTGGACAAACAAGATTACTTTGAGGGAATGGATTGTCCTTTGTGATACAAACTTTTGAATCTTTGTATATTTCAGATTTAGGGTGAAATGGAGGAAAAGTCCAACTATATGGCTGATCATCTGAATAATTGCTACTAATACCTAAAAAAAAGTGCATATACAATAAATGCAGTAGTAATTCATTTGTGATAAAAATTAATTGGATTGTATATGTATCAATTCACCAATAGACCATGAAAGCATGAACATATCATTTCAACATATAATCTCCTTGATACACAAAGTTGGTCTTGTCAATCTTCAATGATCCATTTAGCCCTAAAATGAACTGATGCCCTTCTACAGAGATTGATAGATGTTCATGCTACTGCATGTAAATCCATCAATCTTAACCACAGTCTCTGAGGAGCTATTCTGAGAAGTTAGTATAAGAAGTTAATTAATTTATTAAATAATTCATTTAATCATAACATAAATCTTCTCCAAGTGGACTACTCTATCAACCAACATGGTAAGTTTAGTAAATTCAAAATTCATTTCAAAATAAATAATAATGTATTTCTTCTTTCTAGAACTATTTCATTAAGTGCATATTTAAAAAAGGTTTTATCTGAAAAAAAAAATGAGGAAGCTTATACATAAAACAAAATTAGACTTTCAAATTAGATGAAAATAAAAAATTTTGAATGATTCCTTTCCAATGGTTCCTTATTGAAAATAATAAACCAAAAATATTTAAAATCCACGATATCTTTACTTATACTCTGATTTGGATGAAACTTTGTTTGCATCTTAGGAAATTCAAATACCTTTAAAACATCTCATTATACAAATAAAGTTTAAAATTAATCAATTGTTAAAATTTCTAATGTGATTAATAGTAGAACATTTAACAAGTTACGAGCCTGGTTTAATTGACATCTTCTGAAGGAAACATGATCCAATTGTTATTTTCAATCTTAGTTAAATGCTACCATCTAGTTTTCTTATAAAACTCAAAATTTTATTGACTACTACATAAAGGGAATTAAAACTAAGTAAGATAACAAGCAACTTATAGTTTTTTATTTGAAAAAATCTAAAGTTTTGTATTCCCTATTTATTAATTTTTGACTGAACTAGGTGATGAAATGTTTTTTATTGAAGCAAATACTTATAAATTGTATGCTTGTGTATAACTTATGACTTTTAGTTTCTTAATTTTCCAAAAGATCAGTTATAAATTATATTCCATTTGCTAATTGTTTTTGTTTATACTAGATTTGTATTACTTTGATTGGTTTGCAGATAACTTGAATTTGCATGTTTTTCACTGAATATTATTTGAAATAATGGAACACATAGTAATAAATTTCATAGGATAACTTTGAAGGAAAAATGTAATAATAACATATGTGTATAAACAAAACAGATTTAAGCCTTGTTAAAAGGAGATAAATAAACAATTAAAGTTTTTTTGTGGAAACACAAATCAATTAAGAAACAAAATATTTAATATTGATATTTTTAAAAATAATTTTTAGATCTTAACATCTAATAATACAAGAAAATAATTAATTATCACCTGGATGAAAAACTTTTCCAATGGACATAGTGGTATAACTATTATCTTTAAAAAATTGGGGAAGTGTAGTAAAATTACCAGCTACTTCTCGCCAGTAGCTGTAGAAATCATATAAACTTAAAGTATCAGGGCGACGACTTGTAAGAAACGAATTTCTGCTTGGTGCACATAATGCTTGCTAAAAGTAAATATAATTGAATTCAGGTGAAAAGATTTAGTTTCTTTAAAAAAATAATTCAATATAAGAGCTGGTTGCTGGATCCGGAGTTGGACTTAATTCTAGACAAAGCCTATCTCAAAAATAAAATGGTTCGTTTAAATTAGTTCATTTGAAATTGAACAAACTCAGAACTTTTTTAGTCAGGCTAAATGGAAAATGGCAATATATCTTTTCAGTCCCAGAATATTAAGTTCTGAAGTATATTAGATTAAATTCTAGATAAAAACCTCGACTCAACAACCAGTATGAATTGACATCAAATTAATGTGCATAATATAACTCACACCTGTGCATAAGAATGACTAAAGATAATGCTATCTTTTGCAAGTTGATCTATATTAGGAGTATAAGCATTATCATCACCATAACATCCAAGTGATGGTCTTAAATCATCCAAAATAAATAAAATAACATTAACCCGTTTACAGGAATTCATAGATATAATAGAACTTAAAATAAATGGAACAAATATGACCAAATGAGGATACTCCATAATTGATCTTTATTGGTTAGATGAACTCATGAAGATCTTAATAAATTAAATATTGAACATTTAGGTAATCAAATGGCGACACCTAAACTATGGTTTCCTTAAATAGTGGGATGGAAGACTACTTTTTCAATCAAAGAATTGAATTATGCTTATTAATAGCAGTACTGTGTGATTAAAGCGCCTCATACAAAGGTTATGCAGGCTTATCAAACAGCAGACATCGATGGTAACTATACATTTACATCATAAAACTTCGATGCTAATTTGTTTATTAGGAAATATACGTAGTTACTCAACAACCAGACTGCAGTGGGATGTTACTCATGTCTGCATAAAAACCCAATGCTGTAAGTAAGCTATTCACTATCACGTCTTGTGCTGTGCATTCTATTCCCGAGTTTGATCATCATCCTCGATCCAACGGCCTTTCTGGTACAATTCCTTTGGTCCCTCCCAAGTAAAAGTAGACTGGATATACAATTTTCTTCTACCCATGGAAAGTGGGGATTATTTTTTTTATCATGAACTGGTTCTCCGTTAAAACGTAGAGCCCAGTTCAGTGGCGGATCCAGGAATTTTCTCAGAGGGGGGCGCAACCCTGTACAACGTGATTCCCCCATTTTCTCTACCACTACCCATTTCCTCCCACTCCTTGCTGAGTTTAGCCGCTCAAAAGTCCTCTTTAAATGGTTTTAATAAAAGCAAACTCTATTTTTATTTAGAGTAAATTTTAACTAGTTTTCAATGAAGCTATCATTAATTACTTAATTTAAATATATTTTTTTTTATCAATTCCTATTTAAAAAAAACGTAAAATATAAAAAAAACACAGAACTTTAATTCCCTACTTTCCTGCTAAAAATCGAACCACTGTTTATATAAACTTTTTTTTCTTTATTGAGTTTTGCTTTCACTCCTTTAAATATTTCCCTCTACTTACAAGACACCCTGTATATGGGTTTAGACATTTAAAAAACTAAATTGCTAACACGGGTCACCAAGAGAAAACATTTTACAGCCGAAAATTCCAGATTTATCTGATCTTGTTTTTTTTTTTTATTCATGTATTATTTCTAAACAGTGCATCAAAGCGAAAAACGCACTAGCGGATCCAGGATTTAATTTTTGGGGGGGGGGCTTCAGCCCGAAACCTTTTTATTTCATAAAAATAACGATAATTACTTTGGAAAAACAGAAAGAAACTAACTACCTATATGAAATGGTGTTTAAGTTATTCCTTAAGTACTTTTAAATGTAATTACACGAACAATAATACTTTAAGAGGTATTTTTAAATATTTTTTTCCATAAAACATGGTTATATTTTTCCATTTGGGGGGAGGGCTTCAGCCCGAAAGCCCCCCCCCCGTAGATCCGCCCGTGGAAAAACGTATTCTTTACGAAATTAAAAAAACGTCACATTGTCCGATAGACGAGTACCTAAACTTAATAATTTGATTAAGAGATGTGGTCGATAACCACGGTCAATGACCGTTATTTTTAGTTTCACTTACGTATATATAATATATAGTAAGGGTAAGTATTGCGATCGTGAAAATTTTCGAATCTCAGTTTTCAACGGAAATACATGTTTTGAGGTCCCCTGAGTTCTAATAACCAAGTGTCGCAAAATGGTCTGTGTGTGTGTTAACAGTCTAGCTCATAAACGAAAAGTAGTACGAAACTGATATTAAGTATTTAAGGTTTGTATATGGGCCGGATATGACAGTAACTTTTCGTTAAAATCGGCTAACCGGAAGTGCCACTTTATATGAACGCTGAAACACATTTTTACAATTTTCTCAAAAACGACTAACGATTTTGATCAAACTCGGTGTATCATTGTATAATTAAGTGGTCTTTAATATCATTTAGGTCTTATCCCCGTTGATGTCACTTTACAGGGCTTAAATGCCCAATGTTCATATATGTCTTCCTCTAAAGTACCTTTAATATGGTTTATTTTAAAAAGTTAACCATTTCGCATTATTCAGAGTTACGAAAAAACGTTACATATAACTTCTGAAAGAATTCGATAAATTAATAAAGGAGAAAAAATAAAAATGCAGAAAAACCTGTGTTCCTACAGACTGTAGCGCCTAAACGAATGTAACGATTTCAATGAAACTTCGCTAAAGTCATTTTCTCGATACCCTTTAAATTTATCTATATAACATACTTAAACGAAAAGAAGCTGGAAAAAAAGTTACGAGGGATGTTAAAATCAAATTCCGAATAACTCAAAAAGTATACGCTTTTTGTTGATATTGTATATGGTTTTTAAAAGTTTATAGAATTTTCTAAAAAAACAAAAAAAAAAATCGTTAAAATCGGACAGTTAGGAGGAAAGATATGGTCTCTAGTTTTTTTCCCTGAAGAGGTGAAAATTTGGATAAATTTAAAATATAGTTTTTTAATTGTTGAAACTAAAAAAACCTTTTTTCTACAGATACTTAATAAAGTGTCTTTCCTAAGAACATCTTTCATAAGAAAGTTGTATCTATATTTATACTTTTATTCTCAGTTATATATCTCAACACTGCAATCACCACCTCTTGAATCAACTTACTTATTGTCTGCATAGATAACTTTTTCAACTAAAAATATCACTAAAATAAATGTTGAAATTGGAGTTAGTCATTCTGTGGTTTATAAAAGCAGATAGAGTGAATAGATTTTTATTGCCTGTCGTCGATATATTAAATAGACATTTTGTAATTATAATGGTCTTAATGACTTGCTATCTGCAAGCTTTAGCTCCGTTTAAAATGCACTTCAAAAAATTTTATAATAGCCCAGCATTGCCAGAAAATAATTTCTATTCAAAGTAGTTCGGTAAATGAAAGTTGTGTGTTGCGCGCATCAGATTTTTTACTTAGATTGTCAAAATCTGAGAAAGATTACTGTAAATGGCCCTGCAGCTTGGGAATGAGTTATCTAAGAAAAAAAACTCAGAATATTTCCGATTCCGATCAAATCGGCGACCAAATAATTAATACATCCCTTCATGAAAACGTTCCCAACAGCAGCTATTTTAATAAAAGAGCAACACATTCTAATGAGAAATATACAACTCATTATCGTGACCAGTTTTATGATTCGCATGGATTCTGTTGAAACTGAGTAAACACTGGGTCCGGAAGAAAACCTGTATTTTCTTGTGCTCGAATGAAATGTTTTTTTTTTTTTTTTTTTTTTAATAAATTTTCCTCCATAATGTATTTCACATGCGAGACTCAGTTTGGAATCAATAGGAACAAACTGCGAAAGGAGCAAAAGCCTTCGCATCCCCCTGGCATAATTTGCTAGTGCTGGTCACAACAATATTTTTTTTATATATTCTATTAGGATATTCATGTAGGGAGATGAATTCTACATATATTTCTCTTTTCTTTAAATAGGTGTTTTTTGTCACTTTTTTTCCAAAATCCAACGGAGGATGCGCCCCCTGGCAGAATTCGCTAGTGCTGGTCAGGATAATAATTTTTTTATATATTACATTAGGAAATTCGTGTATGGAGATGAATTTCCCCTACTTTTTTTTCACCAATAATATTGTTTATATTATATTAGGAAAGTCATCGTCTATGAGGATGAATTTTTCATCTATTTCCCTTTTCTTTAAAAAGCTGTTTTTTGGTATTTTTCCAGCCTCTAGGCGGGGAGGGGCGCCCCCCCGGCTACTATCCGCTAGTGGCTCAGTTTTCCTTATCAGTTTGATACTGGTTGTCTCGTAGGCGGTGCAGACTATGATTACGTGTTCAGTCCAGGAGTTGGTGGGCTCGGAGCACTTCACCCTTGGAAGAGGACGCCCGCCGGAGGCCGTGACATTGTACTCCAAAGACACTTGGTGCACTGTGAATATTTGAGTCTATTGGGACCTTCCTTGTCTAAAGCCGCAATGGCACTTCTCCGACTTCTCTTTCCGTATAAACAGTAAGCCTCCGATTAATGGCAGTAGCAATAGACTCTTGTAAGTCAAACTCAACAGAGAAATCCCTCTGTAGTTAGAGGAGCAGAGCTTGTCTCCTTGCTTATATATGGAACAGATGACCTCTACTTTCCAACCTTCCTTATGGAGTCTCTGTTAACCTCTCAAAGAAATCTCTGGAATTATTGTCTTCGAATTTCTCCTCTATGTTTTCCAGCTTCTTTTCTTCTGCCTGCAGATCTTAGCTAACTTTCTCTTGTCAATATATTTTTTTGGCTGTACTACTGGTGTGATCCATGTTTCTTCATGGACATCTTTGTCTGGAAGTGTGTGCTGCTTATCACCATAGCAACATCCACTAATCTGAAACCATTATCATTAGTTTTACTATATTTGCTAGGAAGCCATATCATGGGTCTGAAATATTTTCCTTTCCTATCTTCGCGCTGAAGTCATTAAGGATGAGTTTCACATCGTAGACGGGTAAAGCATTGTAAGTTCTCTCTAGAGATTTGTAAAATGCATTTTTCGTTTCATCGTCCGCATACTAACCATAGAAATATTGAAAAACAGTTTCCTTACTCTTTTTGTACAGATACCTGAGTTACAATGAGTTTGTATTTCATCAGAGAGTGTTTTAGCTTATTACCTGTCATAAACCCTGTCCCAACTTGGTTTGAGTCTTATTCTATAATCTCTTGTCAATCCATAGTAACTATTCTTTTTCTCATTGCTTTAGGTAAGCAGAATAATATGTCAATTTTCATCTTGGCTACTTTATATATGAAAAGTCAGTCTCCATATATGAAAAGATTATATATATATATATATATAATATATGTGTATAATAAAAAAAGAATGTTATTAAGTGAGGTTACCTGGCCTCAAATAATTAAGAACTTCATAAAAATATCCACTCAATGAAATGAGAAAATGTTGAGCTTATATTTAATACATAAAAAGGATTGGTGTCATTTTAGTGCACTTAAGAGTATTATTTTATTGATAAATAAGGGAAAAACATTCTTAAAAGTTCAGCTCTATCAAAAATGTACTTAGTGACATTTTACAATAAAGCAACAATTAGTTATATACTATTGCTGTTAAATAAGTAGAAATAAAACATTGTAACAATTTCATTTAACAGAAAGAAATAAGTATATAAATATATATATTATCATGAATAAGAATTCATTTTAGGTGGTCTTAGGTTCATTAAATGGCGCAGGTAGTTTAACAGAGGCTACATGTGTGACCAAAATTAGTTTTGATAATTAAATTACTACTCATTAAAATAAGTAATAAATTTGAAAAAGTTAGCAAGATCAACACAACACTGTTGTGATTTGGGTCAATGAAATGTGATGAATTAAAGAAGAAAAAAAAACTCACACTTCAATAAGCCAGAGAAGACGGATTGAGAAGAGAAAAACAATATAAAAATGCTGTGCTGAACAGAAAACAAAATAGATAAGGTGAAATCAAAAGGTAAGAAGTCCAAAATATATTTAATAACAAAACAATCAATTGCAGGCTTTAAATTTTATTTTTAACCAAGTAACCCGATTAAAAATATAATCTATCCTATTATAAACTATTCTAAATAGTGATAAAAATGTGCCCAAATTTTTATAAAAAATATACAATTAATACATGATTCTGCATTTTATTCTTTCCCAACCCTAAGACATAAAAAATGGCAGCATTTTTATAAAATAAAATTACAGTCAAACTTACAAATCAAACATACCTCACGTACAACATTTAGACCATAACATTAAATAATTACATTTATACAAATTCATACACATTTATTTTGACATCATATAATATTCATATTTGAGTTCTTAGTAGAAATTCAGCTAACAAAAGTCCACGAGGGATGTGATAATCTCATTGGTTCTATTGTTTTCTCAAACCCCCAAAAAGTTGTAGGCTAGATTCTTTCCAATTTAGTTTGTATGCTTTTAAGATAACCGACCAGCTCACCCAATCCAGTTTTGCTATGAAGAACAATTATACATTCATTAATCAAGTCATGCATTAGTACAGCAGTTGATTTTCTGAAACAAGAAGCAAAAACGAAACAATAAAACAAATGAAATTGTAAATATAATTTACAAAGTTATTCATATAAATTATTAATCTAAACAATTTACCTTTCTTGTGCTGAGGTTGTCAACTGTTTGTTATCGCTAAAGGATTCACAGAAGCTTGCAATCACTTGAATCAAATGAAATTCATTATCAGATTCAAGCCAACAGTTATCATTTGCTGAATACATCCTGAAATCAGATATAAATATCATTGAAGGTAATGAACTGTCAATTCTATTTGTCGGAAAAATGTTTAAAAATAAGAAATAAATTGTTATGTTTAATTTCATGTTTATGTGGTATCATTTTTATATTATTTAACCAATTGAAGTCACTGGTCTTTAAATAATTTTTCACATGTTTTTTTGGTTTAAAAAACAATGGTATTAATTTGTAAGATTTTTTTCCAAGGAATAGAATGGTAACATTAAAATAAATCTCACTCAACCACAAGAAAAATAATCTGGTCCGTCTACTCACACGACTTTTTGAGACGAGTTTTGATTTCTTTAAATATGTCCACTAAGAAAAAAAAAAAATTGAATTAGATTCATTTTCCTGGAAATTGATCAAAGAAAAGATTGAGTGCGATTTCTTTGATAAACTAAAGCAATGTAAACCGGCTTGTGGTAGATTAGTGTAAAATTTAAATTCCCCCTAACATTGCCAATCAAAAACTTTTTGTCAAAACCTAATTTTGTCACATAATAATCTTTGTTAAAAGTAGAAGAAATAGTGAAGCTTGTGTGATGAGGGATTTTCTTTTCTTTATGACACCAGGATATGAACCTGTAATCTTATATTTGAAATTTAATAGCGGTAACTCGGTTAATAGTTGTCCGAAATGAACAAATTTTATATAGTTTTGTAGAGAATTTCATTACCTTTAAAAAAAACAGACTAAACAGGGTTTTCGGACTCAGGGAGCTCTAAAACATATAGATCCTTTGAAAACCCCATATCGGAAATTTGACCCAATCTCAATACTTTCCTTACCTAGTATAGATCCCGGTGCCGGAGGGGATTTTAAATTCCCCGCCCTCACCCCCCGGCCCGGGAAAATCCCGTATAGCCTAAAAGGCGAGGTAGGGAAGAACCAAAAAAAAAAAAAAAACCTAGTATAGATAATAATGTAATAAATTAAAACCTGTGTAGAAAATAGAATACGCTGTATCATCACTAATACTGGTTCGATTCCGATGATTTTTTTTTGTTTTGCTGGTAATTTAATTACCTTTCAAAAGTTTTATTATAAATTTTACCATAGAATATATATATATATATATATATATATATATATATATATATATATATATATATAGCGAGTTAGACCCCAAAATATTTTTCTTTCCTTTATAACCTTTTTTCTGAATTTTCTTGGGAATTTAGTACATGTACGAAAATTGAAAGGATAATTATTATAAAATTATAGGAAAGTTTCATCAAAATCGTTCAGAGCCATTTTTGTGTTACTGTTTATAGAAAAATGTTTTTTACTTATTGCGCAGGGAGCACCCAATTTGTGCCACAGGCATCAGTGGTTAAAACCCTATAAAATAAAAAAAGAAGCAACAAAATCGGTTCACTAGTTCCCGAGATCACCTTAGCACAGACAGACCAATGACTGAAAATGTGTTTTTCGGACTCAGGGGGCTCTAAAACATACAGATCCATCGAAAATCGCATATTGGAAATTTGACTCGATCGCAATATTTAATAATGAAATTTTATCATAGGTCATTCTTTACCACCTTTTATTATTAGTTATAATATGAAATGGTTGATTATTTCAAATAAAAAAGATCAGAGGTATTGTTTAGGGAAGAAATTTTGAAAATTTGCCATTTAACCTCTGTCAGGCTGCATCGATGAGGGTAAAACCTACCTTAAACTAAAAATCACTTAATAATATATAGATCTAATGAGTTTAATCAAAGTCGTTAGAGCCATTTTCAATAAAATGGTAAAAATATGTAACATCAATGATATGAAGAAGCACTTCCGGTTAGTCATTTTGATAAAAAATATATTTCATATATGGGTAAATGAAAGCAATACCTCAATATAAATGAACACTTAATGAGTGTACTGCCCTCAAGGTGAAGATGTGAAGTTCCTCATGCATCGAAATTAAACAATTTGAACCTTATAATACTTTTTAACAAAGATGAGTACCAATGTTAAATCTCATAAATTGAGTATAAAGCAGGAAAATAAGTTCACCTGCAAGATTTGGTGATAAAACTTAACAAGTGTTTGCTTAATAACATTTTTTTGTGATATCACCTATCAGTTTATGTGGAATCTTGAAACATAATTATCAATGTTTTCATTAAAAAATATGGTATGTCATAAAAATTATCTATCACAAGTGTCACATTATTTTACTTAACATTGTGAATGCTAACTGCAAAATAAGTAGATAGGGACATTTATTTAGGGTTAACCCTCCCATCTATCCTATATTCGGTTAGGGTAGGAATAGTGATTGTATACTATTCGCATCAATTTAATGATATTAATTTTAACTGCACATATGACCAATTATTGATCTTATGAGCTCTCTGATATCCTCTTCACATGTAAAAATTTCTTATAAAATAATAAAGTATTATTTTAAGGTAAAATACATAAGTAATATATCATACTTTGAATAGATATCCAGAAGTGTTGAATAAGGAACACCTAATGATGTCATGATATTGTGTACATGAAATTTATCTACTCCAAGCTTGCAGCTGATCAATTCCAATTGCCAAACAAGATATTCTAAAAGACACACACAAAAGTTAAATTAGTCACATAAATTAAAATTTGGATATCATTTTAACAAGAAATCTAAACTAAATAGGTTTAGAAATGAACAAGTGAATTTCATAATTTTGTTACATTTCCTCCACATGGTTAGTAAAAATCAGAAAATGACTCAATAAATACTTAATCAATTTCCCCATTTTTATGGCACTGAAATAGCTTCTACACACAAGGCTCCTGTTAGAAAAGTGATCTTTCAAGCAGATACAGATGCAGATCTTAAAGTAAATTTAAGAACAGAGCGACAACAATATTAAAATGTTGCAAGAAGTTTAAGGATGTATCAATGAATTTTTATTAAATCTAAAGTTATTGAAGAAATTGATGTCAAGAATTTTGTTGTTTAAGATTAACTAAAAATTTCAGATTGATACAGAAAAAAATTAAAGGATAAAAATTACAATAGATTTTCAATTACATGAATGCCATATAATCTAATCTCAATCATCTGTTAATAAATAAAAGAGAATAACTATTCCTATACTGAACATTTTCCTGACGTTATACAGTAAATTTTTTTTAGAAGAAAATTAGTGAACTTTCATTATTACTGTATCATCATTGATAAGAATATCCCATCTTACTTATAACTGTAAAAAAAAAGTTTTGTCTATAAAAAGAGTTTACAGCTACTAAAGTACATATACAATATTGTCTAAGGTAATTTTACATTGGTAAACTTATTCATTAGTTCAATCTCAGTAGTTTCCCTTATATAGGTAAGAGGAACTAAAAAAACTAAATCAAACTCTATTTATCAATTTAGAAAGCTGAAAAGATTAGACTTGGAACTGTGCGCAAACTTTGGCTGAAAGTTTGATAGAAATTAGTAGGATAACTAAAGTAATCAGGTATTAGAATCTTTTTCTCATGAAGAAATTTGAACTTAATCAAAGAAATCGCTAAAATAATTAGAGAACTATTGTTAAAATTAAGAAGAAAAAAAAATGGAGAATATAATGGGCAGAATGGATTAGAGCTAAATTAGGATAAACTTAGAAGTCATCCAAAGCTTAGATGGTTGGATTTAAATTTCCCTGAGCTTAAATAAGTATAAGATATTGGAAAGCTATCACAACATTTGAAGGGAATCAAAGTTAAGTAGTACATGAATTATCTAGACGTCAGTCAAGTGGAATATCAAATCTGGACTAATGTTGTTTAATTATTTATTTGTTAACAAAATTGAGATAAGATTGAACATTTTACCTTTTCAAAATTTGAACAAGGATTTGAAAAACCTATGTCTTAATTTCACATTTAGTTTTTGCAGAATGAACATGATGTAGGTTCTCGACTACTCATTACTCATTTGAATTGTTTAATAATACAAACAATTGTAAAACAAACTCCGTACTCAAGTGAAATAAACTGTAGTTTGTGTATAAATACTATTAATCTCAAAAATATTTTAACTTTGTTCTGTAGTAATGATTTTGAACTAGAATTATTAGAATTTCAAAGGTGATTCTATACGTAACTGTTTCCAGTTACTATTTGGACGTTCCTGGTCATTGTTCAATTCTTAGAGCTCAGCTTTTTTATTTTCTAAGCCTGTTGAATCAAACACGAATTTTAAATGTAATTTTCCATGTATAATTATGCTCAAATTACAATTGTTCAACTATATAAATAAATATATGAGAAGGAGTTAATTGGGGGTGCGGTCAAATAAATACTAAATTAAAATATAGTAATTATTTAATTTATGTTTTATTTCAATTATGTAACACTGTGTTTCAACTGCCTCCCGAAGTGCTACATCCTACACCCTGAAGACGACCTGCAAAGTGGGTCGAAATGTCGGCAAAATTAAATAATTACTATATTTTAATTTAGTATTTATTTGACCGCACCCCCCAATTAACTCCTCATATTATATCAACGGTCAACCATCTCTACATCATTATAAATAAATATAGATTGTTTAAACTCTGTATTGTTTGTTTCTAGTTGTAATTTTGCACTGTGTATAATTGTATTGGTTATTTGGACTGCTTCAATATCCAAATTAAGGCAGGTATAAATTAGTCCGGAAAATAAAGTCTTTATTTTATAACTATAGAAACACAGGAGCTGATACAATTTATTAATACTTAGCTATGTATTTTAGAATTACTTGCTTTTTATGTTCCACTCTCTTCAGAAAGTTAAATTAATAGAACTTTATAAGAAGTTATTTTAAATTTTTTCTTTTCATTATTAGGCTTAGTATTAATCTTGGTAGGTTAGAACCTTTTGACTTCAGGTGATTTGAGAGTACCTCCAAAGGAGTTTTTATCAACAGAGATGGAACAGATGTGAATGGGCCAAAAGTTTTCTTTGATTATCTAATGTGTAACACATCAAAATAAGTCAAATATCAGAAGGAAACCTGTGATTTGAACCTTTGGTGATTTGGCTTATAGCCTATCCCATATTATATAAAATGGGATTTATATAATTATTACAATTTAATTTTAATGTTTATTTTAATAATATTAAAATTAAAATGTAACTTATAAATGATAATTAAAAAATTAAAACATTCTACACATATAATTTATTTAATGTAACCACTGATTTATTTAATACAGAGTATAATAAATGAGATCTGAAAAAAAAGATATAGTGTAATCAATCAATCTTTACATCATACATGTAGCGTGTTTTCTAGCATATAAAGATGTTTCTATGAATAATGTATGTAGAACAAGTATCAACACATAATAGATAAAAATTACATATTTGCTGTTTTATAAAAACCGACTCAATTGAATATTACTTACCAATAGGAAAACATGGAGACTGTATACCAAACTGAAGGCCTAATGATCTAACTTTTGATACTAGTACAACCATTTGCCCAGAAGGATCTCTAGAATTACACTGATCAAGCTCTGAAAATAATTTCAAATATTACTGTTCTGCACTATTATTATTTCCTTCTTTATAATTAAGTAATGTCTTATATGTATATATACTAGAATATGTAATAGTAAAAAATAAAAATGTCTATTTACCTTTTAGTATTATATTGTCCCAAATAGAATTTATGAGTTCTTTATCATCATGACCAGCACAGTCTAAAATGGCAAGTTTCTGTTCCCAAAGTCCAAAAGGCTCAGCAAAAGATTCATAGAGCTGAAACATTTGAAATTTTGAAATAGATAAAGATGACAAGTATATTAACAAAAATAACTACCTAATATAAATACAAAATAATTAAATAATTTGATTTGGCTTATTAACTACCTCAGTGATTGAAAGTAAATTGGCATTGAGTTTCCTACAAGCATCTTGTACATTTATGTCACTAACATCTGGCATTGAGGTGATCCTTTCTAAAATCTGAAAACAAAAAGTTTATAATTTAATTATGTAACTTCAGTAGTATTTGAAATAATTATAATTAATTAACTAGTTTTATGACAGATCATTATTTTCCACATTAGAAAGCCCATCAGTAAATTATCTACTTCCAGCTGAATAAGCTATATCGATATTAAAACTATCTTAATAGTTTTAAACCCATCTATTGGTGCCCAAAATCCACGTATTCCAGTTTTTTTTTCTTTTCTTTTACCTCTAATCTAGCCATTTCTGACATATGGAGGGTTTGTTTTAGCTGAACAGACAAAAATATTCTAACCAGAGTGGGAGGAAAGTCAACATTCATTCAGTTAGTCTGTCATGAAATAAATTTCAACCCAACTCCATTATATTCTGGATTGTGTCCCATAATCAAAATTATTTATCATTCAATTTCAAAATAGATAGAGCTGAATTTCATCAGCCACAAAGTCGATAATGAAATGAATTTTCTGCTTATTTTATTTTTTCAAGTCTTCAGTATTTTCTACAGCCAATTTTTAAAAATAATATATACATAACTATCTACTCAAACAGGTAATGTCAATTTGGCTACGTTTTCTACACAGCAATGAATATGTTTATTAAAATATAAAGTCATAAAATATAGAAAGTTTATGTTTTTTATTTTCTAATCAGGCTATTTACTTTTTCAGTTTCACAGTAGATTTAGGATTGAAATTTTTAATATTAATATTTAATTAATACATTAGTGAGTCTCATCAACAATAATCCTAGGCATATTGAGTCAACAACAATAACATTTTTTTTTTTTTTATTTCCTTCCTTGCCTTTTTGGCTATACAATGTTTTTCCCTGATCAGAAGAGAGAGTGGGATATTAATGCCAGATTTAAAAGCCCCCCTGGGGGCTACTGGGGGGTATCCTGATACAAACTTGTAATTATTTTATCATCTTCACTTTATCAGGTTGTCCGGCAACACCTGTTTGGCACATGTGTTATTCCAATCACCACTCCACTCCTGAAAACTATAATAATAACTTAATTATAATAATAAAAGATGTACCTGTTTCTGCACTCGAGCAACATGTACTAAATCTTCTAATTCATGGAGAAATACACCTAAATGTGATGCACATCCCACTCCATCACTTCGCATACACATAACAGCCTTTCCAAGATATGTTAATCGTTGATGGAGAGTTATAAATTCTCTAATTAACATTAAAAATATATAAATTAATTATGATTCAAGAAATTTAATCAATATATATACACTTAACAAACCAAAACTATTAATCAAATGAGGATTACCCAGGGGCAGTAGCAATCTTATACAGTATATTAGCAGCAGGAGCATGATTCCCTGATTTCTCATGATATTGCCATAAAAGATCTCTTAGAGGGCTATCGACAGGATAGCGTGAAAGAAATCTCTCAACTGAAGGTCTACCTAATGAAACAAGTGATGCTTGGAGTTCTCGGCTAACAAGCCAATCATAAACCACAATGTGACAAGTTTCATCTTCTACTGACAAGCATTTTTCAAGGGTGGCCTCCAACTAAAATCAAAGAAAATTATTGATAACTAACAGCATATAGTTAAAAGTATAACGAAACAAGTTCAATAAGCTATAATATTCAATAAAATAAATAATGAGTCAACACTAATATTAGACATAGGATGTCATCGGTAGATCTGAAATGAGTTACCATAAATGGTACATTAAAATATATATTTCCAAACTTTAAAGCATATTAAATTTTTATACAATCACATAAACAATTTGTTTTTCTTTTAAGCTATTATTAAGAAACAAACCTTTTTTATATTGTATAAATTTGGATATTTTGAAGAAAAGGACTAAAGATCAGTAAATCCTTACTTAAGAACTCTGGAACCTAAACTTGAATAAGATTATCAACTGATTTGAACAATTAAAATATGAGATGTTAGATTTTTAATCATACGCACTAAGTTTGCTAGGAAAGAAAACAAAGGTCAAAATAACCCAAGATTTGAATTATGTATAAATAGTTTTATTATTGTACTGTATAAATACTTACAAGTTTTTGTGAGTGAGAAGATAAGTCAGCACTTCCAAAGAGAGGGGGAATATTATTGCCTCCCAATTGGCACTGTTGGTACAGGAAGTCTAATAAATGAACTATTTGTTGGTAAGCCTTATGTCTAAAAAATAAATTTAAAAAAATATATATTAAATTCTGACCCTTCTTTTATTACATTGTCATTCAGGCTGAAGAAATAGGTATCGACTTCCAACATTAAACACAAAATGAAAATTATAAAAATAAAAAGAATTTATTTATTTATTTAAAATCTTTACATAATTTAATTTATACTCTCCATATTAAAAAAATAAATCTTAAATGAAATTAAGTAAACTTAATTAATTTAATTTAAAAAAAAACATGTGGTCAATTACCTGGCTTCAAATGCCTTACTTCCTTCGACATCTTCTACAGGCCTACCTCTAGCTATAAACTTTGAAGCCAGTGAATTTGAATCAGATTTGCTAGCGACATCCTGGCACATTTCTAAAACTCCGTCATAATATCCACATTTGACTAAGCTCTTGCATACTGAATCAATATCAACATTTGGTGATACATTTTTACAAAGCTGGAAAACAAATAAAATGTCATATAATTCCCAATTATTTTTGCTTTGAAGGATATTGAAACTTAAAAATTATAGAAACAAGTCACAGATTTTATAAAAATTAAATAGATTTATGACAATTGGTGTGAAATTAAAAATTAACTAAAATCTATGAATTAATTAAAAGAATCAATAAGTACCTTGCCGTAACCAATTATAAATCTTATAACATTTGTTATTATATTAATTTTCAATATAAATTCTTTGAATTGTAAATAATTTTAAAATAATCATAATAATTTTTGTGGATACTTAAAAATTCTATCCAATGCACATTAACATCAAAAGAAAAGAAAATTATTGAATAAATGTCTTTAAAAATCATCAATATGAGAAAAAAATTGAATAAATTATAAGTATTCATTATTAAACATTAGTAGCCTGTCTTGGTGGTGCATCCCCAGGGTATATCTATAAATATTAACTGCGGAAGCAGAGGGTTTGATTTTGCGGCTTAAGGACATCTTATCAATCTGAATTGAATGATTTCATCTAAAATTGTTGGATAAAAATCATCTGATAATGTAAAATTATTTAGAGTAAATTTCAGACTATATTAAGGTTTATGGCTATAATTGATTTATTTTTCTGATAAGATTTTGTAGTAATATAATAGGAAGAAAACAAAACAAATAATTGTAAATTGGGTTTGTTGTTCGAAACGATAATGCATCTGAATTACAGATTGTATTCAAGGGAAAATGTTTAGATAAAAAAATAACTTCAACAGCAACAATTACAATTACATTTGCTGTGGTCTGTTCCATGTTTTCCTTATTCCAGGATTTTAAACTTTTTACTCTGAAAATTCATAATCCTGTCAAAATGTGCCCCTCGAAAACTCAAAACCCTGTTAAAGTGTGCCCATCTCAAAAATCTCAAGGGGTGTGTACACAAATGAATAAATATATACTGATAAAAATGAATAGGATATAGATAGGATTGTATTTGATCTCCGGAAGTTTTATAAAAGGTATTTAAAAAATATATTAAAATTAAAGGTTTATTTGATCTTGTTATTTCATTGCAAATTTCCAACATTTTGTAAAATTTAATAATTTGTGTTGATATCCTCTATTACACACTACTTCCCTTCACCTATTGACTCATGGTAATATTGCTCTCAGTTACTGAAGATTAAGAAAGAACTAAAGGGTGGTTAAAAAGCCTCCTCTGCAGTGATTCCCACATGCACTCAATTGGATTGGATTGGAGATGTCTCTAAGACAACATGGTAAGGTGAAGATATGAAGTGGCCAGATTTTCAAGACATTGATGAACAACTTTGTCCCTCTGAAGTCGTGTATTGTCGACAAGAAAATGGAAATCTGTAACAACTATGGCTCTGAATTGAGAAATGTACTTTTCCATAATTTCTCAAACATAACAAACTGCGACGAATTACTTTCCTTAATTTGGAGAAGATTCTGTCCTGAGTAGATAGCCCCTCTTGAATGTATTGAAGGAAGCACAAACTGTGACACTTTACCCATCCTCTGTTCTGGGTAGACTCGTCCGCGTGGCGCCTACGATCACTATAAATACAGAAACCCGACTTGTCTGTAAACATAATAGCATTCTAATTTGTATCCTCATCTAGACGCTCACTGCACCATGATCTGCTGAGTTGCTGGTGATGCAGCTAGTCTTCAAAGGGCATAACATGTTAGACCAACGTCCCTCAAACGATTATGAATGGTTTGTGTTGGTGTTGGCCTTGGCAGAACATTTAGCACTTCATTTAGGCTCTGTTGGGCACTATAAAAAGGGTTGCTTCTTGCATTAATACCAATATTTTTGTCATCCCTTGGTGCCATAATGTACGGAGATCCACCAACAGGTCTCTTATAACAGAGGGATACTTCCGGTTCTTCTGAATCTGGTTAATGCACGGGAGACCACAACCTGGAAGACACCAAATGCATCGACAATATCCATATCGACAATAATAGAATACTTGCCAGTGCCCTCAACCACTCTTTCTCAAGATAATATTGCGAACTTATGGTTCAATATGATGTTTCTCCTTATAGACTAGGAGTTAGTGCCGTTTTCATTTGAATGCACAACTCCGGTCAGTCACTTGAAAGCCATTGCTTTATATAAGAAAATTTAAATTAAAGAGGCGAAATTTGACGGTTCATTTAACGGAGGAACATAGGACTGAAATTTTGATATGATGTTAATAATATGTCCCTAAAAGAGAATTCAGCTTAACTGATGATCTACTCTGTTGCATTTTGAAAACTGAAACATAGAAGTCATCAAATTAGGCCAGTTGGAAGGTAGTTGGATGAAGAAAAAATTTAAATAGTCGGTCTTTTAAATAACAAATATGTTTTAGAGAAAGCATTTTTTAAGCTTGATTAGGATTTTTAATATAGGATTTATTTAAAAAATAAACTTTTAGTAATTTATTTTTATCGCTGTTATTTTATTTTCATAAACTTAGACTGATTTTCTCTATTATAATACTAATGTAGTTTCTTATAAGTAATTTAGTTTTTTTATTACTATAAACAGCATAATAGATATTCATATGACACTAACTGTGACATTTCTGATTAATAAATGCTCTTTTAAGGAGCACCACGGGTCTAACGAATGAGTGCTTGCCAGCCTGATCTTGACCAGATGTATATATTACAAATAGTAAATAGTATTGGTATGTTTTTCTTTTTAAAAAACTAGTTTTAAGTCCATTTTATTTAAATTTTATTCATTACCCTTGTTTGATTTCAATGTAATGATCAGTGCCGTGTCAAAGGTAGATGAATATAGCAACCGTGGTCATTTATTACGACAAAGTTTACCCCTTCAAGGTCATTACAAACGATATCAACTGTATATTTATTTCTAATTTGAAAAAAAAAAATATTTATATACTAAAAAAAGTTTCGTTTTGAAAATTCCTTGACTTTTCCTATTTTTCCAAGCCGGTCGCCACTCTGGTCTAATCCAAATTTAATGCGGATGAATCCACTAGACAAAGTTAATTTCTATATAGTAATTAAAAATAAAATAAAAATTACATCAATCGCTGATCGTAAGAGGTTCAACTTAGCTTCCTCATCAACTTCATCTAATGCCATTTGAAGAATTTCATTTACCTGTAATTATGAAAATGTTTAATGCATAGCTATCTCAGGAGGAGTATAGTTTATAACATAAATAATTAAAATGTAAAATTACTTTTGTACATGTTGCGTCTTCATTTTTATAAAGAAGAGGACACACTTCTCTCAGTTTTGAACTAATTGGATCGACAGAAGCATTATCATTCAAATACCTGCAATAAGTTTTAAAATACAATGATGATTATTAAAATGACTAAATAAATATATTTTCTGTTAATATGGATTAATATTTACATACAAACTGACTAATTTTGAGATAAGTTCATGACATAAATCTTCTCCTTTAAGAATAAACTCTCTAAATGTAATGTGTATTAATTGATCTTGACTTTCCTAAAAATCAGGTTTTTCTTTATGTTTAACATGAAACAAACAGAATTAAAATAAAATCTAAAATGAGCTTTAAAAAATACCGGAGAAAGAGATTCCACAATTAGAGGCAATTCATGATCACATAACAACTTCCAAAGAGAGAAAACTTGGGTGATTCGCTCAACAAAATTCCTTAAAGCATCAAGTGAGGCCTTTTCTTGAATGAGCGCTTCCTGCAAACGAGTGCGTTGGCCACTTGGAGAAACCACAGTTGTATTGTTGGCTGGCTGCAAACTTTACATTCAAACAATATAATGAATTGCATACACTATTGTTTGATAAATTAATAGAGAAATTTAAATAATACTTGAGCTATATAATCAAATTATGAACCACTTCCTAATAGAATAGAATTTATATGTGAATAGAATTATAATTAAAAAACAAATAATATTTAATTTAATATATTATTTGATTTTATATGAATAATATTAATTAAAAATTAATAAATATATTTCCTATGATTTTTGTTAGGGGATGTAAGCATAATTTTACCGCCCCTTCTTTCACCACTTAACGTCTCTTGATAAAAGTAAACATTTTGTATTTGAGAACGTGAAGGCTGAGCACGTAGGGGTGAGGGTCCTGAACATTGTGGGCTTGATTCCCACTAGGGTCAATTGGTATTGATTTCTTGGCAGTCCCAAGCGATGAATCTTGACACTCCCACTTAGGTTAGGATGAGATGGCAACCTCTGCCATCAGAGGTTGGCCAAAAGCACTTGCTACACTACTTCCTCTTCTAGTACTAGCATATCATTACTTAAATAATATATTTTTAAATAAATATCATCATCAGATAATATTAACTCTTGTCACTGACTGAATTAAGACAGCAGGAGCAAAAAGCCAAAGGAAACTTTTTTCTGAAGATAAAAAAAAATCTGGTGCATAACACAACTTTTACTTACCATCCTTCTTTTTGGAAAAATATCTATTTTCAGACAAAGGGAAGATGATAAAGTAAAAATCACAGACAGTAAAAAATATTTTTTGAAACACTCAATTAACATATGTTTCTCACAGTCGTCTAATGTAATATACTTATGCTGTTGTTTTTTTCTCGCTAATAACGAATAATCGGTTCTCTATTAATAATGAATTATATCTGGTTACTTCTATGAATAATTATCAAATTCTTTTATAGTTCATATTAAAAAAAACATTTTTTATATCAGAGTTAATCATAAAATGGTTAATTATATCAAATAAAAAAATTTAAGATTTTAGATAAAGAAATATTAAAAATTAGCCATTTGAGCCCTGTTAGAGAACAACAATAAGAATAAAACCTATTTTGTATTAAAAACTGCTTAACTTTATACTGATTTAATGAATTTAATCAAAATCGCTAAAGTGCTACTTCCAGTTGGCCGATTTTGACGAAAAAGTTACTGTAACATCCCAGGTATATACGAATCTTAAATATGCATTTCACTTTTCATTTCATAACTAAACCGTTCACATACATACATACACAAACAGAGACCATTATGCGGGACTTGGTTATTTGGACTGAGAAAACCTTAAAACATGTATTTCCGTTGAAAACTCAGATTCGAAAATTTTCATGATTGCAATACATTCCCTAACTATATATTCACATATAGTTAAGTAAAAATTCATGAAATTTGACACCTATGGCATCGTTTGCTTTCTCGCCCCTCACTAGTTCCAGCCCTGTAATCATATTTGGACAGACATGTGGTATTGATTTAGGCTTTAACTAAAACATTAAGTCTATCCTGTATCCAATCTTTCTAAAAGAGCTTTGGCTTCATGAAATCCTCTATAATAGTTTATAGAAACAAATTTATTTCCAGAATAATCATCACAAAAAACAGTGCCACATAATCAGATTTTATAAGATTATAATAACTGAATCATAATTTAGGTAATTAAAAATTCTTTAAATAAATAGTAAATCATAGTAAAATGTTCTATTTCATATGATATATGAAATGAAGATATTTTCAGTTTAAAATAATAAATATGGGATAGAATTATTGATATCTACCTTGTACCAACATCTGATGAGCTTAAGGTGTATCTTGCAAGAAATGAACGAAGCTCATACAGTTGAACTGTCTTTAAACTAAGTTCTTCACAAGTAATAGTTGGCAGGTACTACAAAAAAAAAAAACTGTTAAAGTAAATAATAAATAAATTTCAAATAATATGCATTAAATACTATTGAAGTTAGGAAGAAAAAGATGTGTGAAGATTTTGATGTATATTAACCGCTAAAGAAAGAATATAATGAAATAACTAATTAAACTAACATTGCTAATGTAATTTGAAAATAATAATATTTATGAACATGGCTAAAATAATTTCCGTAAGAGTCAATAAAAAAATTATCAAAACCCTAATTGGTAGTTATTTTAATCCATAGACAAAAATCATCAAATAAACAAGATTATCAAAGAAGTTAGCAATAAAAAATATTGATAAGACAGTATAAATGGTAAGAATGACCATGAAAATAGAGAAGAAAGTGATCATTTATTAATTAATTTGTTTGGTATAAAAAAGTACTAAGGTTATGAAGTAAGTGGGCATTATTAGTTGTAAATATTAACTATAAAATAATAATTTCACCCATTCCTCTGAATATATTTTGTTTTGTTTTTTATGGAGGTTTCATAAGATGTTGAAGAAGAATATTATATTGTTTTTAGTTAGTAAAAGTTAGTCTTGTGCAGGCTTTTCATCTTTCTTTATATAAAATAACAAAAATTTTCCTTTTGTTATAAAGCGCTTTTGATGATTTTATAATCCATAAGCTTAAATAAATTATGTGTTCCAACAATTTTCATTCATGCTATATTAAAGACAAACCTGTGATAAAACTTGTACAATAAAAGAAAAAAAAATTCTAAAGTCAGTCTAGATAGCTTTAGTAAATCATTGTTTGACGAGCGATTTTACAGATAAAAATTATAAAATTGAACTAGAATTAAATTTGTTCAATGATATTTTCATTGCATCTTTGGAATAAGAATGATGTAAGAATAAATATCATAAATTATTGCAATCTAACTTTGAATGAGAATAGAAAATTCCAAAAGAAGGTCCTTGTAGGGGTTTAAAAAACTTTAAAACAAAGAAAAAACTAGAAAAATAGCTTGAAAAAGCTGAGATTTGAGTTATTCAAAATACCTTAATAATTGTGTTCAGAGGTTCTAATGCAGAAATAAAATAAACCAAACCCCCTCTCTGATGACCTTCAATGCATTGCTAAAGTAACTATTTTCAGAAATAAAAAAAACATTGGCTCATTGAAAGCTGAACATATGAATCTATTACTGCACAACTAAACCCTCTAACAATAATTCTCTTTCTTTCTTTTAACAATCAAAATAAACTATCTTCCAATGGAAATTGATGGAAGATATTTAAGTTAAGAACTTATAGCGATATTTTCTTGACTAGGGCATCATTTACTGTGAATTGCCGACCATAAATAATCTCTTTTGTTTACCATATTTCCACAAAATTTCTAAATTCACCCTTATGGTCGCAAAAAATTACACATCCAAATTAAACAGACTAAAAAAAAATTAAAAAAGGACATAAATCAGTATGCCTCAAAATCAAAATCCATGTCAGTGGGAAACATTTTGGTGATAATTTTTTGGGATTACAAAGTGCTCATTTTGCTTTTTCATGACGTTATCATGAAGAGTGAGTCATAAACGGAAAGAACCATCATCAACCAAAGATTTGCCCATTTGCTAAAAAAAGCCAATTCACATAGAAGAAAATAAAAATTGCATGAGAAATACTGAAGCAGTACATACCTTGCCTTTTAATAATGAAAAGAGGGAAACAATGCTTAAACGATGAAGCAGACGTAGATGTTTATATGCAGCAATGATTCATAATACTGTCTGATATTTTTAACAGTAAAAATGTGAGACATTTTAGAAGAAAACTTTCAAATTGAAGAGACTACACAATATATTTCAATGACTACACAAAAAATGGATATAAGTTTTTATTTTACAACTTTTTTTTAAACAAACAATAAGAAGCAAAATAATTTTCAACGAATCTTTATGTTCAAGAGACCTCCGAGTCCGAAAAACACATTTTCAGCCTTTGTTCTGTCTGTACCAAGATTTCTCGAGAACAAGTGGACCGATTTTGTTGCTAATTTTTTTGTTTTGTGACTACTGATACCTGTGAAACAAATTGGGTGCACCCTACGCAATAAGAGAAAAACATATTTTTCTATAGATTGTAACAATAAAATGACTAACGATTTTGATGAACTTTTCCTACAATATTCTACTTGAAGTCCTTTCAATTTTTGTAAATCTCTTACAAAGTATACATTCTATGGTAAAATGTATATAGAATCTTTTGAAAGGTAATTAAATACCGTACAAAAAAAAAATCATCCGAATCAAAAAAGTATTAGCAATGACAGTGGAAATTCGATAAAGTAATAGAGATTATAGTTTTGATTAATAGTAGTTTCTTTAGAACTGATCAGCAGAATTCTAGCTCACATAAAAAAAAAAAAAAAAAATTGTTGGGTCTTAAGCCTTTTAAGAGAACAAGAGGAGAGTGAATGAGAGATTACTGTTTCTATGTATTTCCATTTGTTTACCTTTTTTTCCTATTACAGCGTCCTCTCCTCTTTTTATCGACTTTGATGTTATGTTTGACTTTAATTTTGAAAATGTCTCTGACCATGTGGATTTACAAAAGAAAAACTGCTGCCAACAGTTTGTGAAAATTAAAATAATTGAGACTCGAAGATTTAAATAATTCCCTCTCGTATAGAATCGCTTTTCTCAAAAGTAAGAAACTCCTATAACATTGATGATAATTAAGGAGTAGCAGAAATCTTAAGTGAAAAAGAAATATTAGCTCTATCTGAGGATGTTGATGGGAGAATATGAAGAAAATTATATGCCGTCGACTACCCTACAAATACAAAGCAATTCATTAACAACATGTGTCATTTTTTAGTGAAATCAGAAAGCTTGACAAAGCTATAGACAGGATGCATCTTTAAGGGTTACATCCTTTTTACATTGGTAGTAATAAATTATTTTATTAATTTTGTCATTAAGTATTTTTTTTAGTTTTACACCTTATTATTGGAAATCTTGATTATTTGTATTTTACTCCCAGTTGCTTGAAAATACAAATTATCAGGACTTTAGTATATATTTATAAATAAAAAAAAAATAGTTATTTAAATAGATGAATAATATCACTGATATAATTCATAAATTATAACTTAAATCTGCTAATTTTTATTGTTTTTTCTTCCACTTTCTCTTTGACAAATATCTGTCTAAAGCAGAGATTAGATTTCCATAAGAACCCATCCCAAGAAAGTGACCAATAAGAACAGGTTTTACCACAATTATCTATAAAGAGAAAAAAAAAACCTAATATACACTAATAAAAGAATAAAATATTATTTTCGTACAATAGGTTTTTTATTATAATTGACATCTAAAACTCTTCTTAACCAAACTGGTCGAAGCATCCGACTAAGGAAAATGTAGAGCCCATTATGTTTGGATGACATTGATACTCCATAAGTTTCTATACTTCTTGAGGGTTGCACTTGCTTCTCTCCTAAAGGAGTACTGACGGTACCTGGTTTGAAACCTGAAAAGAAAACAGTATTATTTAATTAAATGTTAGAGTATTTGTTTATATAATTTATTTTCTCTTAGGAAAGTTTAGAATCTTTATTTTCCAAACAATAGTTAGTTTTATTATTTTGATATCCTTAAAATTTATATATTGAAGTGATTTTGCAGAAGAATATTGGTGCTGGTTTTTGACTAACAAGATTTGAGGAAATGACCTCAAACTTTCAGAAGACTGGCTATTAGTAGTTAGTTAGTTCAGAGCTTTGCTAATAGTATATTGATGTAGTTCAGTTATAATTAAAAGCAAATAAGAATGAAAAGTGAGTTGGGTTCTAGTGAATTATTATAGAATAAGGCTGATATATTTTTAAACTGTTAAGGTTATATTTGTATGTAAAACAAGTATCAGTCATTTTTATTTATTAAATACAGGCCTCCGCTAAGGATTGTATTTTTAAATAATAATTAAATTGTAACTCACTGATAATCACAATCAATAAATTATTAAATTTAGTTTATATTGTTGTCAATCAAAACTGTCTGAAAATACATTATATTATATTTGATATCCAAACAAGATTGTTAAGTGATATTATTTTTATTACTATTTATTAATATAATATATTGAGTCTTATTTTCTTGACTATAAAATATTAGATTGTCCAGAAAATAATGCAGGATTTTGGTTTAAAAAGAAAAAAAAAAAATTATAACTGTTTTATTTAATCAAAATAGTCTCCACTATTATCAATACATTTCTGCCAACATGTTAGCAACTTTTCCACTTCCTCGGAATAGAATTTCCTATCTTTAGAATTGATAAACTCAAAAAAAGTGCATTTTCTAATTCCTATTGAATATTTAATAGTTGACCGTTGCATTATAAAGGAAGAAGATGGTCCGGGGTGGCGGTCATAAATAGGCTAAATAGTGGCAAAACTATTTTATTAAAAGCCAACGTTTCGACCTGACTTTGCAGGTCTTCTTCAGGGAGGTGTGCTCAGCTAGGAGTTTTACTTAGAACTCACATATTGAATATTTAATAGTTGACTGTTGCATTATAAAGGAAGAAGATGATCCAGGGTGGCGGTCATAAATAGGCTAAATAGTGGCAAAACTATTTTATTAAAAGCCAACGTTTTGACCCGACTTTGCAGGTCTTGTTCAGGGAGGTGTGTTCAGCTTGGAGTTTCACTTAGAACTGAAGGGAATTCTAATTCCCTTTGTCCATTAAATCTTTTGTCACGTAAGTAGTGGTCCAAGTGTCTAATAAAATGATAATCCGTAGGCGAGAGGTCCGGAGAGTAGGGCAGATGTGGCAGAGTTTCATATACCAGCTTCAACAGTTTTTGGGACGTCACACATGAGACATGTGGCCAGAAATTGTCATGCAACAAAATGGGCCCCTTCCGATGGCTTTATTCTTGCCAATTTCTGATACATTGCATTAATTTGGTTACAATACAATTCAGCATTGATGGTTTCTCCAGGATTTAAGAACCTGTAGTGCATCAAACTAAATGAAGCCCATCAAACAGTAACCATCACCTTTTTTTGATGAGTTGGCAGCTTAAGAAAATTTTCTGTAGCTTCTCCTTTGTCAAGCCACTATCCAAAATGTCTAATAAAATATCCCAATATTTGCAAATAAAATATTTCAACCTGGAAATTGCAATATTGGAAAATATTAAAATTTTGATATTGATAAATCAATATTCAAATTTGACTATCACAAAATGTACATCTATCTATAAAAAATGCCTACATTACTTAAAAGTTAAAAAAAAAATTATCCTACATAAAGAAAAAAATTAGAGAGAATATTTTCAGTTAAAGAGCTTTGGTTTGGAAGCAGATGCACTATCTCTCACACAAGTAATTTCTTGTAAAAAAAGTCTTGTGTTGGAAAGGAACAGCTACAGAGCATAGTAGACACTATTATTTTGAACTGATCGGGAATCATTCATCATCACCTATACTAATCTTTGCAGTCAGAGGCTGAGACAGAAAATATCTGATACTTTCAGTTCACTCATTTTTGTATAACTGTTATCAATCAATTTGAGTGACAAAGTATCAGACTGAAATATTCCAATCCATTACTACATGCAATTTTTATTTTATATTTCTAGATTGAAATATTATTTTACTGCAATGTTGAATATGGATTAATTAAATCATGTTACATAATGAATTAATGATATTCATTTAGACCAAAATGGCGTAAGGACATCATCATAAATTTATAGCTGGCTGTGTGGATTTATCCAATGCAATTAAAATTAAAATTAAAAAAAATTAATGAATTTATAATATTATAATGTAAAATGGTGTAAGAATAATGAATAAAAGGCCTTATATTACTTACCTACAATTTATTTGCTTAATGTGTTGCAAACGAATTGTGGAGAAGTAATATGAAGGGCTTTTACTCATTCCTCTTACACTGTTTTACATTATAATATTATTATAAATTCATTGCAAAATATGATTTAATTCATACAAAATCAATACTACAATAAAATAACATTTGAAGTTAGAATGTGAATCTAGAGCTTATGGGCCTTTAACAATATAAAAATTAAGAAATATTTTAATGAAGAGAAATTGAAATAGATGACTATGGTTTTACCTAAAGGTAGTGTATGATGCATTATGCTTTGCTGAAGAGGGTTGGTCATGGTTGGCTGTTGTATAGGTTGCTGAATGGTTTGTAGAACATATTTAGGGTCACCTCCATAAAGAAAAAAAGCACGTGTAGCCCATTCTGCCATCTGAAAAAAAAGTAGTAAACTCATTAGAATTTTTATTCTTTCATATATCGTTAATTCTCTGTATCCACTTAATATAACCTAACATCTAAGTAATTTTTATCAACAATTATGTACAACTTCTCAAGGTAGATAAATAATCTCTGAAACAAGGAGAATAGTGATAGTGACATTCTTGTAAGATAATGCTTAATGACTTAATGCTTAGATAAGTTAGTATCTTGGATAGAGCAGCTCTTAACAAACATAGCAATCTATACCATGTCACTGTAAGTTAAACTATAATATGTTCAAACTCAGACTGACAGAGAAACCACTGTGAAGATGTCATAATGAGGACGAATCAGCTTTTCACATAATCTGTTGGTGGAACAGGTTTGCCAGGCTTAGGCTCGACCCATTTAGTGAGGATTGATTATTAGATCCCAAAGGTTAAGAGGTTGTGACCAAAGTAGTTTTAACATAAAAAGCCTATTTAGCCTACACAAAAAGCCTATTGAGGACACATGACATTAAAAATAAATAAAAAAAACTCTTATAAAACTAAAAAACTTTTTAAATATAGTTGGCTTAATGACCTACCCATGACTAGTAGTCTAAATTATCAAATGATTAATATTAAGTTTATAAAAATGAGTTTATACTGACATGTTGATTGGTTTCGTCACAGGCAAGTATAAGAGCCATTGCACATGCCTGATCTGAACCATGCTGAGCAAAGAATTGTTTTACTTCTTCACAGTCTGGTCCACCTTTCTCTCGCATTAGCTCTCCAAATATGTCAACAGGTCTCAGCTTTTCATAAATATCAGTGCCCTAAAATAAAATAAATTAATAACTTTATTATAATTATAATTGTATAATGCTAAGTAACGAAGATAATGGTATTTATTGACTATTAAAAATGATTAAATTAATCATTTCTTATTCAAGCAAGTCATAAATTAACTAAGTGCATACCTGCTGACTTAAAATAATAAACCTATCCTGGGGATAATTTTGCTGGTAAACTAGAAAGTGTCCATGTAATCCTCGATCTGTCAAACTCATATTTTCCCGTGATTCAGCTGAAAAACAAAGAAAAAAAAACAGTAAGTCTATCTGAGAGAGCATCATTCGTATTAAAACTAGAACAAAAAAAAGTTTTCTGATCATTTTTCTTCTCTAAAATGAAAAAAAAAACAAATCTGTTATGGAAAGCATATAACATAAAATTACCAAAATTTTGATGGTTGGTATAAATACTAAATTTGAGAGATGACTCTTTTAAGTTTGAGGGAGTAAAAAGTTTTATATACCTTGGGTCTGAATAGCAAAAATGACATGGCTCAAGAAATACAGAGAAGGATCACGACTGTCAATAGATGTGTCTTTGGACTTGGCCGACACTTAAGAAGTAGGTATCACTCAAAGAAGACCAAGCTGATTCTATACAAGACCCTTGTAAGGCCTGTTTTGACATATGGCTTAGAGGCTTGGTCGATGACGAAAAGTGATGAGATGAAGATGAGTGTGTTCGAGCGAGGAGTCCTCAGAAGGATTTATGGTCCAGTAAAGGAGGGTGATGTCTGGAGGAAAAGAGAAAATAGGGAGCTCAGTTCTCTTTATACAGGCATTAACGTAGTAACATATATTAAACTTGCCAGATTAAGGTGGACAGGGCATGTGGCCAGAATGAAAATAAATTTGTTGATGAAAATAAGTTGAAATACCCAAGAAAATAATGATGGAGGAGCTGCACCTCGCAAGACATGTAGGAAGGCCAAGGACGAGATGGTTGGACAACGTGGGCTATGACGCGAGAACCCTGCTTGGCGTACGGAACTGGAGAGCTGCAACAGAAGACAGAGCCAACTGGCAGAGGCTTTTGGAGGAGGCCCAGTCTCGGTAACGGGATGTCATGCCACATAAGTATGTATAAATACTAAATAATAAGAGGCGGCTTGTTGATGATAACCTTCCATAAAAGGCTCCAATCACAGGAGCTGCATATCAGGGAGGTTGGATAAGATCGAGAGAATGATTAGGAACAAGTAATGTTTTTAGGTAAGTCTAGATTTTCAATAATTACTTCAGATGACCAGGTTAGTATGTGAAAATCATAAGGATGATCTTTTGCAAAGAATAATATCTGTGAAAGGTTCCTCTACAGAAGTGGGACAGCAATGATTTGGGGCAGGTCCACTTCAGAGGTCAAGACCAATCTACATCTGTTCCTGAGAGGACCCTTACTGCACAGTGTTACATAGTTACCACCCTGAAAGAATATGTGGTACCTTCCCCTTTACATTGGTATTGATTTTAATATGATGTACAATAACGCTCGTCACATATTGCAAATGTCCAGCACTACCTCTGTTATGTCCATATACAAACACCCTTCCAAGACAAGCTTGTTGCCCAGACCTCAATCCCATTAAAACCTGTGAGAAGAGTCAGGAGTGGTTAATTTCCAATTAAATCACTAGCATGCCCAGAAGAATTTAGGGAACAATAAAAACAAGGGGAGGTACCACACAATATTAACAAAATTAATATTATTTATTATTTTAAAAATTTAGAAAAATTCCAGAAGAATATTTTATTATTATTTACAAATTTTTAGTTTTTGTAAATACAATTATTTTGTGTAAACATATTTCTTTTTTCATTGGTTACCAGCTATTCCTTACTCATGGAATATAAAATTTATTAGGTATATACAATAAAATTATGTTCTTTGCACTAGAAAGGAAAAAACAAAATATTCAAGTGCATCGAATTTTCTTAGTTTAGTATAATACACTAACATTTAAAATTAAGTTAAATGAAAAATTATAATTGGCAAACAAAAAAGATAAATGGTTATGCTATTAAAAATCTTACCAATAGCAATTGAAGCATTTTGAGGATTTGTAAAGACAAATTCTGTTAAGGGCAACTTCAAAGCAGATAAACCATCCATAGTGAAGCACCATAACCGGTCAGGAGAATAGTCACCCATGGATGATACCATAATAAATGTACCTTACAGTAAAAGGAAATGATACATTATAACAGTATATATACAAAATCCATAAGTAATCTTAAGTTTTCACTAGCATATTTATAAACTAGTTTTACAATTAATACATTTTGTATTTTAAAGGATAATACAAGAAGATGGTCCAGGAATCAGTCAGAAAAATTATCAACTAACTGCAAGATATTTAGTAACTATTGGGTTGGCAAATAAGTCCTTCCGGTTTTTCTGTTTTTTTTTTTATGTCACTAAGATATACTTCTTATCTGATGAATTAATCTCTAAGGTGGATTGTTTATCCTATTTGTAATATGTCAACAACTATATCTGTTAACTCTTGTTGAACTAGCTTAGTATTGTGTTTGCTATTGCACTGTGAATATGAAAGAAAATATCATTTATTATCGGGCATATTTTTTTGTATTATTTTAAAAAAGATAAGCGTGCTGTAGAAGCTCATAGAAAAATTTGCAGTGTTTATGGGGATGATGCCTTAACCGAATGCACCTGTCAAAATTGGTTCGCCAAATTTCATTCAGGAAATTTTAACATCAATGATGCTCAACGGTCTGGTCGCCCACATGAAATTGAAACAAGCAATGTTAAGGCCATTGTTGATCAAAATCCTACCCAATCAGTGCGAGAGAGATTGCTATGGCCCTAAATGTGTCGCACACAAGCATAGAAAACCATTTTCACAAGCTCGGCTATGTTTCCAGGCTTAATGTTTGGGTCCCTCATTTGACTTTTTTTTTTAAATCACAAAAAATGTTATAACTTCAATTCGACTTTAGCTATCTAAAAGAAATTTATCAGGAATTTAGGGACACATAAATTACAAAACATGACCTTCGTAAACAAACTACAAATAGAGATAAAAAAATAACAGACTATAAAGAGTGTTTGTTTATTTATTCCTTAGGGAGGCATTAAATAAAAAAAAAACATTCATATGGCTTTGAAAAGCAATAATTCAGCTTTCTAAAGGATATAGTAACGTCGATTTTGGAGAATGTCCTGAAGAGTTATGAATGATTGGTACGGTGTTGTGTTCCACCAAGACAATGCTAAGCCACACACCTCATTGATCACTCGCAATAATTATAGAGCCTTGGATGGGACCATTTGCCCCACTCTCCCTATTCACCAGACCTAGCTCCAAGTGACTACCACTTATTACAGTTTCTACAGAATTCCATGAATGTAAAGAAATTCCAAAAGGAAGAGGATATGAAAAACCACTCGGATCAGTTTTTTAACAATAAACTCCAGACATTTTATAACCATGGCATTTAGTGAAAAGATGGGAAAAAGTCATATTAAATAATGGTCAATATATTGTAGATTAAAATAAATTTATTTCTATAACACATTAAGTTTTATTTCACCTTGAAAACCGAAAGGACTTATTTGCCAATCCAATATTTAATAAATAGTCAGCAGTTATTAGATGTTTTTTGTGACAGATTTCTAGACCATCTTCTTGATTTATCATCACTAAGTCAAGTTAAACATTTTATATTGAAGGATAATAGTTAACAAGGGCATCTACCTGATTTATGAATAGCCATAGCTACTCTGCCAATCCTCACATTTGATGTATTAGGAGCATGTCCAGGAGGCAGCCTGGCATGAAGAAGAGACAATGTAGATGGCCTAGGTGGGCTTCCTGTAGTAAAATATAACCGAATTCCATTTTCTGTAACACCCACAACTCCAAAATGTGGAGAATCATTTTCAGAAATGGGGCAAAGACTCACGACTCGACTAACATCTGGAGGAGTTATATTCCTGAAATAAAATGATTTCCTACCTTCCAAATTAATCTAGTAGTCACCATCATTATTTTTCATATTTTAGATTACAAACAGGAGTATAAGAATATAATACATAAATTAAATCATAAAATAAATCTGGTATAACTAAAATATCGACAACCACATTGTATAAGCCTGTAAGTGCAAAAACTTTCCCACTTTCCTTACTTTAATCTTGCAAAATATTAGCTTGACTATCAGTTTAATTTTGTAACCCAGTTACAATGCTTCATCAGTCATTTATTATATAGCGAAAACTTAGAATAGTTTTTGGAAATGGGGAAATCACCTTCATCTAAATTTTTAAAGGCAGAAAGACAAGTAATATACATTTAAAAATACAAGCCACTCAACTCGACAATTTGGACATCAAAAGTTTCTTGCATAGTAATCCTGTGCAAGAGGAGTTTAATCGCAAGTTGTGTACATACCCGTTGAAAATATGCAGAGTATATGCATTTAGTGTACCATTTAAATTTTTAATTATACTAATATGATGCTACATATCGACAGCCACACTGTGAAATCCTGTAAGTACAATTTAATTAGAATGTGTGGTTTTGAGCTTTCCCGGTTAATCTTGGCTTAGGATATATTCATGAAAACAAACTAAAAAGTTATATAAAGATCTTTCCCTTAAGCATGCATAAAAATCGAACAGAAAATGTACTTCTAGAATACATACATACACAATTTATTTCATCTTATAAATAATTTTATGTTTGCATTTACAGGCTTTTGCAGTGTGGCTGTTGACATAATATGCATTATACAATATTATCATTAAAAATGATAATAAAAATAAATAAAACAAAAAGTAAAAAATTAAAAGCAACAAAATTAGATTAGAAGAGAAATAATTTATTTTGGATAGACATAATATGTATGTTAGATATTGGATTTTCTATAAATATGTTTACTATTGATAATTATGTGTTAAGGACAAAAAGAGAAATGACAAAACTATACTAAAATGATAAGTCCAAACATTTATACAATCAGTTAGAATATTTATTATAAACTATTATGTCTTTCAAGCAGTTTTGATAAACAGCAAAAACTAAATTTAGCAATTACTATTTAAAAATACAATTCTTACGAAAGACCTTGTATTTAATAAATACAAATATGGCTGATACTTGATGAAATAGAAACAATAAAAAACCTTCTTCATAAAGAATTCACTAAATAACTAACTGATCCACTGGCTTAAAATTAACTGGACCATCTACTATCTCAATGACTTTTTATTTTTTCCCCTTCCTCGTCTTTCCCATCGTCTTTCTATTTTTCCCAGGCCAGGTGTGAGGGTGGGGGATTAATGCCCGAGTCAAATGCCCCCCTGCCACCAGGATTTAAACTAGTAAACTTCAGTTTATCACAAGTTGAACCGGGCAATGCATGTTTTGCACAGGCATTAGCCTGCTCAGCCACCCCTCTCTCTTAATGATTGTGGAGTAACAACTCAATACTGAATGCTAGTTTGTAACCATTATATAATCTGCCAAAAGTTAGAGGCAAGTCTCGGTCATTTTCTTGAACCTGATCGATCTAAAACCAATACCAACTCTCAAATTATCTATACGAATTTGTTTATTAACGAAATTTGAGAGTTTGGTTCTAATTAGACAGTGAATCAATTAGTGATACTTACTTACTTACTGACAGGCTTAAAAGTCTGAGGTGGACCATGGCTTCCTTCACAATCATTTTCCAAACCTCTCTATCCTTCATTCTTCCCCTCCAATTTACCACTCCCATTCCCTTTAAATCCTCTTCCACGTCACTTCTCCAACATTTCCTTGGTTATTCTCTTTTCCGGGAAATTCCTCTCTAAGAATCTTTTTCGCTGCAATGTCATCAGGCAATCTTTCCGCATGTCCTAGCCAGCTAATTCTTCTAGACTTAATAAAGTGTACAATATCCTCGTGCTTCAACAGTTTATCCAGATCTTGATTTGTCCTGGTCCTTCATTCTCCTTGTATGCATAAAGATCCAAAAGTTCTTCTCATAATTTTTCTTTCGAAAATCCTTAGTGCCTTCGGGTCATCTATAGCTCACAAATGGTCGGAACAAGGATTTGTACACTTTCAGTTTGTGACTCTGATAGGAGTGTCTATTTAAAAAGCTTTAGCATACCAAAGTTGCCTATTGCCTGCCATGATTCTTCCTCTTATTTCCGGACTAATCAAGTTTTCATTATTGACTTGCACCCCATGATATGTGAAACTCTCCACTGTTTCAAAAATTTATTCCTGGAAAACAAAACTTTCTGGCTTCCTTCTTGAATCCGAAGTAGAAACTACCATATATATTTTTTTTTGTGTTGTTAGCTATCAGTCCAACCTTCTTACATTTTACTAATACATTCTACCAATGTCAATAGAACCAAAACTATTGCCACTTTTCTTCTATCTAGAATTGCAATGTCGTCAGCATATCCCAATATTTGTCTTGTTCGGCATGCTAAATTACCACCTGGCGTGATCCCATTAACTACGTTGTGTAGCTCCAAGTTAAATAGAATTGCTGAGACTGCATCTCCATGCCTTATTCCAGAGTTAAATTGGAAGATTTCACTAACCTGATTGCCAATTAGTACTTTAGCTTGTGTGTTCAGCATAGTCATTTCAATTAGGTGGATTAGTTTAAAGGGGATGTTATATTCATGCAATGCAATAAAAAAAAAAGTTTCTTTTCGGTCAAAGGCTTATTTAAAATCTATAAACAGTATGTGTATATCAATATTATCCTCATAAGACTTTTCGAGCACTTGTAACATACACATCTGATTGGTAGTACCTCTGTTAGGTCGAAAACCACAATGGTAACCTGTTATGATTCTTTCTGAATAAATTTGTAGTCTTTGCACCAGAAAGTTGAATAAAATTTTATATGGGACATTTAGAAGGGTTATTCCGCGATTGTTTCCGCATACCATTTTATCACATTTTTTGAATATTGGGAAAATTAAACCTGAGCACCATTCCTTAGGTATATCCTCATCAAGCCATACCCTCAGCATCAGATTATATAATCTCTATAAAAAAAAATTCTTCACTACACTTAATAATTTCTGCCAATATACTGCCCTCTCCAGGAGCTCTGTTATTTCTTAATCCTTCTAATGCATCCTCAAAGGAAGGCGGTTCAATATCAGTGATAGTGATACTAATGTTAGTAAATTCTTTATGACGAAGGCTATTATCAATGTTAAGGTAATTTTTTTAATAGCACGTATTAAATACAAGGTCTCCAAGGAATTGATTGTATTTTAAAATAATAAATTTAATTGTAAATAAAAACAATAATTAATGAATTGTTAAATTCATTAAGTTGTATTAATCTAAACTGCCTTTTAGCACAGCTAAGATTATTAACAACAAAGTAGACCTAGGCCTAGGCCATAAGAAGGTGTATCAAACCTAATATAATTGGCTACCATTTTGAGAGAAAGTGGCAGATGGTAATATCAAGTTCCACAGGTATTCCATAATGTGAATTGACTTTGGCATGTCAAAGTAAAAAAAAAAAAAAAAAAAAAAAAAAAAAAAAAAAAAAAAAAAAAAAAAAATGCCAGAAAAGCTAAGGATGTTGAACATTTTTTAAATTTGATTTTTGTATTGACTCAAATTTTATGTGGAGATGTTAAAACAATGATAAATTTTCAGACTTACAAAATTTACTGAGGATTCCTGACTTTTCCTAACCATAGAAGCATCATCAACATATAACATATACAAACAAAATCTGCAACATATTTCTGAACAGTATTACCAACTAAAATATATATGTATATGTATGTAAAGATAAGAAATTGAACATTATTTTAATAAGAGAATCTTTGTTATCTGTAAAAATGCAGACCAGAAGAGTTAGTATCAATTTTGTATTTGATCCACAATTATACTTAATCCATTCAGTGGAAAAATTGCAGCAACAGCTACATAAGAAACACAAGCATGGCACAACTGCTGTGTCAATGGCATGGAATGAATTAATATATTAGCTCAAATGTAATATGCTTATACAATAAAGATGTATGATATATAAGTATCATTATCATAATCAATAATAATCCAAAACTCACCTAATAAGATCAACAGTACTTCGGTTGATAAAAGAATGATGAAGTGATGCAACTCTACACGTTGTATCTCCATTTCTACCAAGATCGAAAACTTCAATAGATCCTCTTATTGATAGTGTATAAAGAATATTTCGGGATTCATCGACCGTTATTTCTGTTATTTGATCTTCTTCAGAAAAAGCTCCTGACACAAATGTTGGAACAAGATACGACAGAATAGCCTTGGTATGATTCACTTTCCAAGCTCTCTTACCACCCCAGCTCATTTCTTTCTATACTCAAAGGTAAAATTACTTAAATAAGATTTTACTAACACATATTAAAATTTTAATTTTAATTTGTTTTACTCACTCTGTAAACTAATTCATAAAGATTTCCATCTTTTCCTCCAAGAAATATTCGTCCATTCTTTGTTCCTTTAATAACCCTTATAGGAACACCATCAGTAGATAAAGTGTAAATGGTATCTGGTGTGAGTTGCAATTCATCACCAACTTTTCCTGAGGCAATAAAACATTCTCAATAATAGAATGCATAACCAGTCACTAAGAACTAATTTACATAAACTGAAAGACAAAGTAGGCAATAGGTTCATCTGTCAGTTATTTATTATGATCAAAATTGTTAATCGTTGAAACTGAGTTGTAAGAGATTTTATTTAATATATCATTGGTTTATTGCAAAACATCACGAAGTAGAATTACTAAGATAAATTTTCCCTTGGTGAGATCAGAAAATTGTGCACTTGTTGTAACTATATTTGATACATAAAAGGGTTTGTGTTATGTTAGTGTTGGTATTATGTTAGTGTTGGTATTTTTATTGATGAATAAGGTTAAAATTCCCAAAATCATTCTTAGAGGTTCAGCTATATCAAAATGTACTTACAAGAGGTGTTTAAAGTCAGTGGGTTACTGACTTTCAACCTAACTTTGTGATACTACATCAAAAATCTTTGATATATGTCCTCACATCCGTTTCAGTGAGCCTTAGGATCCGAGAAAAAAATATTTTATACAAATTCAAACAAAATTTATGTTGTTTATTTTTTGCTTTCCTTTTCCTGATTTTTATATGTCATTCAATTTCTTATTTTTTTGCAAGATAAGAAAAAAATGTTGACCATGGTATTAAATGAGTTATAATGTACCAAAAATGACAAAAACCATATATGTTCAATATTCTTCAATGTACTCGAAAAAAAAAAAAAAATCTGGTGCGCGCATCATACGACTTTCACTTACGACCATCTTCTTAGCAGAAATAAGATTTTCAGACGAAGGGGAAGTGAAAGTAAAAATTATAATAGACGCTACATTTATTTATATTTCGTTGCGGTATTTTTATTTGTTTAAATACCCTAATATATACAAATTTTAATTTTTATATCGCTCTATTCTATACAACTAAATATTAAATAATACCAACGATAGCATATATGAAAACCGCATATGTATATGTACATAATACTGCCGGAGTCAGTATTACATTAAGCTCATGTTATGTATGGAAGTCTGTTCTAATCTTTCAGGTGAGTTTGAGTGGACTCGTATCACTTTGGTTCCTCCTTTACAACTATTAACCGTACGATTTTTTACTTCTCCTTTAGTTAATTATCAAATTCTTTCATATTTTATATTTAACTATTTTTTATATCAGAGATTAACGTTAAATAGTTAATTATTTGTCATAAAATAAATTAAAGGCACTTCAGAGGAAGCTAATATTTAAATTAGCCATTTAAGCCCTGTTAAGAACATTAATGAGAGTAAAACATACATTATATTAAAAACTGCTTAATAATATATTCATATACTGAGTTAAGTTTAATTAAAATCGTTAGATGTGATAAATAGAAAAACGTGTTAAATCGATTATATAAAGTACCACTGATTATGGATTGTTTAAATATAATATCAGATCTAGAGTTATTAAACTACAGTAAATATATTTAAGTTTAAAAACGTATCCAAGAAATATTTTTATATTTCACTTCTTCTTTCTTCACACAAGTAAAATTAAATAGTATTTTAAACAATGGCATTGCCTTGATTTGGTAGATTTATATACTTTTTATAACTTGAACAAATTTTTAAAAGTTTGCATTTAGCAACAAAATTTCATTTAATTTCTGTAGAAAGATGTTATTTACATTAAATAATGTTACTTTTCCAACAGTGGACATCGGGAAAACTGGATTCTTGATAAGGAAAAATATAAGACATAAGCAATAATGGACTATGCACTGGTAAATGAAAGAATCTGCATTCTCAGAATCAGGGAAAAGTTCTTCAATATAAGCCTGGTTAGCGTTCATGTACCAACATAGGATAAAGATGAGGAACAAATCTATCTATCTTCTACAACTTTATTTATTAGGTATTAATTATCAAAAATTCTCCGCTTTCCAAAGATATATTATACGTATATCTTCTGACTATTATTTCATTGATTCATTTTCGACTTGGATAAGCATTTTTCTTGTTTTCTCCTTTGTTCAAATATCAAATTCTTTTAAAAGTTATGTTAAGTATTTTTTCAAAACCCCTACCAATGAGAGATAATTATTATTTAAAATAAACAAATTAAAGGTACATTAGAGGAAAAAATTTTGAAAACTGGACATTTAAGCCCTATTGAGATACATCAATAGGGATAAGACCTGTATAGTATTAAAGATTACTTAATTATGCATCAATACACCGAGTTTAATCAAAATCATTAGAGCTGTTTTCGAGGAAATCGTAAAATCGATGATATATAGTGGCTCTTCCAGTTAGCCGATTTTAACAAAAAAGTTGCTGACACATCTGAGCCATATAAACTTAAATACTCGCACGACTTTTCATTTTTGAGCTAGGCTGTACAAACACACACGCACGTACACACACACACACAGGACCATTTTGCAGGACTTATTTTAACTCAGGGGACCTCTAAACAAGTTGAAGTTCTGTTGAAAACCCAGATTTGAAAATGTTTACAATCGCAATATTTTCCTTTACTATATATTACATATAGAGGTAAGTGAAAATAAAAAATTGGTGCACCACTGACTGTAAACTACCCTTGTTAGTGATTTTTTCAATAAACTGACAATATATTTTGGCAACAGCTAACAAGTCTAGGCTTTCTTATTTTCATTTCTTTCTTTACATTGATTCCTTAGATATTTATTCACTTATTCCATCTAACGATTTTTGTAGTATTAATTTAAGAAGCTATAATTTTAATCATTTTCTTCATTTAGACACATTATTGTTTTATTTTGATTCCATACTATAAAATTAAACAGATTTCCAAATGAGAATTTGATGCAGTGAATTCATCTAGAGAAATATTTTTAACATTCAATAAAATCAACTAATAAGAGTGAAAATATTAATAAGGAATCTAATCTATCTCTATTTTTCGAATCTAGGTGTAGAACTGATGATGGACTAATAATAATTTATTTAATAAGCTATTAATGAGATGAGTAACAATTGTTAACTTTATTTATTGAGCTAAACTTTTGTAATTCAGGACATTGAAATTGTCAAACAAATATTATTTTTAGTTAATAATTATATCGTCGGTTTTTTGCAAAAAGTCATTAAGAGACATTTCATAACCTTAACTAATTGAGAGCTTTGTACAATTTCTCCTTTATGAAATCGGAAAATTGTGCTCTTTCATAACTATATTTGATGTATTAAAAGGGTTTGTTTCATTTTCGTGACCTTACAGTGCTTATGTATCCGTAAATGAAGACAAAATGAAACATTTTTGAAAGTTAACCTATATCAAAAATGTACTTAATGACTTTTTGCAACAAACTGCGATATAATAGTAGATAACTGATAACAAATAAAATAAAATGGCTTAAATTTAGAAGAAATTAGAGTACTAAATGAATAGAATGCTTACGATCACTTGAAGATGCCAAAATAACTCCAAGAACAGTTATTTCTACAGGTGTAGTAAGAATAAGAAGATGACTAATAAAACTTTGAAAAACTCCAGGTCTAGGAGCTAAAAGGCCAACACTCACTATAGGGTCACTTAAACCATCAAAGTATGCCACATCCCCTCTGTAACAAAGTATAATTTTCTGTTCTTGTTTAACAATTTATATGTGATAGAAGTTCCAATACCTTTAAATTCACTTTCACCTACCACACCACCCTACTTAGATAGAAATAGGTATTTTCATACATAGGAAAGTGATAGTAAAAGTTATCGAGGGTATAGCATATTCATTTAAAACAATTAATATATCTCCATCACTTTCAATTTCTTGTACAAATGAATTTATTATTTAATAATATTAAAAAGGAAAATGCTATACAGTTAGTATTACAGCAGATTTCCTCATAATTACTTTTACGGTCTTCATTTGACTGGACCCAATTGAACTTATGAGCAGATCCGGTACAAAATATATATATATATATATATAAATATTCGGTGCCCTCGGACTCTATAGAGAGGAAAGTGTAAGGAATGGAAATGGAGAACGCCTAATTGACTTCTGCAAAGACAATGATATGCTGGTGGGAAATTCCTTCTTTCCCCACAAAACAATACACAAAATAACTTTCTTGAGCCTGGAAAGAAACAGCATTATAGACTATTTCGTAGTGGCATAAGATACTATTTTACCGATATAAAAGTTATAAGAGGCACTGAAATTGGCAGCGATCATCTGCTGCTAATAGGCAATACCAAAATTTCACAGAAACTGCCAATGAAACAAAATAGCTACCAGGTAGTGAACATAAGAGCTCTAGAACCATCCAGAAAAGAGAACATCCTACACTGAAAAACTGGAAGGAAAATTAAGAACCGTGAACAGAGAGGGGGATGTACAACAGTGGTGCTGCTTAAAATCCTGTATCTAGGAAACTGCAAGGGAAGTTTGCGGCTTGCCCAAAATATCTAATTAAGAAAAGCGTACAGAATGGTAGAATGAGGAAGTAGGACGTTTTGTTCAATCAAAGAAGAAAGTGTGGAAAACTTATCTTCAAGATAAAACAACCGGAAACTAGACGAATACCACCAAGCCAGAAATCAATGCAAAATAGCAGTCAGGCATGCAAAAAGAGAGACATGGAAAATATTTGGAAAAAGTCTAGATGAAGACCACCGGGAAGCATTAAGAAGTTCTGGCATAAAGTAAAGATATTAAAAGGAAAAATAAGTAAGCCAGTGAGAAATGCCAAAGAATCTAGTGGCAGCATGGTCACTGAAGAAGTGAACATTCTCTAACGGTGGAAGGAGTTTTATAAGGACACTTCTCAGGAGGAGGAACCACTGACCCAGAAGAACACTTAGTAGAAAATAATATCCTGAAAAGTCTAGAAGTCATTGAGGAAGACGATATAGAATATGACATCCAAAAAATTAAAATTGGTAAAGTGGCGGGAAAAGATGGCATAGCCCCTGAATTAATAAAATTTGGAGACAAATTAATTAAATTTCTTCAACAATTCCTCAAAAAAAAATTGGGATACAAAGATAATCTCAAGGGATTGGGAGTTCAGTTTAATTGTCCCTCTTCACAAAAAGGGCAGCTTCACAGATTGTGAAAACTAGAGGCCTATAAGCTTACTTTCAGTGACTTACATATTCTTAGAAAACACTTTTCTATCTTAGAAAGGAAATTAAGACTCGTTGTTGAGAACCAAATAGAGAACGAACAAGCAGGCTTTCGTCTGGGGAGGCAGACTCAAGATCACATTTTTGTGCTAAGAGGCATCGCAGGATATATATGTTATCCTGTATATAGGATATATATATATGTTCTTGAGTCCATGGGACAGAAACAAGAACATATATATACATTTCTGGACCTCAAAGCAGCATTTGACTCTGCTCCAAAACAAGAAATATGGGATGCTTTGGCAGCAAAAAATGTTCCAGCTGATCTAATCACGGCAATTAGATCAACATATAAGGCAGCAAAAGGAATTGTAAGGATTGATAGTAGAGAGTCCAAGCATTTTCTCATGGAGAGAGGAGACAGGCAGGAAGACAGCCAAAGTCCCCTCTTATTCATTATGTTTATGGATGAAATCCATAAAATTTGTAAGCGTCGTACTGCTTGGACGGTCATCGAAAATGGAACATGCGGAATACTATGGTCCAAAGCCTACTATATGCCGATGGCATCGTTCTGATTGTAGACACGAAAGCCTAGCTGCAGCAGGCCCTTATAGAATGGCAGGAGAACTCCTCCACAAAGATATGGTTATCCAAAAGAAAGATCCTAGTCATATCAAGAGATGAACTAGAGGACGTCCAGCTGATCTGTAATGGGGAGGTACTTGAAGCTGTACAAGAATTCACCTATTTGGGGACAATTATCAGCAACATAGAGATGATTGACCCAGAAGTAGCGAATAGGATATCCAAAGCCAAACAGGTCTATTACTCTATCTGTAACTGCATAGTTGGGAACAGGGAAGTTGGCAAGAAAACAAAAAGGCACATATACAAGTTGGTATACCTCCTATCCTCACTTATGGAAGAGAAAGCTGGATTATGCGGGAGAAGCAAGTTAGTCGTGTGACAGCAACCTAGACTAAGTTCCTGTGGAGAGCTGCTAGAAAGACCAGGAGGGACCGCATCTGAAATGAAAGCATAAGAGTGGATCTGGAGGTGGCAGAGCTAAGGAAATTACTGGAAAACCGACAGTTGAAGTGGTTTGGTCACGTTTGTCGGATGGAGGAGAGAGATTCACGAAAGTTTCTGGAAGCTCGATCCACTGGGAGGAGGGCGAGTGGACGTCCCAGAATTTCCTATAAGGAGTATTTGCAGTGAATTGGAGAAGAGAGGCAAAAATCTCCAGAAAATGAGGCGGCTTAATAGTGACCGAGAGTCATGGCTGCATTGGATAGAGACTTCTCGATGCTAGTATTGGCACGAAGAGGAAGGCAAAGAAGAAGTATTATGTAGGTTTATAATAGTAGATCATCAACATACCATACACAATATTTTTTTTTTGAAAATTATGGATAAGTGAAATATAACAGTTAAACAAACAATATAAAAGCCATTAGAGAGAGGAAAAGGGTATCTGCGAATGGAGGGGAATCAGCAAAGGACGGGCCTTTTAACTGTTTCCGTAGTTTTAGTTCCTAATTCTTATATCTCCTTTAGTTAATACATTTTTTTCATTGATTATATTTAACCATTTTTTTATACTAATAATATAATATTTTTTAAATAAACAAAATTAAAGGTATTTAAAAGGATGAAAATTTGGCATTTAAGCCAGTGTGTAATCTGGGGCTATTTCAATGAAAATAATACTTCCCTAATACTAGACATTAATAGATTTTACTTTGAAATAACAAATTTAATCAAACTCAGAAAAGTTTTTGAGAAAATCTTGTAGCCTATACACATAAATATACACTATTATGTGAACTTGATTATTTTTTTTATAACTCAGGAAGCCCCAAAATGAATTGGGGGACCTCAAATATTGAGAACTCGGAATTGCAATGCTTTTCCTTACTTCATAATTTATATATAGGTAAGTAAAAATAAAAAAATGTCAATCATCAAAATAATAATTTTAAAGTTTTTAAAGATTTTATCTGTTTGCTATTTATATTAAAGTCACCAAACAAACTTTATAGAAGTTTTTTTTTTTACTGCCCTTCGCTGCTTTTTATGTTATACGGGATATTCCCAGGCCAGAGATTAATGACAGAGTTATAAGTCCCTTCCCTAGGCACCGGGACGCGAACTGTACTTATTGTATCTTCTATAACTTTGGTTATGAGGTTGCAGGGCAACGCACGTTACTGTGCACACATGTTAGCCTGCTCCGCCACCCTGCCACCTCAAAAAAATGTCATTGAAGCATCAATATTACCCTGTTTCGAAGTTCCATAAATATATATCACTTTCAACTGCCATCCAGGCTCTATTAATATCTGGAAACATTCCCATGGTAGTTGTATCTCCTGATGAACCAGCTGCAAGAGCTAATAGCAGGTTAAGGAATTTGTTTTCATTAACTCATACTTATAACATTTCTCTATAAGTAAACACAATTACAATTTTGATAAGTACTTAAATTAAATTACATTAAAAACTTAAATTTCCAAGATTAATAGATGACAAATAAATGAGAAGGATTTTAAATACCATAAGAACTTATTTCATCTTAAATCAGACAATATAACAAGCAGGAAAGCACTAAACTGAGGAGTGATGTAACCATCAGCAGGTAAATTTAAACAAATAAATGAAGTGGATGATTTTATTAATTCCTGAGAACTATTAATTAATTAATGATTAATTTCAGAAACTATCAAGTCTGATTTGAAAAAAAATGTTTCCACATGGTGGGCTGTGGAGAACTGACCTTCACGCTTTATAAGATCATAAAATAACCCATAGAAACATATCATTAACTGATTTGGAAAAAAATCTCAGCTTCCAATTAATAAGGTATCACAAGCGGGCACTTCAAATCGCAGGTACTGCTGATAAATTTGAAGAATAATTAAATAAATTCATAAGATCAAACTATGTAGAATAGCATGTAAATGTCTTTCAGGACATGACTAAAAGTGTCTTTTAAGCTGAATTAATTTAAGATGTATTCTTTTTTTTTTTGTGATTAGTTCTTTTGATTTTCCATATTAATTTTGAACATTAAATATCTATCACATAAGAGTTATATATAATTCAAAATTAAAAGGGTAAAGACCTGTGCACAGCTAATTTGTTATAAAATGAGCAAATTCATTAACTCAACACTTAATATAATATTTTAGTCTGCAAACTACCAATTAAATATCACATCATAAAACTGTATCAAATCACTCATTATTAAATTAAAAGAGGTTTTACAAAGCGATCAATTTTTCAATAAGTAATTTAAGTAGAGCTTAAGGATACTGGTAAACTGGTCAGATATTTCTTGAGGAAGTGGTATCTTATTAATCAATCGGAACTGAGATATTTGAGATAAGTAACTGGAGTCCACATTATTAATATAATCAGTATCCTTTGTTCCGCTTGATGTTGTTCCACCTAGAAATAAGTTATTAATGAAGGAACAGAAACCACCAATGTATAGTATATTTCAGAGTATACATGAATCACTTACTTTCACAAGTGATTTGAAGTCTGTCCAGCAGTTGAGGTAAATTATTATCTTCTACAGTAAATTTTTCTAGCATACGGTCGGCTAAATCTAAAAGATTCCCAGAGGGTTGATAACAATCCAGTGGTGGAACTCTTTCATAATTACTCAAACTCAAATTCATAATTGTTATATTCAAAGGAAAAATTTGCTGAAATAAAACTATTGCAGATGCAGTTGAGAAGACTAGTTACAATTTATTATAGGATGAGTTTTTCATTCAGCGGCAAGAAAATTGTAGTCATTGACTCATCCTTCATGAGAAACTCAAAATATTTCTAGTAAACAATTGGAGCTAAGGTTATACCGGGTTACTATCATTGTTTCGCGCCATTTATTATTATGAGTATGCAATTATTTTTGAATTCCTTTGCATTTTACAGTTATAATTATTTCATAAATGAAAAAGGATCGCTACCATGTAAGAAATGTTGTAACGATCCTCGAAACATTAAGGAATAGATTTCTTTATTTTTAATATAATTGTGTTCCTGGTTCAGCTCATTTTCCAGCAGCGAGGTTTTCGTGAGAGTTGGATTTTTTTAAATATTTACCATATTATTTTATTAAGCTTATGTTTTCTAGAAGTATTTTATTATTAAATACATCACACCCATTTCCATACTTATTGACTGATCCCCAAACTCTTGATTAATTTTTCTTACAAGTTCATTTTTGTTTTTAGACCGTCACTCTTCTAGTTAAAGCTTTCCATCACATAGACTTCTAAAAACAAAAATGAACTTGTAAGAAAAATTAATCAAGAGTTTGGGGATCACTCAATAGGTATGGAAATGGGTGCGATGTATTTAATAATAAAATACTTCTAGAAAACATAAGCTTAATAAAATAATATGGTACAGAGAATACTTTGTTTGATTGCTGCTAAAATTCACATCGTCGTAATTATTGTGATTTGTAGTTAATAATCTGATTATCAGGTTGGAGAGAAAATTATAATTATTTCAATATTTTAACAATTATTATCAACTACTATAATTAAGAAAAAAAAATTTTCGTGAAAATGTTGGCTAATTAACTATCATCAATCGGAAATCGATCGGCTCCATTTTTTCATTGGTTAAAGAATCAGGATCTTTTTCGGAACTTTGTTTAGAAGTAAGCATAAGAAATAGGAAAATAGGGATGTTGTAAATAACTATATAGAGCAAAAGGGAGCTCGGAGAAAGATATTCAATATGTAGAATGGCAGAAAAAGAAATTTTAAATGGGTTTTGACCGTTAAAATCCATTTTAACTTGTTTGGACGAACTTAACGATCCTTACGACGATCAGCGGCGGCTGAGTTCTTTTAACTCTCATTTTTATACCAGGAACTGTATCGATGGAACATATTAGGATCAACGTTGTTTCATCAGCTTTATGTAAGATACTTCTTATTTTTAAGGAATTTAACAACTACGATTATTCAATCTAATTAACCCTCACTTGTAGAACTATTAAAAATTTATTTTCGGTAAGCATCTTTTTATGCCAGAAAATTTGTTAATTCTCATCAGTTGAAACTGATGAGAATTAACATTCTATAAATTAAGTTAATTCTAGAATTAACATTACTATAAATTACTAAAGCAGTGCGTTTGAAAAATATTACGAGGTTAATTTATGCTGGAAGAATAACGATAAAAGAATTGGTTATTTTTTGTGAAAGTGTAAAGGAAACACAGAAAAATGGTTTGTATTATGCCGATTTCTGCCTTAGTTATGCCACTGTCAAGAGCTCGGGCCTGCTTCTGCTTGATACTCAGGATTTTTAGGGCATTTAGTTCACTAGTATTATTCTTTTAACTCCTCAATTGGAATGAGAAATACCTCTCCCCTACCTTCCACAATTCAAATAATCTCTTTGAAATAGTTCTTTCTTTTTTTTTATTTCTGTTGTCACCCTTAGATTTACATTACAGCGCAGGTAGCCCTGGAGCCAGAGGTCAAAAATCGACCTGTTCGTTGGCGAAAGTTTGAATATATATTACAAAAGTGTATGTTATTCTAAGTAAAATAAACCTTGTCTGCCATTTCTGAGCTGCTGCTTTCAAAAAGGATTGAAACGAGAAATTCATCCCTAAAAATATGGGAAAAGTGTTTATTTTTTAACTTATATATATGGGTTTAGACAAGTAAAAACCATGTTATTTAATCTGAACAAAATCGGTATTCTCCGGATGGTTAGAAATTGGTAATGGAGATAAGTGTGATTTTCAATATTTCAGCATTATGGGTGTCTATTCTAATGTTATTCTTGCTTAGAGTCTATTACATGCAGTATAAGCCTCTTTTCCACCTCTCAGCAGCAAAGGATTTTGAAAAACGATGTGTCGAAAGATTCAGAATTTCATGAAGAAATAATGAATCCCAATTCGAGATATAAAAATGTTAGTACTCAGGGGACGCAAAATACGATGCTCTACAACTTTGATTCTATGCGCTTTTCTTCTTAGAGAACTCATTTCCAACATACAGGACCATTTACAGTAATTTTTCTCAGTCTTTGACAAAGTCGGTAAAAATCAGCGTTGGTTGACCATGGTTATCTGCACCACTTAATCACAGGCGGATCTACGGGGGAAGAAGGGAGAGGAGCTTTCCTGCTGAAGCCCTCCCTCCCAAAATGGTAAAATGTAAAAATGTTTTATGAAAAAAAATATCTCTGAAAGTATTATTATTCGTGTAATTTAATAGGACTTCAAGTATCACTTAAACACCATTTGATACAGGTAGTTAGTTTCTTTTTCAAGTCATTGTCGTTATATATATATATATATATATATATATATATATATATATATTTATATATATATATATATATATATATATATATATATGAAAAAAAAAACCTGTCAAACTGAAGCCCCCCAAAATTAAATCCTGGATCTGCTAGTGCACTTAATCAAATGTCCTCGAGCCTTTCTAGCAAGCTTCTGCCCATAGCGTACCTTAACCAAAAAGTGATCAGAGTCGACATCTGCGCCTCGATAACTTTTCACATCCGAAATGTCTAAGTTATGCCTAACATCTATGAGAACGTGGTCAATTTGATTTCTTATCTTCCCATCAGGGGATATTCAAATTTTCTTATGAATATTTTTGTGTGAAAAATGTATACTTCTAATTGTCATACCCTTTTCCACGATGAAATCGATAATTCTCAGCCTATTGTCGTTTGACACATCTTGTTTACTGTGGTCCAATTGTGGGCCTAAATGTTATTTCTTTACGGACCTTGGTACAGATCTCTCATAATTATATTTACATCATGTCCAGGCAGGAAATCATATTCTCTGAAGAGAGTATCATAAAAATTATCTTTATCGCCATCCTCTGTTGATGCATGTACACTTATTATATGTTTTAAAGAACATCCCTTTTAAACGGATCACAGTCTTTCATTGACAATTTTAAAGTTCTAAAGTAAATACTTCAGACTTTTCCGTATCATGAAACCTATACCTAGGTAGTTTTGTTGGTGTCCACTATTTATGATCGTGTACTTCTTAAGGTCCATTATCTCTGTTTTCTCCACTTTATTTCTTGAAGCGCGGCAGCGTCCACATTGTGCTACTGCAGTACTTTCTCCAAATTCTTGATTGTTTCATCTAGGGCCATTCCTCTAACATTCCACGTCGCCAACATTAAAGATTTCGAAATGCTTTTGACTCGCCTAGGTCGCTCCATTAAATCCGTCCGGCTTTTCTTTGTATGTGGTTTCATAGAAATTATATTTTTTCGGGATAGGGGCGTTAACCCTATGCCGGTCCTCCAACCTGAAGGGCAGAGATTTTTTATCAGGGTTTACTCCCTTAGTCTCACAACTTTCGCTCTCTCCCATAAGGGGTATTCAAGGAAGAAAAGGATTAGGATGAGAGGGACAATTGAAAAGGAGGTTAAGATGGGATAAGATAAGAGATCAATGGCCAGTTGTCCCTTTAGTCGCCTTTTACGACAAGCGGTGAATACTATGGGTCTACTCTATCCCCAAACCCACAGGGGAAGAAATGATGAAGAAGGAACTTATGTAGTTTTATTTTTTGAAGGGTCTTTGATTCAGTACTATTTAGGGAAAGTACTGTTTTAAGGCCAACAGTAGGAAGGAGATCAGATCAGGATCAAGCTCAACCACCAGGGTTTTCCCCTTAATTAATTATTTTAATTAAGGGTACCTACTTTGTAGAGGCTGGGTGTGCCCCAGGAAGGTCTCCTCACCCCAAGGTCAATGAAACAGAATAAATAATTTTTCTGCCATGAGCCAATATTTATTTGTAAATTATTTAGATGTATTTACACAGTGTTAAGCATTTACATACTTAAACATTTTATATGAAATGAAAAAATAATTTTATTCTGGAACTAAAGTCCTCTAAGAATAATAATAACATGGCCAGATTCAGCTCATTTTTTTCTTAGTAGAAACTCAAATCTTATTGATAAGCAGAATTTAATTTATTTTCTTTCTTTTTTTCTTAGAGTTGTATATTTATACTGTTTTACCATATAGCATGTTCAATTAATGTTTTATATACTAGTAGGCCCAAGCGAAAAATTCGCACAGCATATGTTATCAAATGCCAAATTAATGAGAAAATAAAATAATTCAAATTATCAAAAGATAAAGAAATCAAATGTTATTTTATCGATAAATATAATCGACGAAGAAAAGAAAAATTAATTTAAATCTTCATTTTTGTTTGGAACCAATGTTTACAAATTACAGTAAGCTTTATCTTTGCTAAAAATTGTTCGATTTCGTTGATTTCTTTTTCCTTTAGTAGGGAATTTAGTAATCTTTTATATAATCATGGGCATAACCAAGGGAAAAGTGTGTAATTTTTTAGTTATTCGCAAATAACTTTTTTTTTTCATAACTTGTTATTTTATGGCAATTAACTTCTAACTATTTATCGATCAGTAAATTGTTTCTCCAGTCATACAAATCTTATAATTGCACATAGTCACTGTCCTCAAAACCTCTTGCAATGCAATGAGGCAATTAAACTTTATCAGCAATTCTAATGTTGATCATATCCGAGAAACATTAATATTGTCAGTTTTTATTTTCTCATTGAGGGAATCAATGTTTGACAAACCTGAATAATTTGATATTTGAGAAGATATATAACTGTCCACCATCATGACAGTAGTTATGTTAATGGATTTCACTAATTTTTTTTTTTCTGAAAGTGCTTGTAATTACATTGGTACAATTTTATTCCTTTCTATGGCCATTTCCCTAGTACTCAAAAGAAATTTAATAAGAATAACATTAACAAAAAATACTCCAAAAACATTAAAAAATAATTTTATTCGGAAGCCGCAGTACACTTCATAACAAATCATATGAAAAATAATGATATATTAAAAAAACAAGAAACAATAGTAATAGTAATAAAAATATAAAACGATAAATGATAATATTAATATTACAGAGACATGTGACTAGATATTAGCAATGACACCAAATAAAATATCAGCTTTTTAGTTTCAGAAAGCTAAATTTGTTATAACAATCCAAATAGAATTTTTAAAAATATGGTACATATATGGGTTAGTTACATTTATTTTCTACTTTTTGAAATATCAGCTTTAGTGGATTAAAAATCATGATTTATCTGCTCTATCATGGTAATAAAAGACAATACAGCTAACTTAGGTTTGAGGCTTTTATTTTTAAGGAAGTTGTAAAAACTTGTTATCATGATTAAGTTATTTTTTAAAAGTTTAGTGAGCTCAATATACAACTATTCCTTGATTATTTATGTATAAATAACACTAAAAGAAGTAAAACATATTATGATTAATTTCATAGAACAAAATTGTCATTTTTTTTAAAAACGTATAATTTTTTTTGCCTTTCCTTATTTTGTCCTCATAATAATATAGAATACGATAATAATGTTCAATACAAACATTTTTTTTTTTCTTTTCAAAAATTATTTATAATTTGTTTTGAGAAAAAATGGATCTTTTTTAAAATATAAATTATCATTTTAAAAATTGCAATGACTAAATATAATACGAGAAGGATTTGGTCAGGAGTGTGGTCAAATATATACTATATATTAAAATAGTGTTTTATTGGTTATGCCTATTTTAATACTAGTATAATCATTATGGTATAATAACACTATTTTATACTATTTATTATAGTATACTGTCATATAATAATTATACTATTTTAATATATAGTATTTATTTGACCGCATCCCTACCAACTCCTTCTCATATTATAATCACGGTCAACCATCTCTATACCATGACAAAATATAATGGTCAACAATGATATAATATTGATACATAAATACATATAAATTTAACTGTCATCCAATTTACTTTAAAAATAGTTTGATATGGATATCATTTGGTATCTAAAACGATACCAATCTTATGTACAATGTTAAAGCCCAAACAGAGCAAACTATATACACATTATTTGATGAAATGCCTTCTGAGAGTACAATATTTAATTAATACATGCTTATATATTATTTATTTATGATAATTTAAGCATATGTTATACATTTAACATAATGAAATCAATAAAGATTGTTTTTCGTACATGTAATATTTTGTGAACATTTTCTTCAAGAAGATACAATTTTGCTGGTAATGCAGCAGTTGGAAGTGACTGCTGTAATTCATTACTGATTTGTAGGTACAGAATGGACAACATTTCTTTGGCACTGTTATGCAGTCAGATGTCATCTTTGGACTGTACTTCAGTTGCTCTGAAAGAAGTCTGATGGTTAACAGTGCCATCAGACTCTAAATAACTAAATGTCAAAGAAAATATATGATGCGTAATCAGGTTATTCATAGTTACATTTTCTTTCTTTTTTCAAGTCATATAACACCACTAAATTAAATCAATTTTATAGGATTAAAATAACAACACTATTCATAACATTGTAGATCTCAAACTTATTAAAAATACAATTTCTTTAGCGATTAATTAAAATGTTTTCTTGCTTTCCCACTACCAAAGTAAGCGAGGCTTTGTATTTGTGCACAAAATAAAAAATTGCACTCTTTTTTTATATTTTAAATATCAAGGAACAATACCTATACTAATCTGATTTTCATGAAATTTTGCGGGTTGGATGGACCGAACCCATTTCAATTTCATCAAAATCTATCCACTTCCTTCTCATATGCATGAGTAAATTAATTTTTTTTACATACACCAATATTTCAAAAACTTGGCCTCAAATTTTAACCTGACTCGAAGTTAGAGAAAAGTTTAGGACTAGAGAGAAAATTGTGTTCTATCAATTATACAGGAATTTCATATGAGTAATGTAATTTCCTTGATACGTTAGAGAGACTTTGTAATATACACAATTATGAAACAATATAAATGGCATGGAAGCTATATTGATCCTGCTTGCTAGATGTTTTAAATCAAAGTACTGATTTCTATTCACACGGTGATAAAACATAAAACAATTTCAGTAATTGAAATTCTCAATTTTCGATTTTTTCTAAAATTTTTTGACTAATAAATGCTTACAAACAAGCAACAATAAACTAATAGAAAATATAATTAAATAAACACATATAATTAAGTTTTTAAATTGTGGGTTGATGGTTGACTGTAGTGGTTAATTGAAGAGAAGGATGGTTGGAATGATCAGACAAAATAAAAAATAGTAAAAATTAATAATTAAATTTATTTTTATATTTGTCGATGTTTCGGCCCGAAGTTCAGGCCTTCATCAGAGCTAAGAAAAAACCAGATAGGGATAGATATGAGAAACTATAAACATTGAATAATAAAGAATTAAAATAAAAATAGATAGAGATAAAATTAAAGTAGATAGAGTGAATATGAAAGTAGAATACAGTAGGTAGAATAATAACAGTAATACAGAACTAAGAAATAAATAATAATAGCAACGAATTGCGGACTAATGAAATAAACAAAATCAAAATTAGGTAACATAAGAAATGAAAAATGGCAATCTTAGAATGAAAAGGAATATGAAGTTATATAAGAACATAATAGATATAGAACAGGCATTACTATAGAGATAAATCTTAAAAAAAAAAAAAAATACCTGTACCACCACAGGATCTTGGTTCAGTACTTCGTAAGGAAGTACTGTTTCTTGGTCAGTGGTTGTGCCAGGAGGTGATTTAATCGAGATCACACTCTAGGCAGGTTTTTCCCCTTAATCAATCATTTAATTAAGGGTACCCACTTTATATAGGCTGTGTGTGTCCCAGGAGGGCCTGCCGACCCCAGGGTCTATCCATGGCTGACAAAAGAGAATAAATAATTTATCTGCCATCAGCGGACTCGAACCCAGGACTTTAAGCATAGGAAGTTAGTACCACTGAGGTAGCGCACTATAGACATAAATTTCAATCCTTAACATAATATTCCTCAATTCTTTTATGATAAGGCAGATATTTTTTATTCAAAGCACTATAAGAAAAATCTACTGTACTATTATAACAATGCTTTCTCTTGAAATTTTAGTTTAATAATAAGAGAAAATATAATTAAACGTGAATAGAATATGAAAAAGAGAAAATTCATATATTATTATTTTAATTCAGGAAGGAGATGGTCCGAACTGTCAATTTGTCTGTTTCAACCAAAACTTTATGCTGACGACCTCAGAAGAAGACTGCATAGTAGGGTCAAAATGTTTGCTGAAAATAATATAATTGTTTACTATCTTAAGTTTTTTTTTTTTTATGACCACCACTCCAGACCATGTCCTTCCTAAATTTTATACAACGGTCAACCATTAATAATCAATAACAGTTTTAAGATATTGAAAAAATATTGTAAGATATATTCCTGAAGATGAGGAAACAATCCTTGCATTGTTGAACAAGCTGTGTAGCTGTAATTGATGAGCTAAGCATGTAATTGCAAGTATTGAAAAAATAAATAATTAAGGAAGAAAATGTTCAAAAAATATATTATAATAAAACAGACCTTTATAGAATGAAATAATAATTTTCCCTGAAGATGATTGTAGTCATCATACTAGAACTTTTCTAGTCATTATATTTAAATTTCCAAACATTGTATTTAGATTTATAATATAAGCTCTCAGTCTGCATCTTAAGACATTAAATCAACATTCAATTACATATTTTAACAAGTATGTTGATATGATGTCATAGGCACAAATTAATACAAAAAATAATTAAATGATTAGATACCAAACTTATAGTAATGGATGAGAATGAACATCAGATATACTTTGCAATTTTTTTATTTGATTTGTCATTGATTTGCTTTCAGCTTTCATTTGTTCAAGATCAGCTGAAATCCTTTCCAAATTTGCTGTGATATTCTTACTTGATTCAACTTCAATCTGAAAAATTGATTAATTTTTAATTTTTGCTTAACAATAATAATTGATGATAAGCTTCTTTCAAGACAAAATAAAAATTTTGTCATGAAATTGTTCCCCTGGCTGCGGAATTTGGATTTGTAATCTTCGGTTCGCCGGGCAAAGCATATTTTACAACACACATATTAGCCCGCTCAACCACCCCACCCTCCGTTATTTTCCGAGATAATCCCCTATTGTCTTCTCCCATCTCATAATAATATGATAAAAGTTTTTAAGTTGATTTCCTAACCTATTCCTAAGTTTAAATGAAAACTTAGGAATAGGTTAGGAAATTTAATTTAGTTCCCAAGGAAACATTTACTTTTTGCTAAATGATATTATTTTTAGAAATTATATTAATAAAAGAATTTTTTCGTAACTCTCTATTACCATGACATCGTATTTTAGATATTAATTTTTCAAAAATCTTTTGCTTTCCAACAATATATTATACAAATATATGATTACTCTTATTTTCGGAAATTAGTTTTCAATCTGGGAAAATTTTTCTCATTTGGTAAATAATAAAATTCATTCAGTTTATATTTAGCCCTTTCTTATTACTACTAATTATTAGAGCCTGTTTCAAGTCTACCATTAAAGATATTTAGAAAATTTAAAATTTTTAACAAGAATTAGATTAAATATCAAAATGGTAGAGACGCATCAATCAAAAAAGGATCATAATTGGTAGAGAAACTTTTGAGAAAACCATAAAAATATTTAAAATTGATTGAATAAAATCCCACTTTTGGTAAGTATCAATAAAAGTGCTATATAAATATAAATATATAGCAAATATAGGTTCTCCTAAAGCCAAAAACAGGTTCTTGACAGTGACCAACATTGATAAATTTTAGTCGGGAAACGCAAGAAATTAATTTTATAATAAGTTAAAGGTAATTTTTGTTAATCTTAAAATGAAGAATATGAAAATTCCCTTAATTACATCCTTTTTCTCATCTCTGTCAGCCATTTTTAATTTAAACATTTAAAATCAAACAGTGTCAGCTACTGGTAGAAAACACTATTTTCTTAATTTTCAAAATTTAGATAAATGTTTCATGGATTTGAAATATTTCTTGTTAAGGTGAGAAATGGTATGAGAAGTAGATCCTGATATGAAACATACTGGCATTAATGTATATATATATATATATATATATATATATATATATATATATTTTTTTTTTTTTTTTAATATACTTTCCTCGCCTTATAGGCTTTATGGGGTTTTACTCAGGTCAGAGAATTAATGCCAGAGTTAAAAGTCTTGTATTAGCTGATGATCTAACCTCCACGAATGTTGAAGGATTACTATATTTCAAAAATGGCAAATTCCAAAGATTCTATTCTCAAATGAAAAATTATAGACCTTGAAATATAGGTAATTGTGTAACCAATGAAAATTGTGAAGAAGTTATACTGACTTTACTTGGCAGACATTTTTGATTTTGTTTGATGATTTTTGTCTTCTTAAATCTTTTCAATGATTTTTTTGCGAGTTCGAACACTGAAAAGTTTGGTTCTACAGTAAAATGTTTACATAATACTTTAGACTATGTTAGTATTACAGCGCTTTCAGAATTTTGGTTCTTTAACAAAAAGTAGTTTTTTTAATAATCTCATATGGTTGCTAGGTAAAGATAGTAAAATAATGAATAATTGTTAAAATAATGAAAATAATTTTAAAAACATTTTTGTAACATGACTATAAGTAATTTTTACAATGACTATATTTTACCACTAGGCCCATAACTGATATATGTAGCCACTAATGGATCCAGGATTTAATTTTGAGGGGGCTTCATTCAGCCCAGAAATTTTTTTTTTTGTATATATATATATATATATATATATATATATATATATATAGTAGTATTAGGATAATTACTTCAGAAGGAAGAAAGAAACTAACTACCTATATGAAATGGTGTTTAAGTGATTCTTTAAGTTCTCTTAAATGTAATTATACTTTTAGAAATAATTTTTTTCATAAAACATGGTTATATTTTAACATTTTGGGAAGAAATTAGCCCGAAAGCCCCTCCCTCTCTCCCTCCGCCTGTGTATGTTATTACTGTGTATTGTAATTACTTAGCAAATAATTACGAACATTTATTTAAAAGGAAAAATACAATTCATTATGTTTGTCAATTTTATATTCAATGGAACAAGTGGTTATGTTTCTAAATTCATAACCGAAAAAAAGTCATCTAGCAAACTGTGTATGCAATATCCCCTTTTGCATCAATCAATCATAACCCAAACTTGCGTAAACAATGGCCATAACCAATGATTTATCCAAATGGTAATTTTTTTATTCTTGAAAATTTGGAAAGTTACAAATGAAGGATAGGAATTCATAATTAAGGAAAAAATAATAAGAAAATGACTAACTTGTTCTTTGAGATCTGTTATTTCTCGACTTATAGTACCTATCTCAAGAACTAAAGATCCAATGATAGTGCAATCAGAGTGCAAAGTCGTCAACAGCTTAAATGTTCGTTTCGAAAACTCATCTTTTTTAGTATTCTGAAAGCATTAAGAAAACAAAAGTTGAAAGTGTTTATAGCAGAAATTGAAATTTCAATAATTAAAAAAAAAATACCCTAAAAATTGTTTCTTCACAAACAGCAAAAAGCCTTTCAAGGCGCCCATTCAATGAATTAGTTTCTTTTTGTAGAGATTTTGTATCTTTTAAAATTTTTTCAATTTCATCTTTTTGTTTTTTAATATTTCCAATTATCTCCATTATCCTACGAGTATAAGCTGACCTGCAAAATTTAAAATAAAAAAATATATTTATAAATGGTGTCTTCAAGGAATATATAAGCCCTAATACTTTCAATTTTTGGTTTATTATTTTCAATTATCAACCATTGTGATCGACCAAAAAATTCAAAAACTTAACCCTCTCTCAAAATTTGAGGTTTCACGTTTCAGGACGCGTAGAATTCGAAAAATGAGTAAACATTTTTTTGTACGTCCGCCGTCCGTGTATTTTCTCTGAAACTACTGGACCGATTTTATTCAAATTTTGATATAAAATCAGAGGTCACCCGAGGATGATCCTCCTTCATCGACATTATTCTTCGCCTTTAACTTTAAAAATGGAGGCCGAAAAACCTGCGTTGCTATAGACTGTAGCTCCTAAACGAATGTACAGATTTCAATGAAACTTCGCTAAAGTCATTTTCTCGACGCCCTTTAAATTTATCTATATAACATACTTCAACGAAAAGAAGCTGGAAAAAAAGTTACGAGGGATGGTAAAATTAAATTCCGAATAACTCGAAAAGTTTGTAATTTTTTGTTGATATTGCATATAGTTTTTTAAAAGTTTACGAAATTCCCTAAAAAAAAAAAAAATCGTTAAAATCGGACAATTAGGAGCAAAGATAGGATCTTCGGTTTTTTTATATTTTATACTCCAAACGTTATATCCTTGGTTTGGTTTTTAAATTTTGAATGTGTTACTGAACTAATGCTATTTTTTTTTTTTAGCATATTACTAATGATCAAAAAAAAAGTTTAGTCCAATAATTGGAATCACCTTTTGTTTATTTTTCTTTGTAACTCGGAAGGTAATGTTACTTTAGATGTATAATTGTTTGGAAATAAACCATTGTGAAATAATTTGCAGCGTTTTATAATTCTACTTCCAACTTTTTAATATTAAAAAATAGACGGAGGAGGTAGTACCGTACAGAAAAGATAAGCATTAATAAATGTGCTAATATTTAAGGAATATGAAGACGAAAAATATGGTTATCTTTGGTATTTGTTTACTACAAATAGTTATTCAATGAAATTATAATATTGAAATACATTTTGTAGATAAAAAAAATATTTTTTGATGACTTGATAATGAGCTGATTAGCTCAAAACGTCATTGGAAGTAGAATACAAATATTATAAAGTATAAGGGCTAATATATTTCTTGAAGAAACCATACATAACATTGAGTGTCCTTGAAAAGTACTACTGTAGTAGCTAAATATACATAAAATATACTAAAGTATAAATAAATTATTTGTTAATTTCGATAGTAAAAATTATCTTCAACAAATTTATTACTACTGTAATATGAAAAAAAAAGTTGAATCTTGTAGCCTAAGTTTATGTATAGGGGTGAGGATGTATTAGTGAATACATATATATGGTTTTTGTTTTTATTACCTAACTCTGTTGAAATAGTTGAGAATGAACTATAATTTTTTAATAGTTATTGGTATATAGTATGAACATGCAGGAGTCCAATTTCACCAGTTATCTCTAGATTAATAAAGAGATGTTTACATATTTTTATTTCACTTGCACCAAAAATGTTTGTTCACATTAGTATATGATTCAATAAATATAAACAAACCTATTTATATTTTTAGGCAATTTATCATAATCTTCTTCAAGCTGGGCAATAATTCCTCTTTTGGCAACCAACTGCTGGTTAATCACATCAATTTTTCCTTTCAATTGCTTCATTTTATCGTGCTCTTTTTCATTTTGACTCTGAAATAAATACATAAAAATCAATTCTTATGATTTTTCATGATATTAAATTTTGTTTTTTAAAAATGCAAAAATTATCTATCCAGAAATTCATAAAAAGATATGAATCTCATATGGTTCTTATAAAAGGCACTTATAAAAGCCAAGAATATCATAGTGATGGTCTTTGTAACCAACTTAACTACACATGTAAGAGTGGTCCCACATGTGTGAAGTCATAATTCACATACCTTGTAAGGAATTTTAATCAACATATTGGCACCTAAAAACATTAGTTCGACGAAGAATGTAAGGTCATGAAGAAAAAAATAAAGCCTACAAAATGATGGTTCAAAAGAAGCAAATTAGACACTAAGTAGAGGAATATCGAGTTAGAAGAAGAAGAAGAAGAAGAAGAGAAGCTCATGCTCATGTTTGCAGATGAAAGAAACAACAGTGAGAAAACAAAATACTAGCAGACATAGAAACTGCCTTTAAAATAATAGAGCTTTCTTTTGAATGATTAATGATGGACACCAAACATTCAAACCCCAGATTTACGCCTTCAAGTATAAGGACGGATCTCTCATTACAGAAGAAATTATCATTATGGAGAGATGGGTTTCTCAATTCCAATCTATTCTGAACGAGGGGAAACAAGGCAGTCTGGATCCCATAATCTTAGAGAGAGGGATGCTGAAAACTCCATTGTATCTCCCGATGAAAAAGAAATAATGAATTCTATTGAGAAGCTAAAGAGTAGGAAGGCGCCAGGAACTGATAATATGCCTGCTGAGCTGTTCAAACACAGTGGAAGTGGAGTGATAAAATTTCTATAAAAAATTTTAGCAGATATTTGGAAGAAAGAAAGTTATGACCTGAAAGGAAGAAGACAGTGATTTGTACTATTAATAAGAAAGGAGGTGTATATATATGCAATAATTACAGAGAGATTTCATTTCCCTCAAAGCGCATGCACAATATTTTCTATCATTTTATTTAACAGACTCCTTCTACATGACGAGCGCAAACTGGAGAAATATCAATCTGGGTTTCGAAAAGGCAGGTCAACTACAGATCCCATTTTCACTCTAAGGATGAATGGAAAACTCTCGAGGATTTTCCACTGAAACGGGAGCCAGACAAGGGGATAGTCTAGCTTGCCTATTATTCAAGCTCTCTCTGGAGACTATAAAACTGGAATCTTAATAAACAAAACAATACAAGTTCTTGAATAAGCAGATGACCTTGACGGAAGATCTCTTGATGTAATAAGAAGAACTTTCAAGGCGCTAGAACAAGCAGCAGCACGATTACAACTCGTCATAAATGAAGAAAAGACTAATTATATGTGCACTCTACCTAAGTGTGAAAATGATCTGAAATATCTCCTGTTGGGAAAGTATAGATTCAAAACAGTTAAATCATTTATTCATCTAGGAACCCAAATATCTCAGGAACAGGTCCTTTTCGGATTCAAGAGGAAGTTGTTAAGAAGAATATATAGATAGATAGATAAATAAGTATATTCTGGGACAAAGTCCCTTAAGAATAACAAAATGTCACAGAACAGAGGAATACTTCAGCCCTAGAGACCTACATTAAATATATAAAATATCTTATGTAAACTAACAAATATATTAAAAAAGCAACAAGCTGATAAAACTATATACAAAATGTCAAGAACTATATACAATACAAACAAGAAATAAAACAAAATAATCACTGTTTAACTAAAAAAATAATAAAAAGAAATAAAACAGATAAGAACAAAAGCAATAAATAGAAAATTAATTTCTCTAGTAAATGAGCACGAAGTAAGAATAACTAACGTGGAGTAAAATATAAAGATTTATTAATTCTATTTTGGTAAGAATTAAAACATTTGTACCAAAAATATTAAGAAAATAAATAAATTAAACAACTTCAAGAGCACAGTAATCTTGTAGAACAGCAATGACACGGTATAAAAAATATATGTCCAGATTCATATTTACATGTAAGAATATACACAAGACCATGAAAAGTAAGGAAAAAAAATATATATACATAAAGCATTAGTTTTTTAAACAAGGCTCTGAAATTTAACACCTGATCAGCCACTTTTCTGACTAGTTTTTAAATAGGAATTGGAACAGGAGGGTTTTAAAGTTGGATAAGGAAGGAGCATGCTGGATTTTTAAAGGGAGAAATTCCAGAGATTAGCAGACCGTGCAACAAAGGAGTTTTGGAAAGATGCAGATCTGTGAAATGGGGTATAAAGATCAGCAGGTCGGATCTTGTGATAAGAAAGAGAGTGGACTGATGACTTGAATTGGAGAAGATCATAAGCATAGAAGGGGAGTTGATTATGATGGTGTTTATGAACTAGGCATATGGAGAAGAAGGAATAATGACAAATTAAGAGCTGTATATAGAGATCTTGAAGCATGCACCTGCATTAAGTTATCAAGACTCCATTGGGTGGGACATGTTGCCAGGATGGAACCAAATGAAATTCCACATACTATTTTTTCGGAGTGTTTATATGGCACAAGAAGAGTTGGACATCCTAAGCATTGCTAGGAGGATGGGGTGACTATCAACACTAGGTCTCTGCTTGGAATCTGGAATTGCAAAATAGTGGCTGGAAACATTGACTTAAAGAGTGGATTGTAAAGTCATATAATAATAATATTGGCACTTTTTATGTTCAGTATTTTACTTCACTGGGTATGAAAGGATAAATACTAACAAACTAGACCTTCATGGATTCTGCAAGACATCTTTTTGCAGACCCTTTTTGTTATAAGAAGATTGCTTATGAGAGTAACAAAGGGAATAACTTAGCTTCAGGTGGCTGTGAACCATGGTTTCGATAATGCAGCAACAGATTACCTAAAACTTAATAACCACTCTCTTTAAGGTCAAATTCTCTATGTCCTGTCTAATAATGTATGTACAAACACTTGACTCAAAGGACAGTGACAAATTGGCAAAGATCCACATATTACACCTATTTAAGATTAGCAAGTTGAATAGGACCTACATGTGTTTAATTGAAATAAATTGTCCATAAAGGAATACCTAACTGTATAAATATGAATAATTGATAAAAAATAAACTTTTGATCCTTACTTCCTTATTAGCCATCTTGCTCTTAACACCAATATATTTTTCTATTAGAGGTTTTCTGTAAGATTCCCATTTCACTGCTAATGATAGTATTTTTTCAGACATATTTTTAATAGATTCCTCAATTTTGCCAAGGTTTTCTTCAGCTTGAGGAAGTAAAGACAAAGCTTTTCTATGGAACTCAATTTCATTAGATTTTTCACCAGTAATTATGAGCTCCCTCTTACAATCTTCTTCAATCTATTGGGAAAAATATATATTTAATTCATAAAAATTAATGTTAAAATCATAAATAAGGAACACATTAGTGTGCTAGAACTAATTAAATATTTAGTACTTTGTAATTTTTGAACAACTCTAAATTTTAGAGTTGGTAATAAAATTTTAATCAACATTTTTGTTAGAAAATAATATATCAAATGTATGAGTAGTCTAATTACAAACAGCCAAATCCATTTTTGTGGCAAAATGTGCTAGACACTGTTTTTGTTAGCTAGTTTCAAACTTTATACAATATTAAAGCTCTTAAGTTAAAGAAAGCTCAGAAGCGTGTTAAAAATATTTTTAAATAAGTGTCTCCTTAACAAAAATGGCCAACTCATTAAGCACTTTGTTTTAAACATGGTCAGGTGAAGTGGAGACAATCCACAGATTTCGATCACATGATCATTACACTTTTCTACTAACATTGATTGTTTACTCTCATATTTTATTCGAAACATTGTTCATTGCTACCTATACATTTTCCCCATCTTTCTGGTGAATTATGAATGCCAGAAAAAGCTAATAAATTTTATAGAAAGAAGTAACTTTAAAAATAATGAAATTGATAGCAACTTATACTACAATTTTATATATTTTTTGAAATTTGTTTATCAAAGAATGCTCCAATAGATATTTAATTTCAGAAAATACATATTATGTTGTTTCTAAAATTACTTTAAAATACCTTATCTAAAACAACTTGCTGTTCTTTTATATTTATCTGAAGTTCTTCAACATTTTTTCTGATATTTTGGAGAGGATCTTCATTTATAATCAGCTCTTCTTCATTAACTGAATCATTATTGGTTTTACTGACGCTAGATGGACTATTATGGTCAATATCTACACCACTCCTGTCATTGTTGAAGGAACTTGACTTGGCACTCTCATCCTAAATAATGATTTGCAAAAACATCAAATAATAGCTACTTAACATTATGTTTAAAATATTCAACTAAAACATTCTTAAACACTAAAACGTATTAAATTTTTATATGAACACCTTTCCAAAAATTAGGGATTCCATCATAGTAAGCCACGTATCTTCACTTCCTAAAGAACTAGATACCAGAGCAGCATTTTGGTCCACATGATTATTTGCAGCATTAGTAGATTTTACTTCACTTTTAATATGTAAACCTTTGGCATTCAATACAATTGCAGAAGGCAGAAAATTATTAGATTTTGTTTGCTCAGTAAGGAATGGTAAATGATGGATGACATGTTCTTTCCACTCTAACAATGAAAAAAAAAAAAATTATAAGAAAAAAAATAATAAAATACATTTAACTAAATTATACAAAATAAATTAATATTAATAATAATATAACTTTACAAAAATATTTTTTTTCTAATTTTTAACCTGTAATTGTAAATTATATTTTGCATATTTGTGGATACAGAAGGAATACTGAGAATAGATATACATTTATTTATACCTGCTTGTTCTTAGTAGAATAATTCTGGTTTTTAGACACCCTGCATTCAGGTACTAGTTTTAATTAGCTACTCTAAAATAGTGATTGATTTTAAGATTACATTGGAAAGCTATAGACAGAATCCCAAAAGTGGCTGAATTTTGATAATCCAAAGAGTTACAGATCTATGGCAGAGTTAAAAGTCCCCTTTAAAATTTAAAAGACCGGGATTTGAACTCCTAATCTTTGATTTATCAGGTTTCTGAGTAATACGTATTGTACACATGTGTTAGCCCACTTGGCCACCCCATCCCCCCTGACTTATATACCTTGCTGGAGCACAGATAGTCCAGAGGGGGTCATCCTACTTCAGGTTCCTTCGGACCATATTCTCCACGGTATAGTAGTAGACCACCCATATCTCCAATGGCAATCTCTTTGGTGTCCAATCTGGCTATGTTCTTGTCATCAACTTCCATCAGATTTAAGGACTGAGACAAATTGGTCATGATCAATGGATTATGGCTCGGCATCAGTAAGCACATGACAACCTATATTTTTTCCCCCAAACCATCCCGGAACCAAACCTCTGGGAAGCTATTGACATTCTGTAAAACCATATCGCTATTCCAATTTAAGGCACTCATAGTAGGACTATCGCACTTATGTCGGGTCAGTACGAGTTACCTCCAATAACTCGACATGCAGTACATACCGGGGGAGAGGAAAGAGCAGACTTATAAAAATATTTTCTTTTTCATTTTAAACATAAAATTATAGCCTGTAAAATCCCACGACCGGGATTTGAATCCACAATTTTTGGCTTGGAAGGCTAGTGCATTTTAGCATGCACTTTAACCCATTCTAACGTTCTAATAACAATTACAATTAATAACATTTTATAAACATAATATTAATTAAATAACATTAACATAACTTTAATTCAATCACTCAAAACATAATTATTCAATGTCATAAATACAACTTAAATTAAATAAAACAAACATAAAAATTCAATATAGGAGTAAACTAATAATACATGCAATAAATTTTCGTTTTACGTTGGCATAAATAAAAAATTTAAAAAGACTGCGTTCTGAATATTTATCACCCATGATATGTAGAACAGTTGACTAACTTCCTGCAAGAATCTATTATTCTAACATGAATTCCAACTGGCATGGAAATGTTAACATTAGATAGAAATAACAAGTTGGCTCATTTGCCTAAAGTAATTCTCGGTATTTGCAAGAAACAAATAAAGCCTATTTCAGATTAAATTCTTCAACTCACTCATTTGATTATGATTGATGGGAAACAAAACAATGATGTTTACATCCCAAGAATAAATGAAAGTTTTGTCAAACAGGTGACCAACAGTTTGATAAGATAGTTCATGACATTTATATATTGTACATTACTTAATACACTTTTGATGATGCTAAACTTCTAGATAATATTTGTGAATGTCAATTATATTTAGAGCACAAAAATTCATTATATGCATAAAAATAACACAAAGCCAGTCAGTTATAAGTCATAAATAGTTGCGCTTACAATAACAATAGAGTTAATATTTTAGAGTTGGAAAATTTATCAGATTTTTGTGTTTTAAGTTTTTTTAATGTAGGAAATGAATTTTCACAATATAATGATGGTATAACAAGAGGTGAAAGCAGTGGAGATAATAACAAAAATTACCTAACAAACATTCTCTATTAGAAAAGAAAAACTTCTCCTCTTAATTTCGTGATGGTGGATAATTTACTAGTTAGGATAAAGTAAGAGATCTCTATCTACTTATCTACTTACAAGCGCACTGCGGTAATTCCGGGATTCTATCTAAAAAGAGCTCTAGAGAAATATATAAAAGGATAGTGGTATATACATACCTTTAGGACTTTCCTTTAATTTTGTGTCTGTGGTGATAATGCCAGTTTCAAGTGGTACAGACAAAAAAGGCATTGCTCTTTTTTTCACTGATGTTTTTAAATCTAAACGCCTCTTTATTTCTTTACCTATGTCAGTTATTAACTTGGAGACAGGATCAACTATAAAATAGTTTAAATTAAAAGCATTAATAACAATCCACTCAACACGTAGAGTACAAAACTATTAATAAATAGATACCATCAATTTCAAGTTGTTTTTCAACTTCTCTAGGTAGTTTTTCAATAAGGAACATAAATACACGCCTAACATCTCCAACGTTTGAATATAAAAAAGTTTGATATCCAACATCACCATTGTAACCCAGTCCCTACATCAATTAATATAATTATTATGTCATATAAAATTATCTAATGACAACCAAAGGGTTAAAATTTACTTTGCAGGCCTCTGCAATGGCACAGCTGAGATGAAATCTAGAAGCCATATTCTGAGGTAAGGTGTCAGAAATATCAATGTCAGGTTGTATGATTTTTAAACACCTAGCAGCAGCCTGAACAACCATTTCTGTAGAAAATTCTTCCAAACCTTGAATGTCTTCATCTAAATCACTATGAAAAAATGATCTGTTAATGAAACCCTACCACTGGTAATTTAAAATAATAATTATGAATACAAATTTATTGAGACTAGAGAGTTTAAACCAATACCAGCCAATATCTTTTAAGGAATGAATGATTATCCTGTCGACTTCTTCCATAACAGGTACTCTTGAAGGAACTAACTTCATGTTATCATACTGGAGAGGTTAAAATTTGAGAAGGTTAAGTGCAATGTAAGCTGATATGAGAATTAAAAAGATTAATTCTCTAAGAGTAAAAAATTATAATAAGAGAAAAAGTATATTTCCGATAATTCCGAAATGTGTCAATTTATTCAAAATAATAAGATAAAAAAACCTTTAAACATAACCCATCCTTTTTTATCACTATCTCTAAAGTGTAGAATATTGGGTTATGGAACCTTAATATACAAGAATCCTGTTCCACCAATCGCGCTAATTGTGCAAGCAAGGCATGGACGATTAAGGCTGTGGTCGAACCTTGAAAGGGAAAGACGATTTCGGCGTAGTAATTAAAATTATTATAATATAAGTATAAGGAATTCAATAAGACATTTGAATTATCAGAGGGCAGCTACAGTGTGAAGAGGGCTTGCCACTTGTTGGTTGAGACCCTGATGATGGAAAAATGTCTTAAGCGAGTCACCGTATTGAAACCCCATCCCTTATATCGAATCTCTTCGCATCTGGCCAAGGGATTCAGTTGACTTATGATATTTTAGCGTGTTTATTACATGTTAAATAATGCAAATCATATTTCAATTTAACCCTAAACCCTATTTCTAGCTTAAGAGTGAGAATAGACGATTGTCTGCCGGTTTAACCAAGCTAACAACGTGTTTTTACTCTTTGTATTTCGGCGTAAGTAAGGTAGAGTGTTTGGAAAGGCATCTGTTGATCGAATTAACAGCTTTCGAACTAATATTAGGACCTAAGCTGGAGAGAAAGGATTTCCTAGCAAATCAACAAACGAGGCAGGCCAGGAATGGGATGGCTAACGCGTTGTGTAAAACACGTGTTTCCCGGCAAGCTAATAAACCTAAGATCAAGAGTTAAAATCCTCCCGGTGCTGGAAGGAGTTATATCTCTGACAACAATCCTAAACTCTCCCCTATGGCCCCCTACAACCAAAGAGACAAGTAAGGAAATAAAAAGGGGGGAGGAGAGGGAGGCTATTCACTGTACAGCTGTCTAACATCAGCTCGCTAGAATACAGCGTTTGGCTAAATCATGTCATGAGAATGTCTTGTGTGTGACAGTCACAAGACCATAGTGTGATTTTCAGACAAAAAGATTGCTGAACGTAGGGACATAAAGCGTCCTGTGTGCACGATCTTAAATGGCAAGAAGACCGCTGTTTTATCGAGAGTCGGAGAACTTACTGTAATGAAAAATTTGAAGAAAAATAAAATCTCTGTTGTGGACAGGGATTATTAAAAAATAGACAATGAAGTTTGCCAAGAATTGTTGAATGCTACTTTTTCGCCAGTAATGAATAGATGAATAATATTGGCGTTCAGAGAACACTGACCAGTAAAGTTTAGATTATTTCAATAACGTAATTGATCTCAAAGTGAATATGCGAAGGTACACATTAAATAAACTTTTGATTTTGGATTATTTTACAATAAATGTTAAAAAAAAAAACATTAATTTTTTCCACACGGAAGTGTATCTCTTATTCGTACTTACTGATTAAAAAAATCAATATAATGAAAGTTTAATTTTTATTTCTTCTCCACAACCTTGCCTGGTCAAATTTGAGAAACTTGTAATTTATTGTTTTTATATAATTTAATATTTAAAGTGATCTTTTGTTCCTTCAATCATCTTTTTTTGATTCTATCTAACCATCTGCTTTTTAGCCTTCAATGTGGTTTTTTTACCTCCTATTGAGGCATTCATTTTTACCTAAAGGCTTCCAGACGGATTGCTACGAAATACATTCCCTGCCCATCTCAAACTCCGTGCCTTCATATCATGGGAACCAGTTTCTATAAGCAGTTCTTTGTTGGTCTTTCTTCTCCACGTGTTAGTACGCTAATCCTAGATCACCCCGGTTATCGTGCAGAGGATTTTTTATCTCAAATCTTTCAACACTTTTCACTAGGATGCTGGTTAGTGTCTAGGTCTCACAGCCATATATAAGAACTGGGTTTATCATCGCATTCTACACCCTTATTCTGAGATTTCTTGGGATTTTAATACATTTGAAAGGGAGAAGAAAGCTCTGCTTGCACAAGTTATACGCTGGTATATTTCTGTCCGTTGGTCATTCATTGAGGTTATTGTGAAGTCGAGGTATTTGAATTTTTCTACTCTCGGGAATGATTATTCTATTTATATATATATATATATATATATATATATATATATATATATATATATATATATATATAAATGAATATCATCTTTTCGGTGGAATTTTCGAAATATCACATTTTTTTTTTGTTTTCATTTACTGTAGGCCGATCTGCTGTGCATCTCTTATCAGAGTCTTAGCGAGTTTCTCAATTGCTTCCATTCCATGCTCTTGCTTTCCATTTTATAAACCGCGAGGTTTTTTTTTTCATCCACTAAATAAAGAAACTCCTCCCTACAATGGATGAATATTTCTGTAGTTCTCATCAACGTGTATCTTGACGTTTCAAATGCAGTGTAGATACTCAAACGCCCACAGAATATAGCTGGTAGGGCATTGGGAACAACATCCTTGGCTAAGGCTATGGAGATTGGCTCAAAAACCATCATGTCCGGTGAGTAATTGTAGAACTCGATTGTTCAGAAGGACTCATTTTGCGTGTAGTCGATTTTATTTGGCGACGAATTTTCTTTGGGCAATCCCATCCGGAATTATCACCCACTGTCGCCCTCATTCCTCAATCGTATCCTCCCGGATTATCTTGTCCCATTTGTTGGTATCATCAACAATCCTCATCTAGTGATTTTCTAAAAGTTTTCTTTTTCCAGGCAAACGTCTTTTCTAGTACAATTGTTCGGTCACATCTTTTCACACAAGAAGGTATTCGACATTCTTCATCCTTATCTACATTCAAAACCCTCCTATTCCAATTCCTGTCCCAAAAACAGTCAGGCACCAGCTAATCTTTTATGTAAAATTACACATTATATATAAGACCATATTCACATATAGCTCATGACCTGAATACTTATTATAGATTCGACTTTCTTTTTCTCTTTTTTTTTTTTTTTTTTTCTGTTTCAACAGAAACAGATTTTACTGTTAAGAAGAATATACATTTATTTTTTCTGTATTTTTTATTTTTTCTAAAAGGGTTTATTTATATTTTAACATCGTACATAGTTTTAAATATCTTAGTATGGTTTCAAGAGTTTTTTATATAGATTTTTATATTTTATTTTGTATATAGTATGTATAACCAATATTTTTTTCTTTTCTTTTCTTTAATGACTTATCATTATCTTAATTTGTTATGTTTGTTTTTATCTGGCCAGATGTAAAATTTTAATTTCTGTACTTTTTTGTTATTCTGAAGGGACTTCGTCCCAGAATAAAATTATTTTTCTATTCTATTCTATTCTATACAGGAATCGTCCGGCTTGGACCACTCCGCGCTTTATCTGAGATTGACCTGTGTACTACAATGACACTCAGCTGGACCACTCTCTCAAAGTCAACGGCTACGTTTTCATCTAAAGCTATTAAGGTTTCTAATACCAGGGAGGGGTTATATACCTAAATATTTCTAGTACTATTCATTTAAAAATCGCCATTGTCGCAGAGTATCTGAAGCTATTGCTACAGCTACTGGATTACGCTGGGAGATCAAAATCTACCGAAGGCAGAACAGGTCAAAGAAAAACAACCTAAGATCACTCTTCTCTCTCTTCAATATCTCAACTGACTCTCAGCAGGTCATTATTAGTTTTTATCTTACTGATAGATCCGGAATGCCTTAAATGGTTTGCTTGACCAAGATCTGGCTCTAGCTTATCATGAGCTCTCCTGCATCTTAATCACCACAAAGAGGATCGTATAGGTCTTCCTATCGTTTGAAGATGGTTTATCTCTGTCCATCGTAGAAGAGTCTACAATTGGTGGTCTTCCACTTTACCGAAAATTATGATGCCGTGATAACCGTATGTGTTAAGGTGGTACCATAGCAGCCTCGAGTCTAATGATGGGTTGGAATTTAATTCGTGGCTGAGTTTTGACGTCCTCATTCTGATAAGAATAAGTTCTTTACCAGTAGAATAATGGGCTTTACCAGAAATGAACTGATAAGGGGAAACAACAAAAAAGTTCCTCTTTGAAGGTATTGTTTATCCAAGCAACCATTAAAGATTTTCAATAATCGCTCTTTAATGTAGGGTATACTGTCTTTTAGCACAGCATTTATAATATCAAGGCCTGGAATAAGGCCTGTTTTTCATCAATCCACTACAATACGAAATTCATCTACTTAATACGGTTGGCGAAAGTCTGAGCCAGGTAGATAAATCGTGCTGCAAAATCTACCTCCTTGAAATATTGGAAAGGGTCGTTCTCATGCACATTGGGTACTCTTTCGAGGAGATAGCCAGGAGAGAACCTTTATATTCCTGAAAACAATTTGTTTAAAAAAGATATGTAAACATTTCATAAGTACGACTTTAAAATATACCTAATCCCTGTAGAAAAAATCCAATACCTTGGACTCCAGCTTGACAAACGTCTCACTTGGAATCCTCATACAAGACTGAAACGACAAGAAACTGCTCGACGTTTCCGCTTACTCCAACACTTACTAGACAAACGCTCTAAACTTCCCATTAATTACAAACGACTCATATACATGACTATAATAAGACCTATTTGGACTTATGGAGTTGAACTGTGGGACTCCACTAAACCATCAAATTCCTCTCGTATCCAATCTTTACAATCCAAAATCCTTCGTAAAATCCTCAATGCTCCTTACTTTGTCACAAATATAATAATCCATAAAAACCCCAATGTTCCGTATGTTTCCGATTTGGCCGAATCCAGATACCTATCCTTCCATAATAAACTTCATAACCATCCGAATCCTCTTGTTTCTAACCTTGCTTCCTCTTCGATTCCTGATAACCCTCTGAGGCGTCTGAAAAGAAGATGGCCTCGTGATGTCCTCATGTAGACAAATTATTAGAGTGCTATCAATGGGTAGTTTCTCAACAAGCGTGTTTCATGTTATTTTATTCCTCTGTACACATTTACTTGATGTATTCATACTAATACAGTTGTAAATATCATAATAAAAGTTTAAAAAAAAAATATACCATCTTATTTTCTTTCCATTTTCTACAGAAATCTCTGTTTAATAGTTTCATATCGATACAACTGACTAACAAACTACTAAAAACGCCCTTATAATACAGTTAAGCGAGGCGCATGTGAAACACATTTTGGTGAGATAACACAATGAGAAATATAGAAATGATTGATAAATTTTTCTATTCTACACCTCCAATTGGAATTGAGATTATCTTTTTAATAACAGTCCATGCTAAATGTCCGTTACAGGAATGCGTTTGTAAGACTCCGAATATTTGCAACAAATATCGTTCCTTGCCGGATTAATGAAAGACTTTTTATCAACAACTAATAACGATGCTCCAGTATCTAGTCCACACCTTCCTCAGGCAAATGAAAATCTTAGAATTATGTGGGAAAAAGATGTCGAAGAGAGTAGTTCAAAGAATTAAGGTAGGAAAAATAGCGGACCATGAGGGTATCTTTCCTGAATGTATTGAATATAGTGGCCCAGAGATAAGCATGATTTTGCAGATCCTTTTTTAAAAGATGTGGGACAGGAAAAGGTCGTATCAAAATCGGAACTCAACATAATAGTGCCAACCCATTTATATGGGAGGCGTTGATTGCAAAAATTGTACCAATAGTTTTAATTTAGGCAGTCAAATGTACATACTAAGACCCTAAATGTATTGTTAGAATAAATGGTATGTACTCGATATCTTTTTCTGTGGCAAAAGGAGTAAAATAAAGAGATGGCTTTATTCCTCTTCTTTTTAGAATTTTTGTAAACAAAATCTATATGATATGTAAGATAAGGACGGAAAGGACTATAATCGGGAAGTGGAACTTAAGTACAATATCAGTACATGCATATTTATTCGCAGATGATTTATTGTTCTTATTACTGACGATAAGAGAATATTGCAAGGGGCACTAATCGAATGGCAATAAGAGCTTCTTAGGAAAGGAACGGTCTTATACTCCTCACAAAGTAAAGTCACGCTAATTTCTAGGAAAGAGGAAGATATTAATTTCTTTTGAAACAATGAGGAACTAGAGCTTGTGGATGAATTTCCATATTTGTGTACAATAGTTTGCAAAATTGCCATTAGAGACAAAAAGTGTCAAGTTGAACTGCAAAGGTAGTAGGCAACACAGTAGTAGGCAAGAGAGGAGGTTACCAACCAAGTAAAGTTCCACATCTCCAAAGCTGTCAATCTGCCGACTCTGCCACATGGCTCAGAGAGTTATGTAACGTTAGACAGACATACGATCTGCCTAATTGCGATCGGAATGAGGCATATCTGCCGATTGGCTAACAAGACATGAAAATACCGCATCAAAAACGAGTGAATTTGGGATCAGTTGGCCATATGCTCATTAAAAACCACCCTTCATTAAAGAAAACTCGAGTGGTTTCGATATATTTGCAAGATGCATGAGAATCGAGACCCAAGGAAAATAATGGAAGCTATATTGACTGGTGAAAGATTCAGAGTCAGACCCAGAATATCTTACAACGAATATTTCACCATGCTGGCCATTGAAAACAGATTTAAAAAACATCGGTGTAATGAAGATATTAATTGATGATTATGAAGCCATCTTCAGTATCTTAAGGGGGTATCGTTTGTTCCACTCATATGACGGTTTAAAGTGGGTCTACACGTCTTCCTGTCTATAATATTTTCTTAGATCTAAAAGAAAACCAAACCTCGTGTTTCAGACCTTTATAAAATGGCGTAGAAAATCACCAATGAAACCGATGGAACACATTGGAACTCAGAGCCTTTGGGGGGCGCAGTGCATAAACGTACGTATTGGAAAACTTTTCGACCAAAAAAAAATGAACAATTTTACATTTCTTTGTGATTATCGTCCTAATCAGAGTCGATATTGTCACGCTTTATTTTTAAAAAAATATTTAACTAAATATAATATTAGTGATTAATTATTATAAACATTTAGCTCGATTGAACCTACTACAAGCCATTAACATAATCTTTAGAATAGTCTTGATAGTTGGAACGAATCATCCCTGACCCGAGAAAACCACCATATAGACAAAAAGACGAGGAAAGGGAGAACAAAATTTTTGGAATATAGTTTCCTTGCTTGTTCATCTGCCTCCTGGACTCTCCGCCATCTAATATCAGCCTATCTCATTCATTTTTCTTCATTCATATCATTCGTTTTCCCTCACTTTCTCACTACCCAGAAATATTAATTTCCTTCTCATCTCGCGAACTATGAAATTTTAATTTTTATTAAACAATTTTAAGATTGAATTTTATTAATTTAGGTATTTGCCAGTAATGTTTTCTGTATATTGGTGATTTTTTTTATTAAAGGATCTAGTCCCAGAATAAAGTTTGTTTTATTTTACAGATCCAAGGTCTTCAGGAATCGCTGATGATGTAAAAGCCCTTTAATGCTGCGAGAGGTGCATTCCTTTCATTTAGATATGGCTAAATGAAAGGAATGCACAATGCATTTAAAGTCGACAACCTTTAAAACATGAAGTTTAAATTTATTCCTCCTCTATTCGGAATCCTATCATAGCCCTTATGAACTTTTTTGTCGGATTTGAGATATTCTAGCATTCAGAATGCCATATAATAATTACGAATTCAGAATGTCTAGTCATGGTTGTTTTGTTTCATACTCTTAACCATAAGTGGTTTAAAACAAATTACGTCTTTTTGCTAAAAAAATCTAATTAATTGTTAAGTCATTCCCAGTTAGTTATCAAATTATGTGTCAAGATAAGTCTGTAACTTATTTTGATCAATCATAGTGAATATATAACTTTCTCCTAAGCCATAGTATCTATATGGGATGTTATTATATGGTCTGATTTCAAACGTCATATAATGGTTTCTAGACATGTCATTTTTAAATGTTAACTAACTCCAAATTTGTTTGCTTAACAATTAAGAAAACAGATTATTTAATGTTAAACCCAAGAATTGGTTAATGGGTCTTTTGGATTGTTAATTTCATAATTAGAATTTCTAATATTTTATTTTGGACATTTTGTTTTTTCCTGTAACATTTAGTTTTGTTCCATCGATTGAATATTAACTTAACTCTTATAATTGACAATAATAAAGTGTTAAAGATGGCCTGTAATAGCGAAGTTACAACTAGGACAGCAGTCATAGCAGTATTATTGATATTTGTTCTGTCATTATCTTCCCTTGTGTATATATACTTCAATTTCCCTCAGCTTGAAGAGTAAGTTTTTAGTTTGTTTATTATGACATACAGATTAGAGTCTGGGTGAAAAAAAGTTAAATACACTTAGGCCTAAAAAAATAAATTATAGTAATTATGTAAACCTCTAACAACGTAGACTATATTTATGTACATTGCAGGAATGAAAGAAAATATATCAAATTGCCACGTGATATGGATGATGCAAGAAACCTTGGAAAGGTTTTGGATCGCTACAAAGATAAATATTTCTTTGAAGTCTTACTTGCTGTATTTGTAGCTTATATATTGTATCCTTTTTTTATCATAAACATATTAGTATCTGTATTCTGAAAAGGTTTACTTAGATTTGCTTCTGGATGTATTTGGTTTGGCATGATTGAGGATAATACCCACTACCAATGCTATTTGCAGAATATATTTAATACTCTTTTAATATTTTTTCTTGAAAAGATTTTTATTTTGAAAATGTTCACTAGCCAACATTTGCAACTAATGTATGTTTGCAATCTGTAAATATTGAAACATACTTTAAGTTTAAATATCTGCATTTTGTACGATTGATGGAGTTAAGATTTAAAGGCAGTTTCAGTCTTAATTAAATTAGGATGCTCATTTTCTCTGATCATAATATGCCAAACTAATGTTTATCCCTTTTACGATTCATCAGGTTGACTAATAATTTAATTTTATTTTATTAATCAATTTTTACTGTAAAATATAATTATATTATAGTTTGTAATGTCTCCACTCCTCTTGAAATAAAAGTTTATAAAACTAATTATCCCTATAACAGTGTAAGTTAATTAATGCTAGTTCGTTCAGAATTGACGAAATCATACATTTGGGCGAAAGCTTTATTATATAGCAAAGCTATCATGGATTGATGTACACAAACAGTAAAGTTAAATATATTGTTTGAATCATAAACAACAAAAATATATTATGAAATCAACATAATGTCTCTGAATTTCAAGGAGAGGAATATAAAATAGAGTAAAAGGTGTTGAAACAATAAATATTATGATAAAATTGTTTCTATTCCAAAAAAATATCACTTGTGACAAACCACCAAGGGTAGGTGCTGATTATTGTAGGTTCAATAAAATATTCCCTACCACCAGATACATTTGTTGATGAAATGACAAATGGAAATGAAGGATGATGTTTACACAGTTGTGTTGACAGTGTAGGCAAGAAACAAAACTATGAAGACTATTTGTATTTACAAACTTACTTGTTTTGATAGACTTGGACCAATTTTTGGTCCCGTGTGCTATTTCTACATCAACACTTGTGGCTACAACTAATTTGTTGAAGAAACTGATTTGAACAGCCATTAAAATGGTTACCATCAAGTTGTAACCCTTGGTTTATGTCTTAAGAAGTATAATTTTTATGAGAGAAGCATAGTTCATAATTTTCATAAGTATTAATTATAAATAGTTGTCAAAAGAGTTCATAAAACATTTATGAATTTATTTTTAGACCCATGAAATGTATTCAATATTTAAATTTTTCTTCAGTTTTCTATTGTGATTATTGTTTTTTATTTTTCCTTTACTACTCATTAATTTATAAAAATTATGGAAATTCGTGCTAGTGACAAAAATTGGGTTTGATAAATTGCTTACTTAGGTGTTCCAATGTATTTATTTCTAACTTTTAGGAAAAGTTTAATTGGCCTAATGTTTCCAACATCCCTACTATTTTATGTCATTATTTTTCTTAGTCATGTAATCTAACTGTCCTTTATATAGCTCTGTTATTCTATCAAATTTATAAATTCAGTATGACACTTAGATTAGCTTTCATTTACAAGAACACTCTAAAATTTGACTTCAAATAGTCTACAGTCTTAATTTGAATAAAGGTGTACATATATTCTTTCTGTATTTTAATTCAGTAGTTTTTCCTTAATTTTCTTATCAGTCTTCAGACATTTGCAATTCCAGGTTCCATATCACTGAGTGTGCTTTCTGGATTTCTCTTTCCTTTTCCTTTAGCACTATTTCTTGTGTGTTTTTGTTCAGCAACTGGAGCATCTCTGTGCTACATGGTTTCATATTTTGTTGGACGAAAAGTCATTAAAAAGTATTTCCCTGAAAAGGCAGAAAAATATTCATTGATGGTAAGTAAAACTATAGTATTATTTATGAGATAAGTTCTTATCTATTAATAATTTGAAAAATGTAAAAGCTGGATTTATGTTTTCAATGTTATATATTGGGTGTTTTTAATGATTTGTCATATTAATTATTTAGATCTATTTAACCTAATTTATTTGTTTCAGGTGGAAAAACACAGAGATGATATTTTTAATTATATGTTGTTTCTTCGAGTGACACCATTTTTGCCAAATTGGTTTATAAATATTGCTGCTCCGGTTATTAATGTTCCAATATTGCCATTTTGGTTTGGAACATTTTTAGGTTAGCAATAATTTTTATTGAATATTAGTTTCGATTTTGGTTTAAGATGAGATAAAGCCTCTAATATATAAAGTTGGAGACTAGTCAATGAACCAAATTGAGTGGATGATAAATTAAAATTAATCAAACCCTTAACGGGCCCATTTTAGTTGAAGTCAGATATTACCAGAATGTTCACTCACTTCTGTATTCCTTTGAATACTCTCGGGATTACATTTATGGTGTGATCATGAGATCTTGTGCCACTGATGCCAGTGGAGTGACATTTGTACTGCAGTACAATTTAACTAGTTATGTTTGGTCAATATGACCTGCTCTATAATGCTAAACATAAAGGATATAATAAACATTTTTGATTGAATTGCAATTTTGATACTTACGGATTTATTGACGTTTAACACATGTAATGCTGCACAGTAAATATTTTGAAAACATTTATTTGCTTAGTTGTAACTGCATATCTTTTGCCTTTTTTTACTAAGACAGGCGTAAGTGACAATTCTTAAGCTGTTTATCTGATGTGGATGTGACTATGAAAAATTAGCCACCAATGTTATTAATTATTGAAGAAACCAAAAGAAGGGTTCAGAAGTTCAAATCCTATTTTTCTCAGTTTAACCTGAAATGCACTTATTTCTTTTTTGCTTAGCACAGCTGCAATGGTTATTTTCTAAGAATTTAAACTACTTTCAATTTGAATGTTGTGACAAAATTTTATTGTATTTCACTTAATTATTTTGGATTTAGAGGGGACCGAATTTTATTTAAGATTGGAAATCTGACTGACATCTTCAATATAGGAGAGCAATGGTTTTCCATACAATCATTGTTATATTTGAGTAGGTGGCAGTTAACAAGACAATTGCTGTCAACTATCATATAAAAGATGCAGATTTCATATCATTCACAGTGTATGTGATATTTGCTGCCATGGCTGCTGTCACTGTGGAAACAGGGCTTATAGTATCTACCTATCCATCAGTTTAGAATTTATGATATTTTATTAATTTGTTCATTATCCAACACAACTAAGATATTTTCAGAAGATTAACCTTATTAATGATAGGTTGTGCGTGCCACTTGATTTCACCTGTGTTAAATTTCTGTTATACATTGCTTTTTCATACTCCAGATGAATGGATAACTAAGAGTTAATGCGGAAAAATAAAGGAACCAACCTATATTTACAGAAAGATGTGCTATCATAATTTTCTACGGTTATTCATGTTAACTTCTGTGATTTCCGATTTGTCACTACAATTCATAGTGTGATTTTGTAAGTCTTCCTTGATAAGCAGCCTATCTAATGCAAAAAGAATTTTTCATATTAGACTAGTAGTTCCTAAAACTAGCACATTGATGTAAATGAACTTCAGTGTTATGTATTAATATTGATTTTAAAAAATCCTTTATGAATATTTGAATTATTGTTAATATTTATAAGAAATCGGCAGATTTTATTATTGCTAAACCTTCCGGGAACATTAGAATTTGGTTTTTGAGGTTAGCAGATAACAAAACCCCAGGGTATTCCTTTATATGGTTCCTTACATTTGCAATATTTAATTTTGTTACACTGTTTCTTACTTATTTTCTCTTGGTTGCATTCATGTGATGACCTACATTTTATTGTTTCAATAGATTTTTTAATATGAGCCCAGTTCAATTCTAATAACAATGTAAAAGTAGAATTAAACATTATCATGTGTAATTGCTAACAAAATATAGTTTAAAACGTTTTTAATTTTCTTCCTATAAGTCAGATAAAAGACTATCGTAGCTTAAATCTTCTTGCAGAAAGACAGACCATTTTACATTAAAGAGTATAAATTGGTTCAGTCGTTCTTACAGTTACCAGTTACAAATGAAAAAAATCTGGTGCGGTACGTGCATCTCAGAACTTTCACTTTCATTTACTGCTTTATCTGGAGTATAAATAGGTGTTTTCATATACAGTAAAATAAAACTATCGACAATATAACATTTAAAATAATTAATTACCACACAAAACATTTGCCTAGATTAAAAATATTAAAAGAAATAGACGAATCTTAAAATATAATTTCTTGCTACTAGATGAATTTTAAAAATGTTTAAATTAATAAGATGTAAAAGTGGATTTTTGTAAAAATTCTAAGCTTTATTCAAAACATTAAAAAAAAAAAATTATAATATTATTAAGAGCCCTGAATTTCGCTTAAAAATATTTTTTGAAAATTATGTGTGAGTGAAATTAATTAGAAGCGAAAAATTAATTATAACAGTTGAACTAATAGTAGAAAAGCTGTTTAGACCTGAGTAGTTTAAATAGAGGATCGTGAAAATTCGGGCACCCTTGGGTATTTCCACTTTAAAAGTTTCTATCCAGGACTACTAACTTCTATTCTCCTTTAGGTAATTATCAAATTTGTTCATACTTTATATTTTTGTTTTTCTTATTAATTACAATGTGAAAAGGTAAATAACTTTGAATCACAAACACACACACACAGACCATTTTGCGTGATTGTTTATTTGGGCTCAGAGGACCTCAAAACATGTATTTCCGTTGAAAAGTCCAATTAAAAAAATTTCATGGTCGCAATACTTTCACCTTCTATATATTACATAGTGAAAGTAAAAAGGTGGGCTCAGTGATGGACAGTTTGGAATTTAAATGTACATAATAAGCCTTTTTTTATTAATTTAAAGGTTCGTTTTTTCTGGATTGGAAAACAATGCTCTCTATAGACAACTGTATGGAAAAAGTTCCCAAATAGAAGATTTTAGAATGCTTATCATTGTTGTTTCTATAGTGTTCTTGTGATCAGTGCGTTTCATACCTTCCAGTAGGAAACAGTTTTACTAAGAGTAAGTTGAACATTTATGTTCATAGGTGTTTAAATTTTAGAGTTTTCACTCTGAAAATATTCATTTTGCCATTTTAGAACTTCACCTATTCGATCATAGCATTAAGTTTAATTAAAATTAACGTTTTTAATGATTTTTAGGGGATGTCCATCATTGGATCAAAAATTGGCCTAAATCTAGTAATAGACACCCATGTCCATTACTGGTGCTCTACACTTTTTTTGGAAATATTTCATGTTTTTGTAATTTCTGAGTCTAGAAACAACAGAAAATCTCATGGTATTCTTAATTTTTTTCTAAAACATCTCTGACAAGTCTTAGTCAGGGGCATCACTGGACCCGACTATGTCCATTACTAGACATGTCCACCAATTTACCATTTTTAATAAAATCTCTTGCTCACGTTTGACTCTAAATACACAGTCAAATATTTATAAATCATAAGGTGTGTGGCTCCTACCAATTCTCCGAAAAATTATGTAAAATATTGTCTCTTTAAAAGGTTTTTATTATTCATTTTTCATTTTTAAAATTGAAAATCAAATTATGCTCTAGATAACAATATTGAATTTTTCTGCAGAAAAAAAAAAGGTTTATAAAATGAACTCTTGTAATCGGCTGAAGACTGTATTTGTTGAAAGGATTCAAGAAATCAGTATGTATTATAAATGTCAAAAATATATTATATGAAGTGCCTAAACAACTAGTTTTCGGAAACAAAGGTAACTGATGTTATCAATTTCCTAAAAGTATGTATGTTTACTTAAATTTATGAGATCAATGATGAAGACATGAACTTTGGGCCGAAACGTTGGCAAAAATAAATATTTATTTATTTTTACTTTGTATTTTTGACCGACTACCCCAACCAACTTCTCTTCAACTATATGTGTTTACTGTTGAACATATAGTTATCCATTATAATATTAATAAAAGTGATTTGAAAATAAGGCAGTGTAATCAATTTCTAAAAAAATAATATATTACTGTAATATAATATAATAATAATATATATATATATATATATATTATATATATATATATATATTATATATATATATTGTTTACTCCATAAAACAATTAATTAATTAAAATAACTGTAATTATCGTTTTTTAGAGTTTAATCAAGATTTTAGATTTTTTCTGAGATATGTCCGTTACTGGTACCAACCCTCTGTCCATAAATAGAACAATTGAATTTCGGGTGATTAATATTATTATTCTTTATTTTTTATATAATTATTTATCAAGCAGTTACTTGGTCATTTCCCAACAAGATCTTGAGGTTCCACAGTGAAATACAAAATGAAATATTTCTTCACTATTTTTATCAACAATATTTTAAAATGATTTTTTTGTACCAAAAATAGGGACGTTTTTGTTGAAATCACAAATAATATATCTGTTTGATTGTGTTTTATATCTTTTACTGATAGTTTTTAATTTGAATTTTAGGAGTGGCTCCACCATCATTTCTCGCTATTCAGGCTGGAGGAACTCTTCATGAAATTTCTAGTTCTTCTAGCACACTAAGCATTACTTCTGTTTTGCTGCTTGCTGGGTTTGCTGTTTTGTCTCTGGTTCCTGTGCTATTAAGACAAAGGCTAAAAGAAAAGTTTGAATAGCCAACTATAAGAATCTTTCTAAGATCTCTCACAAGAACTGTGATTGTCGCTATTATTGTTAATACCTTGGAACCTAAAGTGTTCATTGTTTAATACGAGGTTTTTCTCACGTTGTGAAGCTAATGATGTTTTCTCACAAAGTGAATTTTTAAAACACATAACTAGAACATCTTTTTCATTTTTCGTGTTTATAAAAATTATTATTAGTTTGATAGTATTTTTGAAGGTATTAAATTATAGTACTGTTTTAGTGGTTCCATAATTAATTAGATTAGAAGAATAGAAAAAAAAAAGATATTAAATTTTGGGACCAATATTTTTTTTTTGTTATTTATTAGAACTAAAAATATGTCAGTAAATGTGCATGTTTAGTAATTTTATTTCATTATATATATATTTTTTTAATAAGTTCTCCAAATTTTATTATCTTAAGCACAGTTTCGGTTTTAGTAATTTTATTGGTTTAGACCAGCGGTCTCCAAACTTTTTGGCCCATGGGTCAAATTTAGACCTCCACTAAGTCCCGTGGGCCGCATTGAGTCCTCCACTAAGTCCTGCAGGCTGTATTGAGGCCTCCACTAAATCCTACAGGCCATGGCTCCTGATAAATAAATGACCTTTTATCTGTGAAATGAGCTTTCTAAGAGAAACAACTCTTGCAATAAATGTAGAAACCTCCTGTTTGAGTGATTTACTTAATTTCGTATTTTTGAATAGTTTTAAAATTTTACTATGTTATCAAAGAAACTTTTGCAAGCCAGTCTGGAGGTGCTTGTGGGCCGGATCCAGCCTCCGGGTCATAGATAGACTGGAGACTCCTGGTATAGACAATAGTACTCTCTTGCCTTAGTATGGCCCGGCACCAGAAACAATGAAAGAAACTTCCTCCTTCCTTGTCATTCTTTTCCCATTAACAGATATTTGTTTACTTTATGCAGGGTGTAAATCTAATGATTGACCAAACTGAATGTACCAACTTAATCGGAAAATAAAAATCTATTTGATATGTATATATTTGATTTGAATTCAAGCTAATTTAACTGTTAGTTTGAGAGCCATTATTAACATGAACTTTTTGGAGTTTCATAAGACTAATCTTACAATAATAGACAATAGATGAAATATGAATCCTAGTATTTATGGCCTAAACAATTTTAGAATGTTAAATTTTAAATAAATAAAATAAAATAATATCAATTTTTTTTTTAAATCTATTAATAAAAGGTATTTAACCCGACAAAAATCAGAGGGTAGTTATGTTGGAAGGATGTAAGCTGACAGCTGTAGCTTGTAAAGCTATAATAATATAAATTGGCATTTAATCTATCATTATCGTCTCACCCAACAGCTGTAGTGGAGGTTAGGTATAAATTGAGATTGATTGGTTTGTCAAGACCAAGCTAGTGCTACAATATTGTATTCGTATATATATGGTAACAGATACTACTTTAGAGGGCTGTACTGGAAGGATACCAGAGCTTTATTTATTATGTAGTTAATTTTTTCTATAATTCAAATTTCTGGTGAATAGAAATAGGATTATATTACCAATTATCTTCAAACAATAAGTTTATCATAATACTTTCTTTGACGTAAATTACTTAAACAAAATAATATCCCTAATGCATGCAATTAAGTAATTAAAATGGAGATTAAATTAAACTACAGTAGCCACAAGAAAACTTTGCTTAAGATAGTTTTTGAAACAAAAAAGGATCATTCCTGTTTTTATAGGTCTCAGTCTAAGAGATGTAAATAATGTATTGTGAATTTCCAACAAGATGTTATTATGTGTATGTATATCATGTGTCGGATATATATGTAAAAAGTGCTTATAATCTTACCATAATATCGTAACAGCATGTTTAATTAAGAAGAGATAGTTGAATATTGAATATAATATTTTATAAATTGCTGAGAATGAAATAATTCAATATATGTTTAGACATTTTACTGAACTAAAATTGCCAATTTAACTTGAAAGCAGTATCTAGTCAACTGTGATATAATCACCATGTTATTAATTTTATATACTTATAATATTGTTTGGTTTAAAAAGTAACAATTAAGAATAATTGATCCCAGTATTTATAGAAATATTTATTTTTTTCTGATATTTATTTATTCTTTTATTTTAGTTAATTTAAATCTATGTGTGACAATTTTGTTCCAAAATATCAATTGTTTTTTCTCCATTAAGTTGTACCGCTATGGTATTTTATCATTAAATTATTATTTATTATATAGGAATATTATTTATGAAAAATATTTATTACATATTTACCTCTGTATGTAAACTAAAACTCCAAATATATTTTGTTGGTGATCAGTCGGATGAAAATATAATAAAAAAAAAAATTGTTCTTGTTTTTTAATTTCCTATTTCCCGACAGCCACTTTAGTGTACAGAATAGAGGTCTTCAAACATTTTGGCGTGCTGGCCACATTCAGATCTCCAATAAGTCATGGGCCATGGCTTCTGATGACAAAATATAGATGTATCGACAGACATTCAAAAACATTAAAAATCAAACATAGATACATAGGCAAAAAACCATCAATGTTTTTAATTATATCCTGTATTCATAATTTAGGAACTTTATATAATTGATTTTTAACATTTGAAACAACATAATATTTCGTTCTTCCAGTAATCTTATTTTTAAAATTTAAAATCCAGCAAAGTTTGTATACCATAATCTTTTTTTAAATTTCTCTAAAAACAAACCACAATATAGAGCCAGGGTCTAAACAAGAAAGCAGGAAAATGTCTGAATGCATATTAACGGAAGTTATGTTATGTAAAATGAATCTTGTCTGCAGTTTTAAACCATAGATTTCAAAAATATTCAGCCAGACAGTTGACGATCGGAATGTGGTTAATGACGTAAAAAAGTGGTAGAAGTTTTAATTTTTTAACTCGTGTGAGTATATACGAGTGCAAATATGTAAAAAAGAAGCTACCTGAGAACTTTTTGCAGCCCAAAACTCAACTTTTTATTTTTATTTTTTTTTACTGATTTTTTTATGTTTTCAATAGTAATTCATTGATGATTTGATACACCATATACCACACTTTCAGCAAATAAAAACAATCCAAATTGTCTGGTAATAAAACATGAGTGATCTTTAATCTATTATGTTACCAAGGAAAAATTAAAGAGTTACTTGAAAATTGAAATTTGCTTGACTTCTGTGGTTTCTTGTTATGAAAACAGGGAAAATAATAATTATCGATAAATATGTAAAAAAGTCTTTATTTATGGTAACTTTTTTATAAAATGATTAATAAAGAAACTATAGTAGAACTCTAGTATACACTAGTGAGAAGTCGCCCATTAAATATCTTTCCTATATTTCACTAGTACATTTGAAGTATAATTAATATCATGGAAACATATCTATTTGCATGAAAAATATAAAATTGATGCAGCGGTAAAAACCCTCATAACTTAAATTTGTAATAATAAAATAATCTCACTGGATTATTTAAATTATGAGGGTGTCCATCAATCTTTAATGTTTTAAAAGTTATGGAGCATGATTCCGTTGATAATGTTCTGGTACTAGACAATTAAAAAAAATTATACATTTTATAAAGATGGTATACATATTCAAAAATAAAAGAAATTGATGGCAGGGTATGAATGACCAGGAATATCACAATTTTGACTTCAAATTGAAGCCTTTAGTTCTAAATGAAATAGATTATTAGTCTATAAAAAGTCCAGTTAATGTGCTCTTAATGAGAGATGAGATTGGTAGAATAGATATAAAAATATTATTTTATTTCATGATAATGCCAGAGTATCTTAAATTTGAAGGCGTAATAATGGTGATTATTTTTTCTTCTTTCCTCCTGAAACTTAAGGTTCGTGACACAGAAAGTAGTCTGTCCCTGCAATCTGGGATCCATTTGTAGATATCACGCTATGTATGACTGTCATAGTAGAATAGATTGTAATATGACAAGATCATAGGATCGCTGGGGACAGTAATATCTAATTGCGTTATGTGTGCCGAGCCTCCAATGTTGAAAATAATACAATAAACATTATTAAGAAATACAATATTATTAAGATTTTCAATCATAAATAATAAAATGAAATTTTAAGGACCTTAATTAATTTGAATTTAAATAGTAGCAAACACAAGTAAAGAAAAAGGAAATGAACTTAAATTTTATAAGTTAATTGGGAGGTGCAAAAAGTCACACAATGTGGGAATTACATTTACTGGTTTCCTACAGGGTAGGTCTTTGTCACGGATGTCCAATAATGTCAGAGGAAGAAAGAAAACTGTTTGAGATTGATATATTGGGTTGAATTCCTTCCTCCGACATTACTTTAGACAGTCCTGATGAAGACCTACAACATGGGCAACCAATAAAAATAATTCCCATGTATTTCGTGTGTGACGTAGGAACTATGGTACATAATTACTATACCATTATACCGTTACTTCTACCTTTATTCGCTAAACACTTGGCCATTGGCATTAAATCATTTAATAACATTTTAGAATACAATAATATCTTGATAATTTTAGGAATGATATTACTGTCTAAACTATATTGTTGACCTTATGCAAAAAGTCACTAACTTCACGTTTGAAGGAGCTAGACTTTTGAAGTACATATTTGTGAATTTTAATAATATTTATGGATGCAAAACCAGTTACTTTAAGTACACAATATTTTGATTTCACTAGGGGAAAATTGATCAAATTACTTAGTGATATAATTTTCCAAAATGTTACCTAATGACTTCTTGAAATAAACTGAAAATATTCTCTTTGACTAATAGAATTGAAAAAATATTTCCCTTTGTTTATTGAAATATTTTTTAATCAATTTACAAATATTTATAAAATTTAGTTTGTACATCCAGGTATTCTTCATATGTAAAAATTCCCAATACCAATTCCCCATGGTTTCTAAGAACACATACTGAGATAAAACTAGCATTGCTAGCTAGTGTATCAATATTGGGTAATTTTATTTTTAAAGAGCGAGTCAACCTTTATGTGCCAAAGGAAACTTTTTATTCATGAGTTTTGTAACTCAAATAAGAAGAATTGATATAAAAAATACACCATTAATTGATGCAAAAAATATAACTTTATCACGGTAATTTTTTTTTTACCTAAATCTTTGATGTATTTTGAAAACACTAGGTTTGGGGAAACGACACTGAGAAATATTTCTAAACCCAAGAAATGGCTCAAGAACTTCAGGAAGGACTACCCTGCCATCTTCCTTTTGATAAGTTTCGAGCAATGCTATAATAAGTCTAGGTATAGCACAAGCAGTGCCATTTATAGTATGGAGATAGGAATCTTTTGAAGTAATTCCCAATCTTCTTGACTGATAGTCAGTGCAGTTACTTGCACTTGACAATTCTCCCCATTTCTTTTTTCCAGGTAGCCAGCCTTCAACATCAAACTTTCTCGCTGCTTGAGCTCCAAGTTCATGAGGAGGCATATCCAGTGTTCTAAGAACAAGACCTAAGGAAGTGAATAAATCTTCTTGTATCTGAACGAATTCATTTAATAATGAATCCGATTGGCTTGGGGAAGAAATACCAAACATTTCTACCTTGGTGAACTGATGCACCCTACAACAAATCACTTTTGTAAAAAATTTTGTAAAATGACTGTTGTGGTAAGTTTTTATTTTTAAAAATAAAGGCATGTTATTACACAAAAAATATTTATTAATATCATATAGATATAGGCTAAAAATACCTGTATATCCCTTTTTCTTCAGCTATTTTAGAGGTTTCAGCTCTGAAGCATCTACTTACTGCAGCAATTTTCAGAGGAAATTTCTTATCTAAGAGCTTTATGTTACTGAGATAATATGCTATTCCCATTTCTGCAGTTCCAGAGAGACATAAATCATTCCATTTTGATTGGTCCAAAGTATACACCTAAAAATTAAACAAGCCCAATAGTTGTCTTTAATTAGCAACCTTTTAATGTCTGATGTTTTCATAGTCCACAGTAAAAAAAAAAGAAAAATAGATGGTACTATCATAAAAAAACAAATGGAAACAAGATATCAATTCTACAGTAAGATACTAAATTCTCAATAAATTATCTTATTCATAAAATGTTATACTAGGTTTACTTTAAACAACAAAATGTTTAAGAGAACTCCCAGTTTAACATTACTAGGGATAACTATAATATATATATATATATATATATATATATATATATATATATATATATATATATATTTCAATATAAAAAAGTGAATAACCATATTATACTTTTATAATAGAAAGGCATAAAAATCAAGAAAACTTAAGGAAAATCTCAAGCAGTAGATCTTATGTTTTATCACTTTTTAGTATGACTGGAATCAGAAGTAATTTTTAGAGTGAACCGAGTTGAAAAGTTAATACCAGAGTAGATAAGATGTTGTTTTAGAGAAAGACGATATTTTTCTGACGCCAGGGTAGGAAATTCTTAGTAAAAATGTACAAGGAAAATAATAAATTGAATTTCAATTCTTTTTAAATATTTCAATAATAGAAAACATTTCAACATCTTAAGTTGCAAAATAATTTCTTAGTATTAAATTTACTATAGATAAACATAAATCATGATTAAAAATTGGATAAGAAATCAAAATTACCTGGTTTCGTTCGCCTTTGGTCTCCATTCCACACATTTCTATTATATTTCTAGGTAGTATGTCTGGAACTGATAGAAGACTGAAGTTCAATTCTTTTAATTTAAATAAGGTGTATTTTATTAATGCTTGTTCCAGTAAAGCTAACTGATCTAGCAGGTAATAACTTCTAGATCCTGTGAAATTTGATACATCAGTTCTACATAAATTGAAGTTATCTGCAATTTCTTCAAAAGTTAAATACTTAAATGGTACTTCCTTTGGTAATTTTCCTATTTCTCTAACAACAGTTGGTTCTTCTTCTAAATGAGATATTTCAGAATGAGAAATATTTGGTATTTTTAATGCAGCTCTTATCAATTCTGACTTCAGAAAATCTTTGTTGTTGTCAAAACTATTTAACCAATCTTTGTGTAATTTAATAACTTTGTTGATATCACCTCTTCCTTTGCGTTTTTTAATATCATTTTTTATTTTTTCGGTATTAGCAGGGTCACATAAATAGCTAAAATTTAAATCAGGCAGAGAGCACTGATTCGTTATGGTTGATGATAGGCTGTAATATTTATACTTAAAACACAACCGGCATGTATATTTGTTAAATATATTATAAGTTATTTCTTTGAACATGTTTGAATCCCAAAAATAAAACTCCAACGGTATCGTTCAGTATGGAGTGTGCAATGTTGAAAACCAAGGAGACAAAAGTTGGATGAATTAATTCTTCTGCGGAGTTACTTCGTGAGGGGCAAAATGGCGTATGGGTGGATACATCACATTGTCCAGGTCTGATTGTTAAGGGCCCCTTACATGGTCAATATTGAGTTTCGTCAATATATTGACAATGTAAGGACTACATTGGCATAAGGACTACATATAAGCACGTGTAAGGGCTATATTGAGCAATATTAAACCATGTATACGGACAGTGCCGGCTTTAGACATTAGGCGTCTCCGGGCAATGGCATCATCTCCCACCACTCCGAAAAATTAAATTTATTTCACCAGTTGTTTTATATCATGTAATATATGAATTTTACTGCATTCAACAATACGGTTGCTTTATTGATATGCTAAAATTAATTATTTTAATACGTTTTGTATTTTATTAAATTTCTAACAAGTGGCGAGCGCCCCTGATGATGGGTCGGCGCCCCCAACGGGCGCCCTTTCAGATCGGCGACCCGATTGCCCCGCCCTAATTACTGTATACGGATCTTTAGAAGCTCTGGACGATACCTAATTTCCAGTGGCATCATCTCCCACCACTCCGAAAAATTAAATTTATTTCACCAGTTGTTTTATATCATGTAATATATGAATTTTACTGCATTCAACAATACGGTTGCTTTATTGATATGCTAAAATTAATTATTTTAATACGTTTTGTATTTTATTAAATTTCTAACAAGTGGCGAGCGCCCCTGATGATGGGTCGGCGCCCCCAACGGGCGCCCTTTCAGATCGGCGACCCGATTGCCCCGCCCTAATTACTGTATACGGATCTTTAGAAGCTCTGGACGATACCTAATTTCCAGTGGCTCTCTTGATTAGAGTGGAGTGGCTTTTGGGTAGGTACTCTTTTTGGGGGAAGGGGGAGGATGGGTTAGCTCCTTTTAAAGTATGAATTAATTTTTTTTTAAATAACGAAATGGCAATATGTTTGGTAGGTGTCATGATGTTTAAGCTGTCAGGCCATCATTGGTTAATTTGGTGGTTTTAATGGGAGCAGTCCTAGAACACGGCTTAATTGGACATCTTACCTTATCACCACGTGATGATGGCCCGACAGCTGAAACGTCTTCAAAATAAAAATGAGCGGTGAAGTGGTTTTTAACATATATTTTGCTTAGAACAGAGATATTGGTTTTCAAAATGTCAACTCTCTATCAACTACTACAAACCGAGACTCCGGAAATGTATTGTTAGACGCAGGTGGAGACGATAACTACGATATGGACCCTGAGGCAGATGGTCTTGATTTCGACTTCACACCTCTTCTCTTTTTTCATGATAAAATATTATCAAATGCAAGGTTAATTCAACCAATTCCGATTCGAAACACAGTTTTTCAAGGAGATAGATCTATGAAGAAAAGAAACCAAGATAGCGTGTAACTACTCTTATAAAAGAAGATAGGATGACCGAGTACGTTAGGGCGCGGGTTCCAGAGTACTCGATTTTAAATGTTGTGGGTTCGATTTCCACCTGGGTTAGTTAATTTTGATTTCTCGCTGGTCTCGGGAAATAGATCTTGATATTCTCACTCTGGTAAGCAAGCGGCAAGTAACCTCAATGTAGATGTCAGGAGTTGGTAAAACGGACCATGTGGCCTACTTTCCGGACTAGTTTCCCTACGTGTACCAGTATCAGTACTCTTATGAAATTTATTTTAGAAGTTATTTTTTATTCCTCACATCAAATATAAATTTGTTAAGATAAGCTTAACACGAGCCATTTTTTACCATAGTAGTAACAAAGGACGTTTAATAAACTTAACACACGTCATTTTTACAGTCTTGGACGTTATAAATATAATATGTTAGATTTCAATTATTTTTGCCTTCTATAAAATAATAAAAGTATTTTTATAGAAAAACGCTAATGCTTTAGAGCTTATTATTTTTTTTTACAATGAATATATTTTTTATTAATCACTACTCAGGTCACCTGGGAAATATATACATCTACTGTGCTGTGAACATCTTAATTACAGTATTCATTTATTAATTATAGCCTTGTTATTTACAATTATCTGTCGCAACAGTTATTTATATTTTATGTTAAATATATTCTGAGAGCTATATAAATTAGTAATAGGGATTCCCAATTCTTTAACTACATTATATATATATTATCAGTTCTTTCCCGATCGGAACTTGCTTAATCCGAGGGATCTGCTTAACAATGATGACTCAGGAGATAATTTGTATTCCCATTTCCAATCTTTTCAAGGAAAATAATCACATTACACCAAGTTACTATTCTCCTTCTCTAAAGCCATTTTCAACCAACTTCAACTTCAACTAAAGACATTTAAAATATCAGGTTTATATTGCTATTAGAAGTAAATAACATTTGAAAAAGCGCAAGGAATTATTGTTTAAAGGAAGTCTCTACATTGGAATTAAGGCTAAATTATTATTAAAAAAAATAAAAAATTTTTTCTGACCGGTATTAGATCTTTTCCTCATTGGTCTAGCTTCGATGAACATGCATGGTTCGCAGTCTTCGCTCATTCGGTACACATGGCCGCACCCTTTCAATCGTTTCTTCTCTAAGATCTCAGGTAAGGGTTTCATACTAAACAACATTGGTATTTTTCATGAGATCTTTCTGATTTCATACATCAATTTCTTCAAGATTTCACATAAATAGCGATGAATCCGCTCGACCGTTTGCCTAGAAGAACCCAGTTCTTACACAAAACTTCCACTTAAAAAGGAAGAGAAGTCATGTTTAGTAATATAAATGTTACACCTTTTTTAACTTTAAATTTTCGAAGCATTCTTGAAAATATCGTAAAATATAGTGACTCCTTTTGTTGATCATAGTAGATGTTTCTTCTCACTTCTGTTGATAACTGTTTCTAGGTGGTGGTATTCTACAAATAATCTTCGTATACTCATGGTTACGCCCAATTTGTTCATCTTTTATTGTCCTTGTCCTTCACCTCCGGTTTTATTTGGCTGCACCTCACTGAAGATTGTGGTCCGCATAGAGAAGAATCTGTGGTAGAACTGTCCTCTAGAGCACTAACGGATCCACGATTTATTTTTTTTTGGGTTGGGGACTTCAGCCCGATAGGTTTTTTTTTTCATATATATAACGATAGTTACTTTGGACCAAAAATAAAACAAACTAGCTATCTCTATGAAAGGGTGTTTAAGTGATACTTGAAGTCCTATTAAATGTAATTACACGAACAATAATACTTTAAGAGATAATTTTTAATATTTTCTTCCATAAAACAGGGTTACATTATACCATTTTGGGGAAGCTTCAGCCCGAAAGACCTCCCCCCTCACCCGTAGAACCACTTGTGCTCTAGAGCATCCGCATCTCTTCCTTGGCCATCCTTGCTACTGAGCCGAGCCTCCTCCTGATGTGTGTAAGCGGGTGTGAGGGCATGAGCAAATGTATCATACAGTAGATATTCTAAACGTTATAGCTAATTTTATATATATATATATATATATATATATTTTTTTTATAACATATAGATCTCTAGTTATAAAATTCTACTATTTTTATCGGGCCCTGGCATAATGGAACTGGTAATCATGGTGAGGATCATGGTGTCCTCAAGGTGAATTTCTCGATCACTGTTCTTGCCATCCTTTGTTTACATATTTTTAAGACTTCGTCTAAATCTATTGTACTCATCAAAACAATAAAGAGAAAAGGATTAAGAGTGTCTTCCTATTTAAAATCTCACTTCATATAGGAGCTTCCAAATTTCTTCCTTTGATTCTTCTTGTTCCCTTTTGAGATCTATAGTTGGTCGGAAGACCTGTAATTTATCCATAGACATTCTTGACCTTCAGTGCATTCTTTTCGGTTCGTGGTACAGAATTAAAGTAGGTACATCCAAAAAGGCTAATAAATATTTTTATTTCGATCCCTTGGCATCTTTCTAATTATCTTTAATGAAAATATCTCATCTTGGCTCGGTGGAAGGCTTGCTATATTTCGAAGTCCTCTTCTACAATGACCCTTTTCGCAATAGGTGGGTGTAATTGGCAACCTTGGACAAGCACATTAGCTTTGGAGCAAGGGCCCAAAAATCGACCTCATCCCAGGCAAAGGTTTGAATGTAAATTACGATGAAAGTCTATAAAATGAACCTTGTTTGCAATTTTAGAGCTGCTACTTTCAAAAATGGAGGTTGATTTAAAGGATATTATTTCAGTAACTTGAGTATTGAAAAGAGAAATATATAGAAGGAGAAATCACGAAAAATGTGGGAAAAGTTGTTATTTTTAAACTTATGTAAATGGGTTTGAACATGTAAAATCGTAAATTTCCAAAAAAAAACTTCTTACATTCGAAAAAGCCGTATTTTTTCGATCTTTTTTTATTTTTTCACATACAACTCCTAAATCGTAAATCGAAGCGAATAATGTACTCTTTAATAAATTAAAGAACGTTCAATTGTGCATCGAGCGGGTATCTAAAATTAATACTTTGGTCAAGTGGTATGGTAGAAAATCACTTATTTTATTTTATTTTATTTACACCCTACCCTGCCGATAAGGCAATACGGGTGTTATGCAGTAGTGAGTAGCAACGCATGCGTTACAATTCACTGCTGCATTCAGACCAATTACATTTTTTACAGCTGTGCACACAGCCTGCTCTTTTTTTTCTTTTTATCCAGCATCCAGTTCCACCCTCTCTGGCGGCCTTCCGTACACAGGTTCATTTCTTCTTCCCAATGAAAAGTGGTTTGACCCAACCAGTTCCTTCCACCCGTATACGAATGCCTTGTAATACGGGTATTTTTCCTTTGTCATAAGTTGAGGGAGATCGCTCTCCGTCAGAGCGTAGAGCCCCGTCTCCCTCAACAACTTAGCCCTCAGTGCCTCAAAGGCGGTACAGACTAGGATGATATGCTCGGCGGTCTCCGG